GATGAAGGTGACACATTCTTTATTTATACCGGTAAAAGTTCCCACGGGATGAGGGGGGGGGGGGAGGGGGGGGGGTTCTTTATTAGTGTCTTAGGAAGTCTAACACCGAAGCGAAGTCACGTCAATATTAGAGTAATTAATATAGTACCTATTTCACCAAAAAATTAATTGTCGAAAGCAAAAATAATATCAACAAAGAAAAGAACGCGATTTTCCAAATAAAATTATAGTTGAATCGCTTTAAGAAAAAAATACAAGTTACATTACTTAAGTCATTGCCACTCGTACAATATAAAATGATAGATGAGTGTTAAGTTTAAACCGGTTGAACCGGTAAAAAGTACCGCTAAGTTGTTATTGTATGATACTTTGATAGAATATGTTACAGGTGTTTCATAAAATATCTATACTCCCAATCAAGAATGACCCAATTGACCCTTGACCAATGACTTAGTGCTAAATATATTTTAATACTAACAAAAAAATATAAATTAACCTTGCATTAACATTTGCAATTAACAAACAAACAAACTTATTTTGTTTTCTTTTATTTGCACCTCAAAAACATACAGATTTTTTTGTCAAATCCTGCACTTGGAAACTGCTTGAATAAGCTACTATTTCTTTTACATTTATACAACTAGCGAATCAGCCTCGCACCGCTCCGGTTCGTCCCTACTTACGTTTTAATGCTTAGTATAGATTTCTCAGAAATGAGATATTTTCCCGCAGTAAAAAGTATCCTATATGTTGACCCGAGTCATCAGCTATTATCATATCAAATTTCATCAAAATCCCTCCACTGGTTTTTTTGTGACGCAGTCACAGACACAGACAAAAATTCTAAAAAACTATAGATTCGGTCTCTGTATCGATAACAATGTCTATTACAATAAGATTTTCCAAAAAATATTTTATGTACAGATTCGACTTAGTTACAATTTTATTATATGTATAGATTTAATTATAGTAGGTAGATATAAAGTTATATCAATGTATATAATTATTCTATAGTCTATTCATTATAATATAACGTCAGTTTATTGGCTTCTCTACTTGCGGCTCACTCTCGCTTCTCTCAGGCTCGAAGAGAAAAATAAAAACAAATCTATCTCACGGGGACTGCAGATTTTTCCGTAATAAAAAGGAAAACCTATGTGCTATTCCAGACTATAAATCTATCTCTGTGCCAAACTCCATCCAGATCCGTTCAGCCGTTCTGGCGTGATTGAGTAACAAACATCCATCCAAACATCTAAATTTTCACATTTATAAAATTCGTAAAATTGCAATTTTAAAAACACTATACAGATATTGGTTGATGTAAAATTCCAATATAACATAGGCTAAGGTGGACTTATTCTTAGATAAGATTTTTCCAATCTTTCAATGTACCTGAGAAATAAGGTACTATATACCTAGGTGCTCAAATTAATGCAAGAAGATATTATATTGTTATTTTTTATAAATTATAATTTATAACCAAAAAATACCCAGAAAATAAAGACATTCTCATTACAAAGTGAAGCCGACCTTAAACGAGTGCCGCGAAAGTCATGATTGCTGCTCGTTCTTTTGTACCTACGAAGATTGCTAGAAAGTTCTAATTTTAGGTTCACTTTAAATAAAACTTTAATGATTTGTGCGTGTGTACGATGCAGCAAAAACTTTGATAGTTCTGACGAATACTTTCATAATCGCAGTATCTAAATAACTGTCTCGTTGATCTTGTCGCTCTGGGTAGCATGTATGGCTGCAAATCGTGAGCTATTGTGTTCGAATCTCGGGTCGGGTCAAAAAAGTTTTAGATGTTTGTCCCGTAGTTGGCAAGCCGGTGTTTACACCTCCATGACTTGGAGAGCACATTAAATTGTCGGTCCTACACCACATCTCTCACCGTTCGTATCGAGTTGTGGTTCCACCAGAATTTTAGAGTTTAAGGAATAGAACGTGCACTTGTGCCTGTACATACTGTTGTGCACTATAGTATATAATATACTAGCGACTCACCCTCGCTTTGCTCAGTTTCGTCCCTAGGTATATTTTGACGCTTGTATAAAAGAGATTTTATTTTTTATTTATATTTTCTCGTGAATTTTTCCGTTGTTTTAATAGTTATGTTGCTATTCGGGGCGGAGACAAATCTATCAAATCAAAAACCATGAAAATTGGTCCAAAAGTTCTCGAGTTATAAGTGTTGTAACAAACCTGACTTTGTTTTATATACATATATAAGATAATATGTCCCGCGCAGTATTTTAGTCCCATGTCATTGAGATTGGCCACCGTGGCTAAAATCTTTTAAGAGAACATTATTATCTAATTAAATATAACTAAGTCTCACTGTAGCCTTTATGTTGGTCGATTTGATCTTGCGAATGTTTTAGCATTCACTTTTATCGATTAAAAATAAACGCTTATTAAATTTTCTATGCTATTGGTCTTAGAAGATTGAATTTTGGGTTTCTAAAACTGTTTTATTTTCGTACCAATATAGTATACCGCACGTCAGTCGAACTATCGACTTCGTCTGCAGTAATTAATCCCGTCCAGATAAGTACCATAGTTTTAATATAAGCCTCATTCAAGTTATACCTAATAAATAGAAGAAACAAAAATAGTTTTAATTATTTAAGTAATTGAACACTATAATAAATAATCCGAAAAGATAGTTTTATTTAAAATAATTGAACACTCTTACTTTATTCTATACTTCTATAATTATGTAGAGTAAACGCGTAGTCGAGTCGTTTCACTAATGATAATGTATGAGAAGCGAAATTCTCAGCTGCCAGAGATGAAGCGTGAACAGATCTTACCAATCTTTTATTCATCTAGAAAGAATGTGGGCAGAATACATAATTTTTTACATGTTTAATTATTTAATACTTTCTTAGATTTACGCGAATATTTAACAATTTAAAATAAAATTATCTTTTCGGATTATGTCGCGGATTTATTTTGATTTTGGTATTTTACAAAAATGTTTTCAAAAATTCAAAAATGATTCGTGACCATGATTGCTGTAAAGCATTCGAAACGTCAGGAACCAAAAATCTAAATGAATCCGCGAATTAATCCGAAAAGATAGTTTTATTTTAAAATCCTTAGTGCTCTAGTACGAGTATATAGCAGAATGGTACGTTTTTAAATAAAATGACGTGTGTATTTTGTTAAAATTCATTAGCAAATATCAGGACACTTAAATATTTTTTTTTTTTATTAAGGTTTATCTTTGTATCTCTTTAAAGCTATTTTTGAGATAAAATTCAACAGTTTTCAACCGACTTCAAAAAGGAGGAGGTTCTCAATTCGACTGTATGTTTTTTTTTTGTATTTTTTTTTAAATTAGAAATAAAATTCCGTGGAATGGAAGCCCATTGCGTCACTTTCAGATAAAGTCGGGTTTTTTTTGTCTTTTTCATTTTACTCACGATTGACCAAGTACACTACTACTGGCACAAAAAAAAGGAAAAAACTTTTTGAGGTTCAGAAATTCATCCATAGTTAACTTAAAATAAGCTTTTAAAAATCTGTTATTTTAATAGCAAAGCATGTTTCAAATATATTGAAATACAAAATTACTTTGTAATTAAATATACATACCTAATTAGATTCCTTATGTTAATTATCTTGTAACAATAATATTGAAGCCTCAAAAAATACAAAATCTGAATCTATTAGAGTAAAAAGAAATAAATTCATAATTATGTTCAAATTTAATTATGAGCCTGAAAACAATTTGCTCTCCTTTCAACAGACTGTCTCATTATACTGCTTTCGACAGTAATTGATGATGTCTTAAAAATGTTATACGTTGAACAAGGTTTTTTCCCAAATCGATTTACAAAGTTTATTACCTATTTACGAAATACGCTTATTTTATAGATAAAAGAACTTTTTTTATGATTAGTACTTTATTTCTTTGGTAATCTTCTTCTATATTCTTTTGCTATCTATACTAATATTATAAAGAGATAACGTTTGTGAGTTTGTGACTTTGTAGGGGCTAATCTCTGGATCTACTGAACCGATTTACTTAGATGAAATGAATTTTGGTAAGAAGATAGTTTGAGACCCTGGGAAGGACATAGGATACTTTTTATTCCGGAAATCATCCCTTAAGGGGGTAAAATTAGGGATGAAAGTTTGTATTGGGAAGCAAACCAGGTACGAACCCGAGGGAAGCGAGGGTGAGTTGCTATCCAAATTTCATCTAAATCGGTTCAGTAGTTCCAGAGATTATCCCTACAACGTCACAAACTCACAACCTCACAAATTTTACCTCTTTTTAACATTAGTGTTGATTATTTGGTTATATTTTTAAGAGACAATAGAAAATAAAAACAAATCACTACTTAAACGCTCATATCTAAAGACCGTTTTTAGTGCAGTCATTTTGTCTGATGGTGCATAATAAAAATCACTAGACAATCATTTTTAATTAGAATTCAATTGATTTTTTGTTATGAAGACTATAACAATAAAACAAACTATTGAACAATAATTTGATTCATGATTATCACCTCCAGGTAAATTTCTAAGAAATTAATTAAATTTCTAAGAAATCTATTGTTTACTGTAACGCCGGCGTGTCCGCGGTCGTGGAGGGAATAAAGTATCAATCTAGCTGGTATTGTTATTTTTTTCTAAAGAAAAAACGGTGACTTAAAAATTATTTATAAGTGATTATTATTGAACTAGCATTGCCCGCGGCTTCGCCCGCATTCAGAAGACCAAAAAGCATATTTATAGGTTTTGCATAAAGTATACTTTTAAAATGCAGTTTTTTATTTTTTCTCAGAAATCATTCTCTCAGAAGTCATTGTTTTTAATACTTTTTATTTATTTACGAGTATTTTAATTTAAAAATATTTCATGTACAGATTTCGCCTTGTAACTATTTTATTATATGTATAGATTTATAGTATGAAGCAACCATAAATCTCTAACGTAATAACTATAAAATTTATCCACTTCTATATTGTTTCAGACTGAATATGGCGCGCTTCGTACTAGGTTTAGTCCTTTGTCAAATTTTAACCCTTCCGGTACTAACGCAAAATAACGATAATGACCCCATTATGGACTTAGCGGGATCTTTCATACAGAATGTTGTTGGGAACTTTGTACAAGGGGATGGAGCTAAGAATGTCGGATCACTCTTCGGACAAGAAAACCTAGGAGCCGCCGATGTTTTGTCAGGTAAGATATTCAAAATATCTTTGAATTATACTTACTTAAAAAAATCGATGTTTGGTTCCCGACAGCCAATTAGAATATAAATAAATTCTTATTTATATAAATTATAAATTTATTATGTAAGTATATGTATGTTTATGTATATATAATAAAAATATATATGGCAAAACTAGTATTTTATATATGTAAATTTTTATGTATGTTTATTTATATTGAGTTTTAATCATTTGCACTTTATGCACCTTTCCGCTCTTCTCGCTTATTTTCTTATATCCTTTTCTATCAGTTGCCTGTAAGAGATCACTTTTAGTGATAAGGCCGCCTTTGCACATCTCTTTAATTGTATTTTTTTATGTTAATGTACTATTTTAGTGCGCAGTAAAGTGTTATAAATAAAAAAAATAAAAATAAAAGTGTTTTATTTAAAACTTATAAATGTTATATATATTATTATACAGTTAACAGTACCGCTATTAATTTAATACATGCTTTGATAATTAATAGAAATTGGTAAATTAACTTTATTGGCAATAAAAATAAGTTATAAAAATCACAGACCAATTAATTCTATTTTATAGGCTTGGGCAGTTTATTGGGCGGTGAGGATGGGAAAGTCGATCCGTCACTGGTGGGGTCAATGGTGACCATGTTTGCTCAACAAATGGTTTCGAAAAACCAAAACCAGAAACAGAAACAAAAAAGAGATACGGAATCAACTGATGTCAACATGGACAGTCTTTTAAGTATGGCCATTGGGTTCTTGGGAAATAAAATACAACCAATTTTTGCTTTTAGTCATGAATACTATTAGAGCGTTCTCTGAAGACGAAACAAACAAACAGAATTACCTACTAGAGTTTCATTACAATCGGATTAATGATATATGAACGCGTAGAAAACAAACATACAAACATCCATTTTTATTTATTATTTATATAGTAATAGTTGCAAACGCAAAGTGCGCGGTATAGAATATGAATATAATATATTTAACATAAATAAATATCGTGTTTTAGCGATTGTGGTTGCTGTTACCTAAAACACACACTACACGTTAGAATATTTTAAATTAAACATTTTGCAATAACCGTAGGTATCAAATCTATACTATATATTACATATTATATTACATTTAGGTACGCGAAAAATAAATTTTAAGTTTCGAGGTGTTTATTTTGATTTTTGGTTCCCGACGTTCGTGTAGTAGTTTTATTGATAGACTCTATTTATAATAAATAACAATTAATAACTACATATAATTTTTGAAACGCCAGAAATTTTAGTCTCTATCATGATTTGTAAAGCATTTAAAACATCGTGAACCAAAAACCAAAATGTAACTGCGAAAATCGAATAAAAGTTTGTTTTACTTAAAAGTTATGAACGCTAGGTATATTAATGTACAGTACCACTATTAATTTAATACATGCTTTGATAATTGATACAAATTGGGAAATTAACTTTATTGGCAATAAAAATTCCATTCTAATATTACAAAGAGGAAAAATTTGTTTTTTTGTTTGTTTTTATCGAATAGGCTCCGAAACTGAATCGATTTAAATGAAATTTAGTAAGAAGATAGTTTGAGATCATGAGAAAGACATAGGATAGTTTTTATCCCAGAAATTATCCCTTAAGGGGCTAAAAATGGGAATGAAATTTTGTATGCGGAAGCAACGTAGGGACGAAACCGAACGAAGCGAGGGTGAGTCGCTAGTAAATTATAAAGATAACACACCAATTAATTCTATTTTATAGGCTTGGGCAGCTTATTAGGCGGTAAGGATGGAAAAATCGACCCATCACTGGTCGGTTCGATGGTTTCCATGTTTGCTCAGCAAATGGTTTCGAAAAACCAAAACCAAAATCAGAGACAAAAAAGAGATACGGAATCAAACGATTTCAACATGGACAGTCTTTTAAGTATGGCCTCAGGTTTCTTGGAAAATAAAAATACAGCCAGTATTTTGCCTTTAGTCATGAATACTATTAGCGCGTTCTCTGAAGACGAAACAAACAAACGATCAAACAGTCACAAAGACCATTCGTCTTTCCTTCCACCGTTCTTGGAAAAGGCGCATCTCTACTGGGATATATTCATCAATTCCGAATTGGGTAAAACTGTTTGGGAGAAATCTGGATTGAAACGTGCCACGAAATCTTTCATCGGTCCAGATGGGAACATCAGTTTTGAACAGATGTTCAAGAGTTTTGAGAACCACTCATTTAGAAGACACTGGATCAAAGCTGTAGCGAAATATTTAACGGACATGGTGGTACATGTTGCTAAACCTGAAGTTTATCAAAGGTAAAATGCATAAGAAAATTATAAATTAATTTTTATTAATTTATTGACGACATGTTTGGCTCAGTTAACGTAGTGATCCTATTTGCTGTGCCGGGTCGCGGGTTCAAATCCCGCTGGGGGCATTCATTTGTGTGATAAGCATGATGTTTTTACTCCAGTCATGGGTGTTTATATTTATAATATGTATATAATTAAAGTTATATTTGTGTAATGTATGAACTAGCTGGTATCCATAACACGAGCCTCGTAGCTTACCATGGAACTAGATGGTACTGTGTGTTAATGTCCCAACATATTTATTTATTTAATAAAATAGCTTGATATGGCAGATTAAATTAGTCCTTTACGTGTGTTATAAATTATAATAATTATAATCATAAGCAAAAAAGTATAAGTGTTAATTTACATTTAACAAAGTTTCAAGGAAAAAATGAAATATACACCAAAAACATCAAAATATTTTTACTTATTCATAAAATGTTGCATCAACGCTGATAAAAATAAGATGTTTCCTAGAAACCTTATATTGGAATTCATAGATCGCTAACATAAATTCTATGTTCGGGAGACCCTAATCTTACGAGTTTCTTGCCAAATAGGACCGACCGCAATATATGCTGACGACTACACAACTTGTTTATGAAAACGGAAACGTTCTATTATCATTCAAAACTCGTCACGTTTTCAAGTAACGTCGATTTACGTTTAAAACAACAAATTGCATTTGAATTTTTGAACGTGCAACTACCTTTTGAAAGAGTGATGTTGAGTGATTTTGCGAAATAAATACACCTTTACAAGTCTCTTTTAGTCAAGACAGTAGCCCAGTGGTAACATGCTCTCTTGGTAAACCCAGTTAGTTAAGTGGATTTAAATCTCAGGTCTCGCACCTCTGATATTTTCATATGCGAATCATTTCCAACATGATTACCATTCGTTTTACGGTTATGGAAAACATCGTGAGGAAATCCACATGCCTAAGAGCCTGTTTACCCAAGAAGGTTTTAAAAAGACGTGCTCAGTCCGCACGCACTTACCCAGCGTGGTGGACTTTGGCCTGATCCCCCTCGTATTCAAGGGAGGCCCACCCCCAGCAGTGGGACCTTAAAAAGGGTTGAATACATTCAGTGCGTTATGCTAAAAGATAAACTATAACATAATACCAACTAGGCCCATTTAAATAGGTGTTTTTCGGTCACTTCCTCCTAGCTGTAACGTGTTTAGTTTGTTTTTTGCATTAGCTTACACGAATAGTAACTTGTAGTCTTCCACACAACAACACAAATTTTATAATTACACCCCAAAACGCCAAATACCAGGGATGGAGTCACGGGCGAGTGCTAGTATTATTATATACTTCGTATGCTACATTAATATGACATTATTATAAGTGAATTCAAACATCAAGTCATATCTAGTATTGACATTAAGATTGTGTAAGAAAAAGTTTTATTGAAATAAATACAGCATTCATTTAACAATATTATTTACAGGTATTTATCTTCGGCTCAGTATATAATAAATGGCTTCCTAGACTCGCAAGGACTTCCCAAAAACATCCACTTTGATATGAAAAAGCCTGAAAAATCAATCACTAAGTTAGCGAATTACGCTTCGAGGAAATTCTTCGATATGGATACTGATGTCTCCGAATATGTCAATCCGGCGATTGAATATATGAAGGTAAGTGGATAAGGTTTGATTCCTTTATATAATGGCTTTTATGAGCTGTTAGATTTTCGTATTTTATTCCTCCATGACGATACGTTTGGCTCAGTTTGTAGTGACCCTACTTGCTGTGCCAGCGGTCGCGGGTTCGAGTCCCGCTGGGGGAATTGATTTGTGTTTTGAGCACGAATGTTTGTACTTCAGTCATGGGTGTTTATATTTACAATATGTATGTATTTAAAAGTTATATATGTGTAGTGTATCAACTATCTGGTATCCATAACACAGGCCTCGTAGCTTACCCTGGAACTAGATGGTGTTGTGTGTTAATGTCCCAGCATATTTATTTATATTTATTTGTTCCTAAGTAATCTTCGGTAAATGTAAAAATAGTAAGTTACAACAAAATATAGGTATAACGTGAAAATATGAAATATGAAAAAACATACCTGTGCGCCATTTTTTAGGTAAACCAAAGCAAATTATTTCTAACAATTTTATAAATACTGTAAAATATTTGATACAGTCAATAAAATATTTTTTTTAGAAAATACCAAAAATGCAGTAAATAACACAGTAGCTATATAAAATTAGATTTCTACAAAATGTTCAAAATGGATTTTTAGTGTTTCTCGCCCTGTTAAATTTAAGTAAACTTAAAGTATTATGGATACTAATGATTCTTTCCAACAAAATCTTTTTTGTCTACTAGCGTTGTACTACTTACATACTTAACTACCTTGGTGGTTTAATGGCTAGCATGTACGGCAGATCCGTAGGTCCTGGGTTCAAGTTCCGGGTCGGGCCAAGTTCAGTTATTAAGTATTTCTGTCAAGAACCTGCTTCACTCGGTTCCACTAGGTTACTTAAAATACTTATTAAACTAATTGAACAATGTAATTTTATTGTCGTTTTCAGCAAACTCTAAAAATGGCGAAGGCAGCATCCCAAAACTTAGCGTCCCGCTCCGACTACACCGCAGTAGCGGACAGACTGACCGACACACTGAACTTGGAGGTGATCGAGCCGGTCCTACGCGTGTACCGCGCGTACAAACACTCGCTACAGAACCCGCAATGTCAGGAACATCTCATGTGTCTGGTCAATAGGCACCATGATAGCGATAAACAAGGTTTATGTAGATTTTTGGTATTTTGTTTTTTTTAATTAATCTTTTTTTTTAATTTCACCTGGCAAAGGTCATAATAATGTAAAGTGAAACGTCATATACAGGGTTGGTACACTTTTATATATATAATATATATATATATATATATATATAATATATGTATATATATGTATATATATATATATATATATGTATATATATGTATATATATATGTATATATATGTATATATATATGTATATATATATATATATATATATATAGAGAGAGAGAGAGAGAGAGAGAGATAAACATAGACCATGTGTAAAGTGACAAATACTAAGAGAAGAGTTAGAAGTTTTTTAATGTTTTCTGGGATCATGTTAACTTTAAAAAGAATTACTGACTCTGCGTAAACAAGTTCCATTTCACACTTCTTGAGTCATGAACTTTTACGAACACAAAATAATTTTCGAAAGCAACAGTCAATGTTATTTCCTTAAGCTTATCCCTTACAATAACTCTTCCACATCTTCCAGGTCTTCCCGGCTTTAAAGCAGGACTCACAAAGCTAAGCAGTCTGGCCGCGTCCGCCGCACTCAGCTACCAACACGGGAAGGGCTTCTGGGATCTGTACAACGCTATACAGAGCGATGTCAATTGTGATGTAAGTATAAGCTTCGGTGGTCTAGTGCACTGGCTGCACATCCGGAAGTTTTGGGTTCGAGTCCCGGGTCGGGCTAAAAATTACTGAGTATTTCTGTTAAGATATTCTCAGTAACAGTCCGAAGTTGGGAATTTGGTGTTAAATGTAGTATGTACTTACCCTTTTTTATCGATTTGTCCTATTATAGATGTAATGAGATTCCGGGAAATTAAAAAGTATTTTTATTTTATTTTTCGGATTTTTCTTTTAAAATCAAACTAAATTATTAAAAAGACCTACAATTCTATAGTCTAGTACACTGTTTTGTTGTATATCTAAATATTTAGCCACCGTTAGTTATGCACATTTCTAACCACTTTCGATAGAACCAGTTATTGTGTTTTCCCGTGGGAACGAAAGATTTGCCTGTAGTAAAAGGTATCCTAAATGTTGACCCGAGTAATAAGTTATCACTAAACAAAATTAAGTTAAAATCTGTTCTGTCTTTTTTGCGTGAAAAGTAAACATATATATATATATATATATATATAGTCAGAAAGTTATTACTATTTTATTATACCTACTTACTAGCGACTCACCTCAACTCACTACTCACTCACCTTCAAGTCCAAATAAGCGTGGTAGAAAGAAAAAGAAAACGAATTTTCCATGCTACAGAACCGTCGTGTTGAGGCTTATACAACTTAAGTACTCTCGGGTTCGTCCCTACTTACGCTTTAACATTTAGTATAGATTTCTCAGAGATGAGATATTTTCCCGCAGTAAAAAGTAGTCTATATGTTGACCCGGATAACCAGCTATAATCATCTATACTTATTATAAAAATAAGTCCCCCGGCCGCGTCTTTCTGTCCTCCTGTCTGTCCTCCTGTCTGTCCTCCTGTCTGTCTGAACGCGATAAACTCGAAAACTACTGAACGGATTTTTATACGGTTTTCAACAATAGAAAGAGTAATTCTTGAGGAAGGTTTAGGTATATAATTTATTATGCTTTTATGTAAATTAGCTGAAATACGGCGACAAATGTTGAAGAGGTCGCAAAAAATCTCGCCAAATGGGAACTTTCCACGCGAACGCCGCGTAAACTAGCAAAGATACAGTTAAGTAATGTACTAGAGAATTCAAAATCTATAAAAATGCTACAAAAAAGTCCGCGATAGCATATCTCTATCTCTTACGGTTGACTTACAATAACCACTTTTATGTTAACATTTTTAATTAAAAACATTACGTTATTTTCAAAGTTATTTTCTTTAGTTCGGTATTAATCCTTATCCAAATGAATATTTTAGTTAGCTTAGTCATTTAATGCAGATTAAAATTGCTCTTTACACTAAATCAATCAGATGAATAGTTTTTGAGATATCGTTGTTAGAAGTAATTAGTAGCGAAACATTTTTAATGCTTGGCGAGCATTGAGATGCCTACGGCGAGTCCATCCCCTCTGCCCCGCATCGCTCGACCGCCTGCTCAAGCTATATAAACCGGGCGATGTAGCGCGCGATCCTAGGATACTTTTTACCGCGGGAAAATATCTTATTTCTGAGGAAAAATACAAAAACTGCAATGTAAGAGTATACTAATATGTAACACCTAAGAATTTAGTTTTTGGTCATCTGAACGCGGGCGGAGCCGCGGGCAATGCTAGTTTACTATACAATCAAGCCGAAGAGGCAAAAATCGTACATAAACTTTGTAGTGGATTTTTGCTTCTTCGGCTTGTGTAAATCGGCAGATTACTGAATTGCACATTTTTCAGGATGTAATTAGCCTACCACACCTTAATCTGACGGTTTCAAGTATTTCTAACTTATCAAAATATTTTTTATATATCTTGATTGGCTGCCCTAGACGCGCGGCCTTATATAGAGGACTTATATTATGGTAGAGGTACTCAACAGAGTGCAAGGTATCCCGTATATCAGATTATTTAATCTGCCGCGCTTGAGTAACTCCAAAAATTCCCCCTTCGGCTCCCCTACTACAATATGATCACAGTAAAGAATAAAATAAATAGAGCGTATAGAGAAATACAAGCAAAATCAAACATTATGTATTTCTAAACATGCAAATAGAATACAATTTCAAGCATCAATTACTACTTTTAACGCTCCGACTAGTCTTAGAGTGGCAAAAAATGGCAGAGAAAGTCTATTAAAAATCTATTGGAGCGGAATTTTTGAAGTATACTATGTACATTTTTATGGATCCGTAGTTAATTATCTAAAACTGAACCTTTATATTTTCGCTATGTCCATCTGTCCGTATGCCAACTTGGAAATATATTGCTGAGATGTTATTGGTCGGAGTCTTATGTAAATTGTTAGACAATTCTGTTGTTCAATTTAAAAAAATAGGGATGGCGCATCGATTAAAAAAGTTCTAGATAGTAGATACACAAACAGCGACAAAAAATGTCCTCACCGAATGAGCGCTCATTTGAACATTTGAGCTCGCATTTAATTAAAAAAATGTTTTGTAACTTTAAGCATTGCATTTAAGGTTCAATTTACGTTGTTGTATATTTATTTCAACTAGAATAATTATCTAAACACAATTGGTGACACTTTTTTGATCTATGAGGTGGCGCTTCATACATACCTACATGTAACTGAGGAGTGGCAAAAAAATTTCAAGTCCACATAAGCGTGGTAGAAAGAAAAAGAAAACGAATGTTCCATGTTACAGAACCCTCATGCTAGTTAAAATACTCACACTTGTCAGATTTTTTTTAATTTAATTTTTATTTCAGGCTAAATACCCGGCTGACTGCGCTTTATTCCACGAACACGAACTAAAAGTTACTACAGAAGTATACCACAGTGAATTATAAATGTACGTTATTTAATTCAATAAATTATATTAATTGCAATTTCCTATATTAATTTCTAGTTTTTTTTTAATTTAATTTAAATATTTTATTTTGCATTATTTCATTTTTTTTAAATATTAAATTGATTTATTAGTTTAAATTTTATTGAATTTATATGTAGAAAATTACTATTTTAGAATATTACTTTTAGATTTATTACTTCATTTAGTTAATTGTAAATTATAATATTTTACTTAGAAACCGCGAAGAATTTTATTTTAAAAAAGATTTATTTATATTTACAACATAGAAGGTAATGAATTAAATTAAGAAATTTATTTCATCGTCTAATTATATAATTAAAATAAAAGTGATTTATTTGAAACATTATTTACTTAATAAAATATAGATTTTACTTAATATAAAAAATAATAATAATGCTGTAATTTAAACTGAATTTATATTGGTTCACTTTTTTTATTTATTATTATTGATTATATTTAATAAATAAGTATTTAAACTATGTGAAAATAAAGTATTAATATATAATTAATGAAAAATGAATTTCTATATTATCTAGTTTTAATATATCTTGATTTTTATGATAATTGCATTTATTAGATATAAAATCAATTTAAATTATTATTATTTAAGACATAATATGTAATATCAAAATATCATTAATATCATTTATATTTAAAAAATTAATAAAATTAAATTCAAATAATCAATTGCAATTTAGAAATATGACGTTTTTATAATTTTATTCATATTTAGTTAATAAAATAACAAATAACCATCGTGTAAAAAATAACTGTTTGAATAAAATCTCACATAAGACCATGAATTTCTACTAACGATGCGAATAAAAAAAACACTGAAAATAAAATATAAAAAAACCTATATGGTTGACTAACAATATAAAATATAAATATGAAATATATAATTAAGTATGACTGATAATGTTACTTAGATATATTTGCTGGACATGGTGCTAAAATTATTTTTGCAATTATTTTGCAACATCTGTGTTCTTTTTCTGTCTTTTCTGTTCATTAAAATTAAAAAATACACTCTACATTTTCATCCACTTTACACTATGTAAATATTTAAATATATAATTTAGTCTAAATAAGGCATTGTGTACTTAAATAATTAAAAAATCTCTATATATGATGTGTTTTATTTCCATAATTAAAATACATTGGAAGATAGATCTAATTAATAATAATTTAATGTGCAAACATATTTTATCAATACAGATAAATAATATTGAAGTTTGTTTGTAATGTCTAATACATGAACGAATTTTGTCTAATAATAGCTTTTTACTAAATGCATATGAAAGTATTTTAGAATTTTTGTCTGTCTATCTGTTTGTTCCGGCTAATCTCCGAAACGGCTGGACCGATTGGGACGAGACTTTCACTGGTAGATAGCTGATGTTATAGAGTAACTTAGGCTACTTTTATTTTAGAAAAAGAATTAGGGTTCCGCTCAAAATTATATTAATTATATAACCAATGAAATAGTGAACAAAATCCGCGTACCTAGGACGCATAAATCACTAGTTTTAAATATAAATCATTCTTAGAAGTATTACTTTGATTTATATAACTTACATAAAATAAACGTTTTCGTACGTACACCTTAGATAGACAGGGCATTTAGAAAAATAAATTAAAACAAATGAAGCTGTCAATATCAGAAAGAAAATATATAAATCTAATAGTAAAAGTATTTTTTCTATACAAATTGTGCTGTAAGTATTTTTATTTTAATACCATATTAGGCTTCAATCACTGTCTTCTGCATGCTCCGTCTTTAATATTTTTTTAGTCCAAGAACAACTAAATATATAGATTATTACTAATATAATATACCTAATATTAGACGTGGGTTGTCTTAACATTAATAAGAAATGTTAATTTGTTTGTCTGTTCGTGTGTCTGTCTGTTATATTTATCTATTTTAATTTGAAAAAATATACTATTATCTAATTTACGCATTTGATAAACTAAGACGAACAGAAAAATTTCTGACAATATTTCAATAGCTGCAAATACTTAGTAACATTGTAAATCAGTACTGTTGCAACCATTTCGAATTAATAACTTAAATACATGAAAAAACAATTTTTATTTTTAAACAAGCAGTACCCGCGACTTCGCCCGCTTTAAAAATTCCGATCGCTACCAAACTTCACAGGATCACCCGCTGGGCTGATCTGAAGATTGCCTGAAAGGTTCATCAATATCGCTCCAGCCATTTCGGAGTCCTTAGGGAATATTCATACACGTCGATTTTTACATATTATATAGATAGACTAGTGACTCACCCTCGTTTCGTTCGGGTTCGTCCCTAAGTACGTTTTAACGGTTAGAATGGAATAGATGATCGATCCCTTGCTCTGTGAAATAAAAACAAATCTATCCTAAGGGAACCGTACATTTTTCCGGGATAAAAAGTAACCTATGTGCTATTCTAGACTATAATCTATCTCTGTGCCAAATTTCATCCAGATCCGTTAGTCGTTCCAAGCAAACATCCATCCATCAAAACTTTCGCTTTTATAATGTTTATAACGATTACTACTTACTCATTATTTATCAAGTTTAGAAGGCACTATATAAATCTATTTTGTTTGTCGCTTTGAAAATAAAAAAACGAGTGTGTGTACTTATGTATCCAGCTTCATCATGTCGCTCTCAGCTAACTGCATAACGTCGCTTTTTGGCTGTCGGTGTGCGCGCGCATCGTCAAAATGTTACCCTCATATTTTTTTCCAAACGTGCCAATAGAAATATGACTTCAAAAAAAATATTTTCCTTATCACGTCTTATGGATATATGGATATAGATCTTTTATTAAAACTATTTTATGATATGTATATCCATTTAACTATTATATTTTTATTTTTCAAGCCTTTATTATTTTTATTATATGCATATAGTACTTAATTTGCAATATTATGATAATTGGTGTTATTTAGAACATCAAATTATATAATAATTTATTTTATTCCTATGATTTAAAGTAGCTATTGCTACTTTTTAGCTGAAATGTTCTTGCAGACCCACTCCATTCCTTCCTGAAAAATAAAATCACACTTTTTAATTACTAATAATTAATACTTTATTTTATATTTTTCTTTATGGTTATAAATATAATAATGGCAACACTAAATATAGATTACTAATTAATATTTTAAAATTGTAATAATTATAAAAATAATAGCAAAAATTAAATAAATAATTTTCCAAATTCAATTATAATTAAAATTATAAAAATGTTTAAAGTTAAAAAATATTGTAATGTAATTGGTGCAATTTTCATTTTGTTAATTGTGGGTAGGCTGTCTGTAACAACTATACATTCAAGACATGTAACACCTCAGTCTCTCCCGTGACCATGGATGCTGTAAAGCATTCGAAACGTCGGGAAACAAAAATGCAAATAAATCCGCGACAAAATCCGAAAAGATAGTTTTATTTAAAATGTCAAATATTCGCGTAAATCTAAGACAGTATTACAGTTTAACTATTTACGAATCAACAACATCTATTATCTATTTAAGCAAACAAAATTAGCCCGAAGAATAGCCCGAATTAGTGCTGTTCAATTTCTTTGTATGGGATGAGACATCTGTATTAGTATAGTATTATGTGATCTGTGATATACCTTTACCCCCGTCCCATCTGTTGCAACACAGGCTTGTATCTGCCAAGTGCGATCTCTAATTAAATGTAGACCAAGATGCTGAGCCACTTCACTAGCTGGTAATGCTGAAATATTATATATTAAATAGGATGTGCACTCTAATTCCTGTCACTTTCAAATCTCACACTCCGGTGGGACGATACTTCGACACGACCGGTGAGAGTTAAGGCGCAGGACGGACGCGACACGTGCTCTCCGAGGCACGGGGGTGGAACACCGCCAACTTCTCAACTTCGGGCTATTACTGAGAATATCTTAACAGAAATACTCAGTAATTAAACTTGGCCTGACCCGGGATTCGAACCCAGGACCTCCGAATCTGAGACCGTACATGCTAGCCACTAGACCACCGAGGCACTAATAAAATCTAAAAAAAATGTGATTTGAATTTTAATAAATGAACTTTTAAGTTTTAATATTATAATTGTTTTAAAAAAGAAATTAAATGTTAATTATTTTAAAATAAAACATTTTTACCTGCAGCTAAATCCTGTTTATTTGCATATACCAATAAGGGAACAGAACGTAATTTATCATCTTGCAAGAGTTCTGCCAGTTCCAAGCTTGTTTCTTCGAGTCTATGATGATCAGAACAATCTACTACATAGATCTGCAAGTTTTAAAATTTCTAATTGTAAAAAGAAAAATGATAAGTATCATTTTTCTTCTATTATATACTTTAAAAATTGTAAATAAAGATCCAGATAAAAAAAAATATTTTTTTTTTTACAAACATGAATTTAAAACTTTATTTTAAAGATTTGTGTAAAGCCATACATACCAAAATATCAGTATTCTCAAAATAATTTCTCCAGTATGGCCTTATCTTTCTCTGTCCACCAATATCCCATACATTCAACTTAAAGCCATTAGATAAAACTGATTTTATATTAAAGCCGGCGGTCGGAGTGACATGAGATATATCTTCCGCAGCTAACTGTCTCAATAGCGTAGTTTTACCCGCATTGTCCAAGCCAAGCAACAACAAACGTAACTCCCTCTCAGAACCAGAACGCAATTTCCTAAGAATACTTAGCAGACCCTAAAAAATAGTAAAATAAGGACTTTAAACATTTCACCACTCGATTTGAGAATTAATACTACAATTCAAATATAAAGACTTACCATATTTAATAATTGACTAGATTAATGGACGTATTACGTTTGCTGAACTTAGTGTAACATTATTTAATGAATTAAAACATGAATAAGCACAATGTTTGCGTGTTCAAATTTTGTTGACCTAACAACGTTACCATGGTAACGAATTTGATCTTTGTGACATTGACACTTATTTTTTTAAGCTCTTGTATAAATGTAGAATGCTTATTTATTAAACGTGATTTTTTATCATTATGATAATTTTATCACGCTAACGAATTGTAAATGTATTAAAAATTTAAGTAGAACTGTAGTAGTACGTCTTAATTTTATAACAAATACTTCAAATTATAGATTAATAATAAGTTTTCCTTACGTGTAAAATATATAAAAACAAACCGGATTTCATTACTTAAAGTGTTTAGTTTATTGTGTAAAAATAGGTAGGTATTTATTTAAAAATACTAAAATAATCTTAATGAAAACTTGATATTGCCAGAAATTACCTACAAAACAGTTAATTTGATATAACCAAGAGAGCGAAAAGCAGATTTAGCAAAATGCTTATTGCATTACATACTATGAATAAATAATAAGTCTTATTTATTCGTAGATAGCATATTATATTAAATGACGTCAATAAAGTTATCACTAAAGTTGTGCGTGAAGACTCGACCCACACAATATAATCTTTGAAGTGCGTCAATTGACAATTCTAAATTCAATTGTCAATGTCAATTTTATTGTTGTACACGCTGTTTACGCACGTGGGGTAGAATTTTATTTACTATTCTCTTTAGACTAAAATATATAAAATTATAAAACAAAATGGGTAAAGTGAAACAGGAACCTGTGGAACAGGAAGAACAAGGCGATATTAGCATAAAAACGGAACCTCAAACTTATGATGACAAAGTTGAGCATTGCAGTGTTATTGCTAAGCCTATGGCACCGAAGAAACTTAGTAAAAAGATATACAAACTAATCAAAAAATCCAGTGGTCATAAAAATTATATAAGGAATGGCCTGAAGATTGTTCAGAAACAGTTACGTTTAGGAGAAAAAGGGTAAGTCGGCTTATAGGTTATGATGGTTAACTTATATTTTCTATTTTAAATTATAAAAGATCTCTCTCTTGTTAAAAAAATAAACTTAGCGAAACAGTGAAAACCCCAATCAAAAAGAAAGTTTAAATTACATAAGTTACTGTTTATAAGTGAAAAGGAATTTGGAAGTAATATCTTTTATTATCATTATCACTTTAAAAACATATCCCAATATTTCAGAAATATTAATCCAACTTTTTCTTTGTAGCTGTGTATAATTTATTTTTAAAATATTTCCAGGATTGTTGTATTTGCTGGTGACATATCTCCAATAGAAATTATGTGCCATTTACCTGCTGTTTGTGAAGAGAAAGATGTTCCATACTGTTACACACCTAGTCGTAAAGATATTGGTTCAGCTATGGGCACTATGAGAGGATGCATTATGGTACTGGTTAAAGAACATGAAGACTACAAAGACTTGTATGATGAAGTTAAAAGTGAAATCAAACTGCTTGGTCATCCTTTATAAGTTAGATTAAATTAGCTTTAAGTTTAAAGATTATTGAACATACTTTAATGTATCAGAAAATATTGAGGATATTTTCCTTGTCAAATTGTTTTAACGTCATAGCCTCAACAAGGATTTAATAAAATCCTAAGTTATTTCTTGTACCTAACTTAAGTAAAATTTAGTATAAGGACTGAAACCATATTAAAAAATAGACATCTTTCATCACTTGTATCTGCATTAGTAAACTGTGAATTAAACAATAACAATTCTAGTATTAGTTTTATTTTTATTAAACTTAAGTTTTAGTAAATACTAATGACTCACTCTCACTTCGCTTCAGGCTCATTCTTGGAGAAAAACAAATTATCCCATGGGAACTGTACATTTTCTTGGATAAATAATATCCTTTGTGCTATTCCAGACTATAATGCCAAATTTCATCCAGATCTCTTTAGCCATTCTGGCGTGAAAGAGTAACAAACATTCATCCTCACAAACTTTCTCATTTATAATATTATTGTAGGATTGCCTTACTTGTGAATAAATATATACTAGGTTTAATAATGTAGCCTAAAAAATTGTGAAGCTATTCAAATTTTAATGGAGTCTCATGAGAATGTTAGTTTCCAGTCTACTTTTGATTTGGACAAGACTTGCTCATATATTAAACAGTATAATTATACCTCAATTATCAATATATAGAGACTATTAACATAATATGGGAATTTAGTAATAACATTAATTTTGTAACAAAAAAGTTGAAACCTTAAATAATTTAATATGCGAAACAATAAGATATAGATATTTTTAATCAAACAAAGGCTTTCCATTACACATAGATTTATTACACTTATTAAAATCTAAGGGTACGTAAAAAATGGCAGATTGTCTGACCGACAGTGAAGATTGGCAAAATACGTTAGGTACTTTAATTATGCACTAGAATACTAGGGCGTCTAAGCTAAAGGACTAAATTAGCTTTAGAACAATATTTCAGTACATAACCTGTCCTCAACTAGGACTTACGCTAAAATTCTAGTGCTTCTAAACACATCCAAATACTTAGGGCCGTGTTCCTGACCTATAAACTACAATTCCTATACAATTATCTACTGAAATTTGTTCTTCACCAGAATCTAATACTAGTAATTGAAGCAACTTTAAAATCTCTAGCGAAACCATATATTGAGTCGCAATTTACCGTCATTTTATGGCGGTAATTTTGAATGTCATGCGAACTGTAGATGTAAGGATGCGTACATACTATAAAATATTTATTATTTAAGTTGATTTCAGATGTCTTCTTCAAAAAAGCCTTGTAGCTATTTGTAGTTCGAACGAAATATAACGTGAAATAATTATTTTAATCCTTTCTGAGGATAACTTGAAATTAATTATAACCATCACAGACAATGTGAGCGATTCAAAAATAGTTTTGTTTTAATGACTACATTGTATTTATTGAATTACGGCCATACCCTGTATGTAATAGATTACTGTTGAGCTTTATAAGTATTTTATAATTTGGTGAAAATGACACATAACTTGAAAATGTACTTACAAATAGTGTTGTCCCTTATCATGATTGACGTTAACGTAAGCGATTAAGCAGAAATTTTCGGTACTACGAAAATTAATGGTTTACTCACATTGACTGGTAGATGTAATTTTTCAATTTCGTGGTGAATGATGGTGTCATAATTACTTACCCATACAACTTCCCTTTTAATAGAAGAAAGCCATTTGACATTTAGAAAAAACAACACATGAATATTTCAAATAAAACCATTAGCCATTGACGATATTATGATGAGGAAAAAAAACTAGGTATTACATCGCACAAATACTGGTAATTGAAACTGACACTACAATTCGAGTAAACATTCTATTTTTTGATTGTATAATGTAAATATTATCATTTAAAATATATGGTTTCGTCTAAGAGAGCCTAATGAGTAACCCTGCTTGTCAGTGCACTGTCAATGAGATCATACTTTATTATTTTTTTACTCAATAAAGTGTAAGAAAATAGAACAGACTTTTATTTATACGCAGCTATTATTATGTGACTGAAATGTACTTTACGAGCGATTGCACATTATTATTGTAGTTATTTTCAATCAGTTGATATTTTTATTTATATTATATGAGAATATTTTATGGTTTGTTCTACTTATACGTAGGTACAATGCATCGATTTCACTTCATTTTTATTTTTTGTCCGTCCGCCTGTCAGGGGGCTGTATCTCATGAACCGTAATAGGTAGAGAGTTCAAAATTATCACAGAGTATGTATTTCTATTGCCGCTAAAACAACAAACAATAAAAATACAAGAAACATTTTTTAACGTTCATAATCGATCATCGAAGTTAATATATTCCATGCATAGAGTAAAAATCATCTAAATAAAAATTAGGTACATGTATGATGGTTCGGCACCCTTCATATGCGAATTCGACTCGCACTTGACCGATTTTACTTTATTGGTATAGAAACGGTATAGGTAATTTAGAGTGCTTCAAAATACTTTACATCTGAATATACCAAATGGTAAACATTGCAAAAAGTCAAATGTTTAAATACTCTTTTCATAAAACCTCATTACTAGTAATTGTTGTTGGTTTCACATCAATACATAATATCATGGGGTAATAATGTGCAATGCTACAATTCTATAGCGAAGAGAATAATTGTGATTTTGTACTTCGAATTCTTAGAAGTCATAAATTTACTTATAAAATAGTGTCTAATTTCTAGTGTAGTGTAGCAGATTTGAAATATCTTGTAAATATATACAGCGCCCTCTGTAGTGTGCTAGATCTAAACATTACGAAAATAACTTAAAATGTGTTTAAATAATCAGATTCACGGTTCTTCTAGAGCTATAATACAGACTTAAATTGTATAAACATTAAAAAAAATAACTGAACGAAATATATCAAGGAAAGAAAGTATATGTTGTGTTTTACATCGTATTTTAGAATTGTGCGTGTACAAAACTGAAACATAAGATAGAACACTGACATGTACATATTATAAATTAAATTATTATTTTCAAGTACAGAAAATCATTAATATTTTAATGAAATGAGATTTCTCTATAACCATCGCGCAAATAAAACTACATTATATAGATCACAAAAAAATCAATAATATAGTCACTTAAATCTATTTAATACACTAAATTATAATTATTTTAACAATCAAATCTCAAGCGTCATTAAACATTTGTAATAGGTGGTAACTAAGCAAGCCTTTACCTAATATGAAATAAAAAATGCATTAATAATTATAAAATGTAGACTAAAAAAAATTTATGGACTATCTACATAGTCTTAAAGGCTGTCAAAATTGACAAATATAAAAAAAACACCTTTCAATTACAATATATAGTTACCACAGATTACAAACTTACCTCTTTGGTATCCAAATGTCAACAATTTACTAATCACAGATCTGATATTGACCTATCACAGACTACACGTACTCGGCTACAGCTTATAGCAACTTATAAAAATTAATAATTATATATTTATTTACAAAATACATACTTAATTCAAACGTACAAGCATATACAAAAGTATATAACTATTGTAAAAATTTAATATAAGAAATCTTATAAACTAAGCGGTATTGCATTTCATATACATACTAATAAGTGAGTAATTGTCCATCATATCATATTATTATTACACAAAATCATTTAGCTGACAATACTATTAATAATGATAAATAATTTATTAATCATAATAAAGTCTTTAAACTGTCATGATCATTGTCCATTGATAATATTATTATTATTATTAAAAAGAGGTTTTTACCACTTATTTTTGATAGTACTTTGCGAATAGATTTTAATTTTTTACTGGCAGACATACACCATACATCAGTATACCCGTGACCCTAGCGCTTGTAACAGAAAATTAACTCTCAAAAGTAAGCGATAAACATGGTAAATATCCCGTTTTACAACCAAATAATATTAATCATAATACTCGATAAAAACAAAAATTATTGAAAAATATAAACTGACTGGTTAGTTTTATTTTGACATATTTTGCAGTGTTGTCAGCTAACAAACTAAACATTAATTATACGTTATATTTATTCGTGCTGAATGCAAGTTTTTTATTATTAATAACTAGTAATTTAAGAACTATGATGAAATATGAATAACTGGCGTACAAAAATATGAATTGTGTAAATATTATTATATATAAATTTAAAATTTATAAAGTGTGTATGTGTATGTGGGCTTAGATTTTATAGTGGATCGAAATTTTCAATATAGAATTTTCTGATGATTCGTAAAGGCTTCAGTTGAACATGGGGCTCAAACAAGATGATAATCTACAATCGTTGACGAAGAGAAATCTAACAAATATAGGATGGAACAAAGTACGTCAGACTAGAAAAAAAATTCGTTAAATATTAAACATATCAAGTTTCGATAAAATAGTGAAGGTGTATTTTTTTGATTTTTTTTTAGTTTCTTAGTTAAATTACTGACTTAAGCAAGCTTCTTTAAAGTATTAGGTTGTAATTATTCTTATTTATTAAACAGTCCTTTGGGTGAAACTTTCTATCTTCAATATTTAAAGTACCTTTATGTCATATTCGTTTATTCCACCCTGTTTACGGTAATGACGTATGATGTTTCTATGATATAAAAATTAAAGTCATTTCGTTAAAAAAATCAATTTTTAATCGATTGTAGAATTTCATCTTATTTAAACCTGCATTATAAAGACATTTGAGACTACTGCACTTTTTGGGTCGAAATATAATGTTAGTAGTTTAATTTAAAAACAAATTTTGTGTTTTAATACATAGTGGAAATAGGGCAAGTCTATTGTAGTTCAAAATTCGGTCACATTACTTACTACAACATCGTCTCAAATTATTTCTAATTACACAACTTTATCAAGCGTTAGATCATAATTAAGCTTATTTTATGAATTATATAAATTATATATTAAAAAGTTCACGTTACGGAAATCTGGATACATTCAATGCTTCTTTTTTGTTTATCACATTTAATTTTAAGGTTTATGGAAAATGGGCAGAACGCTTGAAGCGTTTAGTAAAATATACTATTAATGGCTCTAATTAACACAATATGATTATTGAGTTACGCGAAATAAAATAATAACATGTTTCATAGAACATTTTTTTATGAAAACCCATTAGCATCAACTTATATTATATATCTAATTATTTGTTTAATTAAATAAAAAAAAAAACAAAAACGACTTGTGATATACATTACATTCTACATTTCCATTCGATTTTATTTTTTTTTACCAATTCCTACCATTTTCTTACAAATCCTAACATTCGCTAGTAATTGAAAATATTATTAAATACATGAGTCAACATATAAAATTAACTCATTAATACAAATTGATATCAAATCTAAATAGAAGCTTAAATCGATATTGGCCACAAAATTTGTTTTTTTTAAAAGCCAGTCAATCTTCTTCATATACGAGTATATCGACATTTCCTTACAATTTCTTTGCTTCGCATAATTTTGAAACATAGTTCAAAATAATATAACTCTATCACATTCGGCTATCAACAATGCTGTAATCATTTCCTCAAAACTAAAAAGGTTCGAATCAAATTGACGTTGACAGATAAAAAAACATGTCAAATTTAATACTTTTCATATATAATCAAGGAGTTAATTATCATATGATGTAGTCAATTGTAAAACCATCGATGCTGGCACGCTTTGAAGCTATTAACAAGAAAATTGAATGGAATTGAATTGAAAACCATCGATAAATAGACGAGTGTGACAAAACTCAAAAGACTAGATAGTCTTTGACATTGTGCATGTAACCGATGACCGTAACGCATTTAAGTGTAAATGTGGAACAGTATGAGAATAGTCAGTATCGTGCTCATGAAGCACATGGAAACGGGCAGGAGAACCGCAAAACGCAGCGATCTGCGGAAAATATATACTCTAATTTACAAAAACATTTCGACGACACGTTTGACTCAGTTTGTAATGACCCTAGTTTCTGTGCCAGCGGTCGCAGGTTCGAGTCCCGCTGATGGCATTCATTTGTGTGATGAGCACGAATGTTTGTACTCCAGTCATGGGTGTTTATTTTTATAATATGTATGTATTTAAAGTTACATATGTGTAGTGTATCAACTATCTGGTATCCATAACACAGGCATCGTAGCTTGCCATGGAACTAGATGGTGCTGTGTTAATGTCCCAACATATTTATATATTTACGAAACAATCTACAGTCTCATCATTTTATAATCAACTTTCACTGTAATACAATAAAAACAACATGTTATTTATTCAACTTTTTTTAAAATTGCAATAATGCAATATTACAGTGAAAGATAGGTAGAAAATGACTATATTCGCCAATTCTTGAATGTTTTCAAAGATGATCAATCGAAAAAAAACCATTTAAAACAAAAATACATTTATTATTAATTTTAAAAATCAGTGGGCCACTTCAAAGTGCTGAGTAAAAAATTTATTTTAGTTTTCAAAAAGCTTGTTTTTTATAAGCTACAAATTCTACCCCCAAGCTAAGCTAACATACGCGCGTATATGTGTATATGTATGCGTGTGTGTGTGTGTTTGTTTGTGTGTATTGCGTTACCTCCAGTAAGGCAGATGTCAGAGCGGCGGCTGCTGCGGCTCGGTGCGGCACAGCGCGGTGCTCGCGTCCGCCGGGACGCTCTCGCGACGCACTTTACCTGTTGTTATCACTACATAGTATAAAACAAAGTCGCTTCCCGCTGTCGGTCTGTCCCTATGTATGCTTACATCTTTAAAATTACGCAACGGATTGCGGATGCGGTTTGTTTTTAATAGATAGAGTGATTCAAAAGGAAGGTTTATATGTATAATGCATGCATATTATAGTACATAATAACCGAGATTTGAAAGATTTGTATTTTATACTAACCGTCAAAACGTACCTACAACGCGTATTATTTTCAACTAGCATAGTTCAATTATATAATACACTAGCGACTCACCCTCACTTGATAATTTCCGGGATAAAAAAATATTCTATGTCCTTTCCAGGGTCTCACACTATCTTCTTATCAAATTTCATCTAAATCGGTTCAGTAGTTTCGAAACCCATTCGGTAAAAACAAACAAACAAATCTTTCCTCTTTATAACATTAGTATAGATATAATTCTGTATGTCTGTTATCTTTTCACGCTTAATCCACTGAACCGATTTATATTTAGAGCTTCAAACTATCTTCATACCAAATTTCATATAAATCGGTTCAGCGGATTAAGCACGAAAAGGTAACAAACAGACAGAGTTACTATACATAAGCCCCAAAATATTGTATACATACTGGAAAAACATAAGCAGCCAGTCTGCTGGTTCGCCTGTAGTGATGTATTTGGTCTGATCTCCTTCTGTTCTTTGGACTGTTCCGTCACGCATTTTTGATAGTAGTCGAACTCTTTCACGTACCTGGTGAAAGAAAGGTGAATGTAAAGTACTAGTAACAATATTACTTATTCGCTCTTATTTAGTCCCACTACTGGGCGTAGGCATCCCATCAATACGAGGGGGATCAGGCCATAGACCACCACGCTGGTCAAGCGCGGGCAGACTGAACATGTCCTTCGAAAATTTACTAAGTTCTCTAACACATGCAGGTTTCCTCACGATGTTTTCCTTCGCCATAAGACAAGTGAAATGAAAGTATCAGAGGTGCGAGACCCGGGATTTGGATTATAAATATTTCTATACTAGCAAAATTCGCGGCTTCACCCTTGTTCAAAATACGAATAAACAAACTCTTCTTTCCCTTCCCTTCATAATAATGTATGGAAAACTGCTCGATTTGTTGACATTTATGATTACTGCTTCGCTACCTTAGAAAGGAGCATGATTATAATATTAAATACAAATATACAATGTATACAATATACATAGATAGTAAGAAAAAGACAATCTATCGTCTGTACTATTATACAACTGTATCATTTTGTGGTATTAGTATTGAATTGTGTCATCTCCCATCTCCTTCGTGTTTTCTCTATTGTACGTGACATTGGCCAAGTAAAATTCTGGCGCGTAAATTTAAGCGCGGTAGCTCTCATTGAATTGACTTGTGACCTATTGTACTAATAGTGTTGTCACACACTGGGGGCTGGCCCACCTTGGTGGGCGGTGTACCACGCTGGTTGTTCCAGGTACTTCACTGATAGCAGTGGAGAGGATGCGGTCCTATGGTTGTGTGGTCTGTGTCGGAAGACCTGCCGTCGGGGCGTCGTAGTTGAATGCGTAAGCGATCCTGCGACGCCCCATTAAGACGTGGGAGATTTTGTTGGGGTTTAGTGGGTAATACTGGCTGCTCTAGTCGGTGAGTCCTATATAACCACCTGTATGTACCTGTATATACAGATGGTATGCCTAAATAATATCCAAAGTAAAAAACAATATAGCACAGTAACGCACCAGACGGGCGGCCAGCGGTTGTCGGCGAGGTAGTCGCGCGAGGCGGCGCTGAGGTGGCGCGCGCGGCACACGCGGTCGTAGGCGCCGCACAGCCGCCACGTGCACCACTCCGATAGGTTGTGCGCGTTGTGCAGCTGCACACACACATACAGTATTTAGTACCTCCGATTTGACGTCAGCGCATTAAAATACAAGTAGTTAGGTGGTTCTGGTCAAATATACAGATTATAAATTTTGAAAATGACAAAAAAATCGACTTTTTTCGAATTTCCAAAATATCTTTACTAGCGGCTCAAATTTTTCAAAATCATCTCTTTTTCTAATGTTTCGGAGAAAAAATCGCTGACCCAAGTGCGCACACTTTCGTCGAAAACGAGTTATAAAAAAACATTTTTTTCTCTTTATAATATTAGTACCTCTAAATAATTTGAAACCATCAACCAAAATCTGTTGATAGAGGCAAAAGATGAGAATGGAAGTTTTCAAGATTTAGTTAATTTAATTCGTTTGGCAAGCTAATCAAATATTCTTTATTGCACACCATTATTTTACTTTACATAGTTAAAACAGGTTAAAGAGAAATAGTACAATGGGCGGCCTTATCGCTAGAGAGCGATCTATTTTAGGCAACCTTTGGGTAGAGAGAAAGAAAGAGAGAAGGTGCAAACAATCTTAAGGAGAACTACAAATGAATACATACATAGACAAACAAATATATACATATATACACACATACATACATACATACATACATACACACATATACACACTATACATATAAAATATTAAGTATATATTTTTTTATATTAAATAGTATATTAAATAATAAGAAGTACATATTTAATAATAATTTAAATTCAATTTAATTGCCAACGAGGAATATATATACAAAACACACTATTGTATGAAATATAACTTACTTTTACAGGTTCTAATAGAGATAGTGCGATTTCCACAACCTGATCATCTTCTCCGAGTCTGAAAAAGTTAAATAAAGTGATTCCTGACAGTGAACACATTTTTACCAGAATAAAAACTATTTAGTGCATTCAGTGGTAATATAGATTCCTGTTAGTGAAAGCATTTTTAGTATCGAATCAGAGTTTCAGATATACATACAAACTTACAAACTTTACCTCTTTATAATTATACTAAGAGTAACATGAATACAGCTTTCCTCACCTGTCCTGATGCTGAAGAGTATCTATGACCCTGGCTTCCACTAAATTGACCAATCTATTCATACACAATCTGTTCGCCAGTTCCAGTAGTTCCAAACACCTGGTCGGTTCCACTGTGGGTATTTTGTCGGAGTAAATGTAGCATAAGAAAATATGGAACGCATACATTTTCACGCCTGGGAAGGATATCTGTAAGAAAGTGTGAGTGAAGTGTAAGTGTAGCTTAAAGTGGAAAAATATAGTCTTTTTTTATTCTTTTATAATATAGAAAAAAAATTGTGGTGTGAGGATTAAACACTTATTTTCATCTTCAATTATTTTTGTAAAATATTTTCTTAATGATTTTTTTTTAATTTAAGTATTGTACATACTACAGACATTTTATCCGCGTTTTTTTGTATTGTTTTCTTTTAAATATCTTTTTGCTTTATTAAAAATAGTCTAGAGTGTACGGTAGAAAAGTTATACACTGATTATAATTTTATAGACTTTAAAGATTCAAAATTAACGATTTTGACGTTATTAAAATCATTAATAAGAGAATTGAATTGAAAGAAGACTAGACAGCGTACCTCTCAAGTACTGTGTTTTAGGGGTTCATTCGATTATTTTTTTTGCAATTTCTAGCTACTAACAGACTATTATTATATATTATATTATATTCCCCACTCACCACCCTAGAAGTGCTCTCCCTAAAGTGTCCCTGGAACATAGCTTTCATGGGGTCGCACCTCGCCATGAGCATGGCTCTGTGCGCGTGGTGTATGCCGTCGTCGAGGTCGAACGTCACGTCTGAGAAGAGGTTGCGCTCTACGTACATGTCTCGTAGTCTTTGGGGGAGAGGCTTTATGGAAGAAGATTACATTTAATTTAACATTTAACACACTTTTATTAACTTTATTGCAAGTAAAAATCAAATTAATAAATAAATATGTTGGGATATTAACACACAGCACCATCTAGTTCCATGGTAAGCTACGAGGTTTGTGTTATGGATACCAGATAGTTGATACACTACACATATATCACTTTAAATACATACATATTATAAATATAAACACCCATGACTGGAGTACAAGCATTCACGCATCTCCGTGCCCTCAGCGGGACTCGAACCCGCAACCGCTGGCACAGCAAGTAGGGTCACTACAAATTGAGCCAAACGTGTCTTCAAATTATTCCATTATTATTATGAGTTTGGATGGATGGATGTTTGTTACTCAATCACGCCAGAGCGGCTGAACGGATCTGGGTGATATTTGGCATAGAGATAGATTACAGTCTGGATTAGCACATAGTTTTTTATCCAGGAAAAATGACGGTACGGTTTCCGTGGGATAGATTTGTTTTTGTTTTTCACGAAGCAGGAATCGACTATATATTCGATACTAACCATCATGTCAAGTAATGTTACGTCTTTATAATTAATATAATTAAATATATATATTTTCAAGTCATGTATTTAGAAAATGTTATTAATATGTATTATATACGTAACTTTTTTGTTATTTTTTTTTTTGATCCATTAATGTAACTTTAAAATTTTTAAGTTATGCCACTTTTATTTTTTTCAAAACTATAATTTGTGTGTAGTATATATTTTTATAGTATATATTTTTTTATACAAAGTGATAAAATAACTTACGGAATAAAACTGATGCATGAACCCCTTATCGAAGAGCAAATGCTGGTCGAGTATGAACTGGCTGAGTTTCGTCAGTTCGTGAAAGCCGAGTAATTCGGCCGCTTGACGTATTTCCTGCCAACCATTGTGGATTGAAAAAACATAATCCGCTATATAAATAAAAATGAATGTTCGTATGTTTGTCCTCCATGCGTTCCTAGACCATTGATCCGATTGTGATGAAATTTTGGTACGTTATTCTGTATACACCTACAAAGGTTATTGAAGCAAAACAAAGGATTTTCTTTGGATGTTTGATTTTTATTCGTTCCTAAATCATTTAAGCTGTAAACTCGCTAGTTTATACATTTATTTAATTATAATTTTATATATTTACTATTTACGTTTATTTGTTAAAATTATATAAAACACTATATTTACGATTTTATAGCCAATTCATTTTTTTCTGTGTCTATTTTATACCTAGATCTTAGTAAAAAACCGCTTCTCAGAAAAAAATTGTTTAAATATATTATAAAAGTGATGAAAAATGGATTGATAGAATATGCGCGTGCGTTGAAATATTAAATAAAATAAGAATAATAATAATAATACATATATTATAAAAGACATGTGCAATGAATCATAGAAAGGAAGCCTCTGTGAATAGCGAATACAATATAAGATATAAAATATATGGCACCTAAATACAATATTAAATTGTTTCATTAATAAATAATAATAACAATAATGATAAATTAATAATTATGAAAGTGAATTATTTATTATAATGACAGTTACCAGTAGTAATCCAATAGCAGCGGACTGCAGAAGATATTATTCATTTATTATTATATATTTTTATTTAATATTATAATTATTACATAATATATTATAATACAGTTTAAGAGATAGCAATAGGGTATAGACTAGAAATAACTAAAAGCAGTATAAAAGTGGCAGAAGATATCATTAAATTTTAATAATGATAAAGTATTTAAATACAAACGAAGCGGGGTTTTGGACTATATTGTGATTATACAAAAAAAAGGTTTTTTGTATAGAGACTGGAACTTCTGGAATGTGACAGTCTACTTCTATTAGGCTTTTTGTTTTGAACCAAGTCAGTTATTGAAATGTTTGCCATTATTGATTTATTGTATAAAATGAAATACGTTATTTAAATATCGACTAAATTAGAATTAACTAGAATTTTTCTTCTTGTGGCACAATCAAAAATAGAGTGGCATAACACGAAATGATACCATTGCTACTATATTGTCTATATTACCATTTTCATCTACAAAATTTCTTGATCTTATTTTTTTCTATACCAAAATATTATAAAACTGAAGAATGCTAATATTTGAATTTTGAACGTTATAATCATCGGAACCATAAGTCCGATAAGAAATATTTTTCGTTCAAATATAATCTATTTATAAACAACCGCGAACAAATACTAGTACAAATTTCAATAAAATCTAGATTCTAGACTAACTTCCAACATAATATCACAGTAAAATCCAAAACCCAAAGGCAAAACGAGAAGCCATACCGACCGTCACCCATAACAAAGACTAACCTGCTGTTTAAACGCACCGCTGTCTATGACGCCGGTGTACGCGAAGTTAATGATCTCTTGCATCACGTTTTGCGATATGAGCTTACTCATCGTCACTATTGTTTGGGTCCGTGATGTGGCGTGTTGGATTTTATCACACTGGAATTCATTTCATTTACTAAAAAAATACATATTATACTCTCTTGGGTTTACGCCAATATTTGACATTTAAAATAAAACTATCGTTTCGGATTTCTTTGCGGATTTATTTTGATATTTTGGTTCTCGACGTTTCGAATGCTTTACAGCACTCATGGTCACGGAAGAGACTAAAGTTTTAGATGTCTCAACGGCATTTTATGGTTGTTACAGACAGCCTAGCCACAAAATAAAAAAAAATAATTCATCAAATTCAACAAACTCTCTCATGACCATAATTGCTGTAAGGCAATCGAAACGTCGGAAACCAAAAATCAAAATAAATCCGCAAAAAAATCCGAAATAATAGTTTTATTTAAAAAATCTATACTTATAATATTATGTTAAAGTGTGTTTGTTTATCTGTTCTTCTTTCACGTCGAAACAGAGCGAGGGATTGGCGTGATTTTTTGTGTATAGATACTTGAAAGGCTGGAGACTGACATAGGCTACTTTTTACCGCGGGTGATTATCTCATTCCTACGGGAAAACATCTAATTATACAACCCACAACGACTCATCATACATTTGTATACTATATACATATAATATATAGTCTATCTATTCCATACTAACCGTTAAAACGTACCTAGGGACAAACCCGAGCGAAGCCAGTGTGAGTCGCTAGTTATCACTAAATATATCTTGTGTCATTTAAGAAAATGTAAGACACATTCTTTATGAAATCAATACCAATATTTTACAATCTTCTGTACTACGTTCTATGATACGAGCTTACTCACAGTCACAATAGTTTAGGTCCGTGATTTGGCGTGTTGGATATTGTTGCACTGGAATTTTCGTAAGTTTTCTTGCAATGACGTTCAATGAAATGAATATCAATGTTTTACGATTTTTGGTATCACGTTCTGTTAGTAGTGGTAGTATAGTGTTTAATTTATCATTCAATCATCATGATATTCGTTTTTTATAAATAAATTATGATTAATTTACCTACACTAAAAATCTAAAATTAAAATTCAATGTTCTATTCTTATTTTAAGTACCTCTCATTTTAAATTAAACTTTTTTTTTAATTTTTTTCACGATTTTATTTTTACTTTAATTTTTAGCTATCTCCCACGTGACTCTCCCGTGACTATGTTTGCTGTAAATCATCCAAAATATCGGGAATGATAAATCAGAACAAAAATAAAACTGCAAATAAATCCCCAAAAAATATACTTAGAACGTCATAATCGCGTAAATTTTAGAAAATATTACATAAAAGCTCTCACATATACAAACTAGCGTACAAACCTTAACAACTCGTATGGAAACGATCGCGGGATGATTCACTTCTCTATATAAATCCGGTGGTTTCTTACAACTGTCACTGAGCGGCAGAATTTGACAAGACGAACGACGTTTTATATGATCTAGTACTCTGAAACAAATGGTAAGTATCTAAGATTTTTTTTTAGAGAAAACTAAAATCAGTTTTAGTAAATAAGTCATCTATGACATAGATTATATGTAGTAAATACATATAAGGCTCTGGAGAACTGCTTTGGAAATAAGGGAAATAGGTTCAAATCCCAGATACCGCACCTTTAAGATTTTCTTTTGCGAATTGAATTGTTTTTGAGCATATTGAACGTAGATAGCGTAGTGGGTTATAGCTTACTCTCCCTTAAATTGAGAAAGAGCTCTATAAAATCACTCGGGAAGGGGTACAATCAAAAGTTTTACAGAATGAAGAAAAGAGGCAGTCATGAGGACTGCCGACAAAAGTGAAAACTTAAAACTATAAGCAAACAGTTGTTATATTCGGATATTCAAATTAATTGTTTAATCTTAAATTAAAATTTGTAAATTAAAACTGTTTACGTTTATCTGGTTAGCGTTAACACGTCACGTGACCATGTCGATGACGACTTACATGAATTTACTCCCCATCCGAACCTGATACCGAAACTGAACCGAAACAAAAAAAAATCGCCCTATCATTTGGCAAAAAGGTCCGAATTTTTTTTTATAGAAGCGTACATTAACTACTGGACTAAATGGAGACATCTCCATTTTAATTTATGTATGTTCAAAATGTTAAAATTCTAGTTCAATAATAATTATTAATCACTCACTTCATTTGTTTTGCTTGATCTTGCCTTATAAGATATTCAGTATCTTCATTGAACTCGCCAGCGGTCGCTTCTCCCATACTGCTCACCTGTAAGCATCTACCTATAAGTATAAATACCTCCAACTTATGAGTATACAGTGTATATATGCTTCAAAACACGTACATATGTAATCCTAAAAAAACTTACATATACACACAAAAATATGTGCTTTCTTATCTATAGACTATACTTATATTAAAATAGTAACAAAGCCAAATCTGTGCATGAAATATATTTTTTAAAACAATGACTGTTACGCATTGTGTACAGAATATATTGCTTTCGTACGCTGACATGGCCAGCGCCGGCTAAACCTTAAAATATACATCAAAACAATCAACAATAGGTAGTCTTAAAATTCCCAATAATTCAGTATAAGGTAATCCAATTAGATCTGATAGAAATCGATTAACAAAATTTTTATTTGCATTTTTTTAACACTTACATTTAGGCTTGGACCATAGGAAACGGCCCTAAAATAAACTATAAAGAGTACTATAATATCTACATATAGTTTTATTTTGCTAGTTTTGAAATTAACTAAGACATATCGCTTTGGAAAAAGTTATCCCCGGAGGCTTTTTTTTAAATAGCTCTTCGATTAACTAAGATATAGAGCTAATATTTACTGGATCAATTACTGTTAGTGTCCTCTACAATATAACATTGGTTAAGATATAGGTTTCTATCGGGGCCAGTTTCGCCATAGAAGTACGGCTAAACACTTTTGTATTAATAATTAGCGACTCACCCTCACTTCGCTCGAGTTCGTCTTTAGCTTGCTTCAAAATACAAACTTTCAACCCCATTTTCACCCCCTTCAAGGAGGATTTCCGGGATAAAAAGTATCTTATGTCCTTCCCAGGATCTCAAACTATGTTCTTACCAAATTTCATCTAAATCGGTTCAGTAGATCCAGAGATTACCCCCTACAACATCACAAACTCACAAACTTTACCTCTTTATAATATTAGTATAGACATACAGACAGTGTTGCCTCTTGGCAAATTTTATTATTAACATTAATTACAGCATATATGTTATATCTGTGTATGTTATATGTGTGTAAATGGGGCTCAGTAGTGCTTTTTGGCTAAAAAGCCAAGAAAACGCACTGGGTACCATGCGTGTTGCTTCTGGTTCATCTCTGATAACAGAGTGGACCTTGGAGCAACCCCATGGTTGTTGTGGTCTGCTTCGGCAAACCTGCCGTCGGGGCGTCGTAGTTGAGTGCGGATGCGATCCTGCGACGCTCCATTAAGACGGGGGAGGTTTTGTTGGGTTTTAGTGGGTAGTACTGGCTTTTCAAGCCGATGAGTCCCACATAACCACCTGTATGTCTTCAGGTGGTATGCGTAAATGCATTTACCAACAATAAAAAGAAAAGTTGTCTCTACTGACAGCCCTGCCATACACACACCGCACAAACAACTCACCATACTACTCTCGCTGGAGCTCCTCGCTAGTTCCGCGGACAGACTGACGCAGTCCGTCGTCAGCAGGCGGTGGAAGGCCTCGCACGCGGCCGCCATCAGGTACCTGTGCACGGGGAAGCCCTTCGCGCCGCATATTATCACCATGTCCGTGAAGTACTGGTGGTGTAACGACATACAGGTTACAGTTAAACTCGAGAGACATGACTTCTTTGCCGATAGAGAAATGGATAGGTTATAAGTAGATAGGTGGATAGATGGATTAGTGGATAGGTGAATGGGTGGAATGATAGATAGATAGATAGATAGATAAACCAATGGATAGACAGATATACAGAATAAGTATAATAAATATATCTAGAAATACCAAAGAATTCGTATATAAATGAGATCAATATAACAATTTATTACTAATTCATTGATATTATTATTCACCTGTTGTCTTAATAAACCAGTCATATTTTCCAAGAGAGCACTATTCGCTACCACAACTTCGGGTTCTAGCGGTCTTGGTGGCCTAAAAGGGGCCTGAAACAAATAGTTATACTTAATTTCACGTTTAAATTGCATGCAATTGCATTTTTATATTAATTTCACCAAATGGTCCGTGCAGCATTACGTTATTTATATGAGAATTCTCCTATAGGCTATAGAAAACATCAAAACAAACAAACAGTACAAACAAATATACCACAAAACATAGATTTTTAAAAATATATCTCCCATTATATATATTAAATAAATGAACAAAAGAATAGCTGAATGAATTATAAATACATAAAAATCTTTATAGCTTTTTACAATTTAATATGAACTCCTAATTTATTAAGGAATATACAACGGTTTAAGTTTAATAGAAGCTAAAAAATCTCTAAAAACTACCTACTATGTAATTAGTTACTCACAAAATTTGTTTCAATACCATACCAAAACAAATAGAAGTGGAGATAAAAAAGGATACAAAAAATAAACCTAACAAGTCACAAAATGAATGAAAGAGCAAATACATCAAACTAAACAAACAAATGAACCAATAGTAAATGAACTGAATGAATGTAGCTTGGTCATCTAAAATGATCCAATACTGAATAGGCGTAAAACAAAAACAATGTTAACAAATAAATTAAAGATGAATAAACGAAAGTGAATGAATATACAAATCATTCACCAGTAACGACCTTTGAACTTTTTGAAGTAAAATTTCTTTAGGCGCGACTGAGGGGTAAGTAAATCAAACAATTTGTAAAATGCGTGTCGCGGAAGTGAGAGTCAAATTTACTATAGATAATTTAAATATAATATTATATTTATATTTTTATAATAATTATTAGTTATAAAAATGAATATTATATAATACTAATAATTTTATAAAAAATATTATATTTATATTTTGATTTGTTTTAATTTATGCGGTATCTGCCACAGCGCGAAAGAAGTTTTACTTAACCGCGCGTAAGGATTACACGCACTATTTTTTTTAACTAACCATCCAACATGAACAAATACACAAAAGGCATAAAACAAAAAGTAAACAAACGAATGAACGATGAATGAACGACAGTGAATGAATACACAAATCATTCACCTGTAAAAGCGGCCTTTGAACTCTTTTGAGATTAGTCATCCAAAATCTCTGCTGTCGCCTTGCAATAAGGGCGGCTCGTATCGCATTCTCAAACACTTCATTCACACCGTAATAAGTGAATACGGACGTTTCATAATAATATATCCCGAACTCGTGCGCTAAGGCGCGCCCTTGATCTGGCATTACTAGATCGCTTTTCCTTGGAGCTCTGTTTATTAGAACATAAAATCCGTCGTTATACTGTTGTTCCTTTAACAGACTTTAAAAAGGGTTGGCATTTTAGCTGTTTTTACCCGACTGCGACGGAACCCAAAGGATGGTCATGTATTCGGCCTGTTTCTATGTATGTATGTATGTATGTCCGACCCTATGTTACTGCATAATATTAACATTACTATATTTTTTCGTCATTACTTGTTCTTGTATTTTTAGTTCGGTTTTTTACGCAGTCGGGATTTTTTTTTAATTTTGTAATTTTTTTATCTGACCGATAAAGGATGAGGCTAATATTATTTTACCGATTTTAATTATATTTTTTATTTAATAGGCTCTTTGAAAGTGTGATTAAATTAGAAAAAAATATTATAAGGGTGCCAATGTTTATAGCTATTATTTTATATTATAGAATTATATTATAATACGCTACATGCATAGATAGGTAGATAGTAAAAAAAAGAGTAGAAAAAGTTAAAAAAGCAATACATTAATAATTATAATTAGTATAAATATTTGAAGTAAGGTCAATAATGTAAAAAATAATAAGGGCAGCCATTTTTGTGTTCAAAAACATTGTTTACTGGCAAAAAGAAATATTTTTATACTGTAACTATAGGCATATAGTATACATATTATATTGGTTTAAGTAAATTGGTATAATAAATAAAGAATATATAAGACCAAGTGAGAAATTGCTTACCTGATAAATGGGCTTCTATCCTTGCAATAGTTTAAATAAGTCTCATCTCTGTACATATAACGGAGATCGTTCTTACATCCCACAAGTAAAATTGGTGTGTTTGGGCAGAATCGTCTAAAATAAAGGAAAAACAAATATATATTGAAATCGTAAAAGAAAAATACATTTTAATTTGTACCTAGGATATTCAAAAAGAACTGTCTTATAGGTCTAGTGGCTAGCAAGAGTGCTTGCAGATTCGGTGGTCCTGGGCTTGAGTCCCGGGTCGGACCAAGTTTAACTATTGATTTTTTCTGGTAAGCAATTCTCAGTAACGGCCCGAAGTTGGGTAGTTGGCGGTGATCATTCCCGCGCCGAGGCAGAGCGCCATCTGTCTCACACCTGATCTCTCACCGCAAGTGTTGAAGTATCCCACCAAAGTTTGAGACTTGAGAGTAACAGGAATAGAGTGTCTAGACTTTATTCCTGTCACTCTCAAACTGTTTACTCACAAAATGCCATCCCATTAATATTATAAATAAGTTTGGATAGATGGATGTTTTTTAATCACGCCAGAACGGCTGAACGGATCTGGATAAAATTTGGCACAGAGATAGATTATAATCTGGAATAGCACATGTACTACTTTTTATCCCCGAAAATTTTCTGTGCCCATAGATTTGCTTTGATCGCTAGTGTGTAATATATCTTGCGCAATTGGCTAGTTATAATGTGATCGACTACCATGGCCGAATTCAATAAATATACTGAACTGTTTTCAAAATAATGAGTATAATGAGATATATTTGAATGCCGATCATGAAACAGTCTTAATGATACCTTGAATAGTTTAAATTAAAAGAAAAAAATCCGCTCTCCTAAATGACCTGTAGATATAAGTTATTAGTTTAAATCGAATATTATTATCACTACGCGTTTGTTTTACCTACATTTAAAAAGTCCTATACTTTATAGGCAAAAGCCAATTTAACTTTCTTATTTAATTAAAGATATAGATAAATAAAACGTTTATGTCATTTTTATTTCAACACAACATGTAGCAGGTACATTAAATACCATTTAAAGTTACTTTTATATAATTAATTCATTATTTTATTTAAACGTTTAAACTTGTTTTATGTCAAATACTAATCATTGATATACAAAAACTCAAGATACACAATTAGCGTTTCATAAGTGTCCTCAAAAAAAGTGCACAATTCAAAATTGAATTGCGCTTTTTTTCACATGTCTTTTGTTCATTGCTAAATTAAAACTGTATCGTTTCGTCAAAAAACATACTCTATGTAGTGTGCGTAAGTTCGAATTTGTGTTTAGACAATTAGAAGTTTCGCTTTTTGAATTTCATTCTTTGGTTTGACTTAACGTCACACGTCGACGGCACTTTTTGAACATATATTTGTTAAGATATGTGTTTGTATGGTTTTTATGTATCATTGACTAATATATTATTTAAATAATAGCATTTACTCACCGTATTTCAGGATACCACATGGCCCCGCAGTTTCTCAATGAAATAGGATTAGTTATTGAGAAACATAACAACACAACGTCGGATCTGAAAAATAAAATCGTACAAGTGCTTCGTGTTACGATCGAATTATATAATAATAATTATATTATGTTGATAAACACCTTTTGTGTATTCGAGTGCTAGTCTAATCGGAATATTATAATATATATATAATAATAATATAATAAGTATTCGTTCTGTGTTATTTTATCTATACAGATAAAAAATGAAGTATCTGTTTGTAATGTTAAAAAATCAGCTTTTTATTAAATGCATATGAATTCATTTTCTTTTTCATTCACCATTCCATTCAATTTACATTTATCTGTTTGCTCTGGCTAATCTCCGAAACTACTGGACAGGTTTTGACGGGACTTTCACTGGCAGATAGCTGATGTTATAAGGTAGTAATTTAGGCTACTTTTATTTTAGAAAAAGAATTAGGGTTCCGCTTGAAAAAATTAAAACGTACCTAGGGACGCACCCGAGCAGAGCGAGGGTGAGTCGCTAGTTTGTAAATTGTATCTATTACATTGACTAGGTCAAAGATAATTTTGTATGAAGAAAATCGTTGAGCAGTCTTAATACTTGTAAAAGTAAGTTAACAAACCCGTCAAAAGTACATTCACTTTAACAAGAAAGGTTTTCTTCGAACGAGTTTATATCGTAATTAAAAATTTAATCTTATCGTCGTAAAATGTTAAACAAATCAAATGTTTAAATCAGGCAATACCGAATAAGTAAATACGATAAAATGAAAACGCTCTTATTTTTTTTTCACTAAACCTTTTGTTTTGTAAAAGAAGAATAAGCATTAACTTTAATATTGAGTTTGAATATTTCAGAAGTATGTGTCACGAAGAAGCCGGCTACCCGACTTTTGTGTTTTAGGGCCTATACACACTTTTCTTTATTAACGCGCGTATCATGAACGTACGTCATCTAAGCATATTCTGCTTTAATCAAATAAAATGTAGATTATTTGCGATATAGATTATAGACACACAAGCGCGCGACGAACGTTTAAAACCGTGGGCATAGTAATTAATATATGGATATGTTATTTATATTAATAATTGAATTACTCAATAGATATGTGTACATGTTTGACGACACGTTTGGCTCAATTGGTGGTGACCCTACTAGCTGTTCGTGTGGTCACAGGTTCGAGTCCAGCTAGGGGCATTCATTTGTGTGATGAGCACGAACGTTTGTACTCCAGTCATGGGTGTTTGTATTTACAATATGTATGTATTTAAAGTTATATATGTGTAGTGTATCAACTATCTGGTATCCATAACACAAGCCTCGTAGCTTACCATGGAACTAAATGGCACTGTGTGTTAATATCCCAACATTTATTTCATTACATGTAATTCATTAAATTATAATACATTTACCTTCCATAAGCAAATCTTCTATCCTTTTCGTGATCACCGAAAGTATCCCAAAGTCTCAATGAGACATTTACTCCGTCTACGACTTCCCATGATCGTTCCAAGACCTAAATCAGTTAAAAATGATTGAGTAACGGTCATCCAAAACTTAAAAAAATACTTTATTAATTATTTTAAAAAAAAGTATAGAACAAGTTGGCAAGATTAGTCTGTTCCTTTTTTTTGCGGATGTAAATATGTGGGATTACTCTAGTTGATGCTTTGTGGATGGAAAGTACCTACGCCGTTTAATGTAATAATTACGTTAAAAAACTTAAAAAAAACAGTAGGTAATAGGGAGTATGGGTGATTTTTTTAAATTTTTTATACATCAGCATACATCGTTTTATAATTGTAAAAAAATAGCTCCAAAAAAAACTAAAATTTAGTATAAAAAAATACCGATACGGATACTTTAAGCGCACGCCTTTTCGCTCGCTTAGTGTGACGCCACAGTATGATATACATAGAAAAATGCCGACTCAATTTGTTGCGAACAAAATCCCTAATTGCTCTGTTATGATATACTCTGACGTTATATTCGGTCTGACCAATAGCATTCGTTTTAACTGCTTTGAATTTCCCACCTACATATATTTGCACTTTTTAATGATTTTTTTATAATCAAAAAGAAATTACATTAAAAAATATTGATATAGGCTTCATTCAAAAGCGATATGATAGATGAAGATATGGAATCTTATTTATAATATTAACTTTAAAATGACTTAAAAGAACGTAAATACACTATTTCCACTTACATCCTTATAAATCCGATACTGATCGATCGCCCACACAGTAGGCACGTGTGTAGTCATCAGCTGTGAGAGAGAAACGTGTTTGTTGCATGCGCGTGCGCATATCAACCTGGTTTTTCCTACCGCTGTGTCCCCCACGACCACGCATTTGACCAACTCTTGATGGGGTTGTTCGTTGTCCATGGTCTAGAGGAGATTTAGTTGATTTGATAACTTATAGATTATGAATGTGTATTTACGTATTCAGTCCTTTTTACATCCCACTGCTGGGCACGGGCCTGCAATAGTCCACCATGGTGGCCAAGTAGCAGTTGACAGACTTCACGTGTCTTTTGACTCTCAGACATGCAGTTTCCTCAACATGTTTTCCTTCACCGTAAGACTAAATGATTTGCACATGAACATACCAGGGGTGTGAGACCCGGGATTCGAACCCGCTTCACTCGGTTTCCCACCGGGCGCGTTAACACTGGGCAATAACAATATAATATGTAAATATATTAATAGTTGATTAAGTTATCTATATGTTGATTAAGTTATTATTGTATGATTAAAAAAAATTATGGTTAAAACTAACTTTCAAATTAAACTACCTGTAAAGCATTTTAAATAAAAACTATCTCTCAAACTAAGTCTAACTCAACTAAGTCTCAAAAGCATTATATAGTTGTTACAGACAGCCTACCCACAAATTAAAAAAATGAATTCAAAAAATTCAAAATTCGCAGCAAAGTACCTTACAATATTTGTTAATTTTAATTTTAAACATTTTTTACAATTTTAATTAGTTTTATAATTAAATATGGCATATTAGAAAATTTAAATGGTAATCTTATTTAGTGTTGCCATTATTATATTTATATGCAAAGAAAATAAAATATTAATTAATCAAACAACATTATTGTGTAATTTAAAAAGTGAAAATTGAAATTAATTAAGAATAATAATTTTAATTTAAATAAAACTATCTTTTCGGATTTTGTCGCGGATTTATTTGGATTTTTGTTTCCCGACGTTTCGAATGCTTTACAGCATCCATGGTCACGGGAGAGACTGAGGTGTTACATGTCTTGAATGTATAGTTGTTACAGACAGCCTACCCACAATTAACAAAATGAAAATTGCACCAATTACATTACAATATTTTTTAACTTTAAACATTTTTATAATTTTAATTATAATTGAATATGGAAAATTATTTATTTAATTTTGCTATTATTTTTATAATTATTACAATTTTAAAATATTAATTAGTAATCTATATTTAGTGTTGCCATTATTATATTTATAACCATAAAGAAAAATATAAAATGTAGTATTAATTATTAAAGCCATATAATTGTTCTATGTGTAATTTAAAAAGTTAAAATTAATTAAGGATAATAATTTTAATTTAGTTTGCTATTATTTAAAAACAACTTACTAAGCAACACTATTAATATATACTTTTACAAATGAAAAATGAAAAATATTAGTCTGATAAGCTGTCATTTTGATCTACACAGTATGAACTTACTACATCTGCCTGTCTGTTATGTTTATATTTATTATTTGATTTTATTATATTAATAACAGGATCCCATGACGATGGTAGTACCCAGCCATCTTCCCTATTGAAATTAGGATGTTTTTTAATTTCTATGGCTTCTCGAATCATTCTAGGGCGATATCGGTTTTCTTTCGCCAGGATTTGAGGTCTATCGAAGCGAATATAATGGCTTGGGCGGTCCTGACTATGTTTGCAGACAGCAGATGTTGTATTGCGACGGTGCTTCACATCAGCTATGTGTTCTTTGACCCGGGTTCTAATGGATCTCTTTGTTTGTCCGATGTAAGAGAGCCCACAATCACAATCAAGCTTGTAAACTCCTGCATCTTGTAGAGGGATGTGGCACTTGACAGGTGGTAGAAACTGACTAATTTTCTTTGGCGGCTTGAAGTAAGTTTTAATTGAAGCTCGCTTTAGAATGTAGCCAATCTTGTCAGTGACGCCTCTCATGTAAGGTAGGACTGCAGGGACGCGCTCGACTGTGGCTGGTTTCACTCGGTCCCTGTGACGTAGGCGCGGCACTTGCAGCTTGTTGTCTCGCAGAACTTGCTTGACATGTTGCAGCTCTCCGGCCAGGTGTTGCTCGTCACAGATCCCGCGTGCCCTCTGAAACAAAGATTTTCCCACGGTAGCTAACTGTGAAGGGTGGTGGTGAGATTCACCATTCAAGTACCTATCAGTATGGGTCTTCTTTCGATACACAGTATGACTTAAGGTGTTATCTGGGTTACGTATAACTAATACATCTAAGAAAGCTAAAGAATTATTAGACTCCAATTCCATTGTAAATTGTATTTTAGGGTTTATGGAGTTAAGATGTTCTAAGAATACAGATATTTTATCAGATGGTAATATTGTGAAAGTGTCATCTACATACCGCTTGTAGAAACGAGGGGTCACAGGTGATGTGTTTAGTGCGGTCTCCTCGAAGGCCTCCATGAAGATGTCAGCTACAACGGGAGAGACCGGCGAACCCATGGCCACTCCATCCACTTGCTTGTAGAATTCATCATTCCACAATAGATAGCCAGATGTAAGGCAGTGTTTCAAAAGTTCAGTGTATTCTTCTTGCATACTATTATCCCGTAGCTTTCTTGATACTATTTTGACACAGTCCTCTACTGGTAGGCTGGTGAATAGAGACTACATCAAAACTGACCATAGTTTCATTGTCCATGAGTTGTAGGTGTTTTATCTCATTGACAAAATGGTACGAGTCCCTTGTGAACGCTGATGTTTGTCCTCTGAGTGTTGAGAGTACTTTCGCTACTAGTTGGGCCAATTTATAAGTCGGTGTGTCGATTTGACTCACAATTGGACGTAGCGGAGCGTTAGGTTTGTGTATCTTTGGAAGTCCATACAGTTTAGGCGGCTTTGCACAAGATGGAACAAGATTTTTGACATCAAGATTCAATGCATCGGAGTGTTTCTTAATCAGCTTTTTAGTATTATTTAACACAGTGGTGGTTGGGTCTGTTTTGACCTTTTTATATGTACTTTCATCCGACAAAAGTTGTTTAATTTTCTCATTGTAATCTGATGTATCCATCACGACGGTGGCATTTCCCTTGTCTGCGCGTAGTATGATAATGTCTGACCTGCTGCGTAAGTTCTTCAACGCTAAATACTGTTGTTTGTTGAGATTAGGTTTGGGCCTTGAACTACGACGTAACAAAGATGAAACATCTTGACGTATGGCCTCCATATCCTCAGATTTCATAGTATTAGACATAAAGACAGTATTGACACCAAGTGATTTCAATGATTGCATTGAAACTTTAAATAAGCGCGAAACATCTAAATTTAACCAATGCAAAAACAAACATATATTAAAATACCAAAAATTAGTCGAGAAATATAACATCAAAAAGAAAACCAAAAACAATAACGGAACGCGCCCGTCTACCACAGTTTCAAATTCGTGCGTACGTCAAGCAGTTGTCAATCTGTCAAAACAAACATTGGACGAATCTACTATTCAAGTACTAAGTAAAGGCTTAAATTTTGCTGTTGCGCCGACACGCATCCCTTATGAGAACATTATTTGTGCGGTTGAAGATGCCCTGGCCAAAAATACTATGAAATCTGAGGATATGGAGGCCATACGTCAAGATGTTTCATCTTTGTTACGTCGTAGTTCAAGGCCCAAACCTAATCTCAACAAACAACAGTATTTAGCGTTGAAGAACTTACGCAGCAGGTCAGACATTATCATACTACGCGCAGACAAGGGAAATGCCACCGTCGTGATGGATACATCAGATTACAATGAGAAAATTAAACAACTTTTGTCGGATGAAAGTACATATAAAAAGGTCAAAACAGACCCAACCACCACTGTGTTAAATAATACTAAAAAGCTGATTAAGAAACACTCCGATGCATTGAATCTTGATGTCAAAAATCTTGTTCCATCTTGTGCAAAGCCGCCTAAACTGTATGGACTTCCAAAGATACACAAACCTAACGCTCCGCTACGTCCAATTGTGAGTCAAATCGACACACCGACTTATAAATTGGCCCAACTAGTAGCGAAAGTACTCTCAACACTCAGAGGACAAACATCAGCGTTCACAAGGGACTCGTACCATTTTGTCAATGAGATAAAACACCTACAACTCATGGACAATGAAACTATGGTCAGTTTTGATGTACAGTCTCTATTCACCAGCCTACCAGTAGAGGACTGTGTCAAAATAGTATCAAGAAAGCTACGGGATAATAGTATGCAAGAAGAATACACTGAACTTTTGAAACACTGCCTTACATCTGGCTATCTATTGTGGAATGATGAATTCTACAAGCAAGTGGATGGAGTGGCCATGGGTTCGCCGGTCTCTCCCGTTGTAGCTGACATCTTCATGGAGGCCTTCGAGGAGACCGCACTAAACACATCACCTGTGACCCCTCGTTTCTACAAGCGGTATGTAGATGACACTTTCACAATATTACCATCTGATAAAATATCTGTATTCTTAGAACATCTTAACTCCATAAACCCTAAAATACAATTTACAATGGAATTGGAGTCTAATAATTCTTTAGCTTTCTTAGATGTATTAGTTATACGTAACCCAGATAACACCTTAAGTCATACTGTGTATCGAAAGAAGACCCATACTGATAGGTACTTGAATGGTGAATCTCACCACCACCCTTCACAGTTAGCTACCGTGGGAAAATCTTTGTTTCAGAGGGCACGCGGGATCTGTGACGAGCAACACCTGGCCGGAGAGCTGCAACATGTCAAGCAAGTTCTGCGAGACAACAAGCTGCAAGTGCCGCGCCTACGTCACAGGGACCGAGTGAAACCAGCCACAGTCGAGCGCGTCCCTGCAGTCCTACCTTACATGAGAGGCGTCACTGACAAGATTGGCTACATTCTAAAGCGAGCTTCAATTAAAACTTACTTCAAGCCGCCAAAGAAAATTAGTCAGTTTCTACCACCTGTCAAGTGCCACATCCCTCTACAAGATGCAGGAGTTTACAAGCTTGATTGTGATTGTGGGCTCTCTTACATCGGACAAACAAAGAGATCCATTAGAACCCGGGTCAAAGAACACATAGCTGATGTGAAGCACCGTCGCAATACAACATCTGCTGTCTGCAAACATAGTCAGGACCGCCCAAGCCATTATATTCGCTTCGATAGACCTCAAATCCTGGCGAAAGAAAACCGATATCGCCCTAGAATGATTCGAGAAGCCATAGAAATTAAAAAACATCCTAATTTCAATAGGGAAGATGGCTGGGTACTACCATCGTCATGGGATCCTGTTATTAATATAATAAAATCAAATAATAAATATAAACATAACAGACAGGCAGATGTAGTAAGTTCATACTGTGTAGATCAAAATGACAGCTTATCAGACTAATATTTTTCATTTTTCATTTGTAAAAGTATATATTAATAGTGTTGCTTAGTAAGTTGTTTTTAAATAATAGCAAACTAAATTAAAATTATTATCCTTAATTAATTTTAACTTTTTAAATTACACATAGAACAATTATATGGCTTTAATAATTAATACTACATTTTATATTTTTCTTTATGGTTATAAATATAATAATGGCAACACTAAATATAGATTACTAATTAATATTTTAAAATTGTAATAATTATAAAAATAATAGCAAAATTAAATAAATAATTTTCCATATTCAATTATAATTAAAATTATAAAAATGTTTAAAGTTAAAAAATATTGTAATGTAATTGGTGCAATTTTCATTTTGTTAATTGTGGGTAGGCTGTCTGTAACAACTATACATTCAAGACATGTAACACCTCAGTCTCTCCCGTGACCATGGATGCTGTAAAGCATTCGAAACGTCGGGAAACAAAAATCCAAATAAATCCGCGACAAAATCCGAAAAGATAGTTTTATTTAAAATGTCAAATATTCGCGTAAATCTAAGAAAATTTTAATTTAGTTTGCAATTATTTATAATTTAAAATTTTGTTCTAATCAATAGTAAATAATATTAAGAATATGCCTAGGTAGCCTTGCCTACTCATTTTTTGACCCCACTACCTGGCAACAGGGTATAAACAGGTAAGTTACTATAGGTAATTTCATGGATGCTATAAGGCTACTACCTAGGCTATATTCTTCGGCTGGTTGACAGAGCGGTGAAAAAAATAATAATTGATTAATTTAAAAATTTCCTAGTCAGGATTTCGAAAGGAAAGCTATTTTACGACTATTTATCTATTATTGAAACTTTTCAAAAAAATATATTTCATCTGGTTAACTTATTGGTGAAGGTTGTGGTATATCCAGCTCTCCGGCTACTACTATTTTGTATGTATACAAAGATAAAGAAGACTTTAAAATAGTAATTAATCAATTCTTAAATATACACGACTAATTTATAAATTTTTATATCTGTTTCTCGTTAAAACAATAGGTAAATTAGTTTTTTTTATTTTGCCTATACTTTAGTATATTAAATTATATATTTATTGTATGAAATATATTTTATTAAATAAAAAAAAACAATTTCTTTATTTAATTGAATTATAATGATAATTTAAAAAAGATTTAGTTTTATTAAAATAATACATAATTGAAATTTAATTAATTATTGTTTATAAATGTGTACGTATTTAATAATTATCAATATCATTGAACTGACCTGAAACTAGATGTTCCAAACATTTATAACAATTACGAAAATCCATTTAAATAGTATAAAAAAATGATTAATAAATATTTAGTGTAGAAAATAGCTATTTCAAGCTGCAACATCAAACAAACAAATAAAACGATTTTATTTTTAATATAACTTCAAGTTAAATTTCAAATTGTCAAACAGTTATTTCTAATTTTCAAAACAGCTGGTAATTTTGACAATTACAATAGGACCACAGATTTTAAATAATGCGTTCATAATCATAATCAGTATAAAAAGCTCAATTTTGACCATTTTCAGAAAAATCTACCTTTATAAAATACAGAATATTTTTTTCTGTGTGTATTAGTGAACAAATTGTAAGTATGTTCTTTGACAATGGAAATGGTAATTCGTAAGTAATTGTTGTAATAAATCGAAAATTTTAAACTATGTATTGTAATATTATTGACTTTATTAACTGATAATGTATGCTGATAGCAAGAAAACTTGAATTAGTTGAGGCAAAAAGCATAATTCACTTACGGTAAATTCTTCTGTGGATTCTGAATTGGTCCACACACTAATATTCACGTATTAATATAATGAAGATCATCTAAACATTTTCACAATAATTGCTCACTAAATAACAAGTAGGTATCGCACGATTTAACGCAGTGGCATCACTATTAATTTAAATATTAATGATAATATCACCGATGCCTATCCCGAGCGACTACAGAGTGAAGTTGATTTTGTAGCAATGCAGTGTTCTGCGCATGTTTTATGAATGAACCCCCTGCGCAGATCCGCAAGCAGGCTGAGCAAGCACATTTTAATTTTATTATTGACAATTTTCAATCAGTCATTGAACTTTCAAAAGGCAGTTTGTTTGTAACGCCTATATATGTTATGTATTTAGTATAACTTTTGTTTCGTGGTCAATACCCCTCAATTAGATAAACTTCTCAGTTTATTTCACTCTCAAACAGATGACATCCTTATTAAAAATTGGAATGCGTTCAGTTTAAGGTGCTGTTCGCATAATTTACGACTAAAATTTAAAATGTATAGGCAATAATATTGTAAATTATTTAGCATTAACTGCACTGCATATAATTTAAAATGTTGTAAACTATTGCAAACTTTTATTTCGAAACGGTGCGCCTGTCTTAAGAAAAAAGGCAAAAGCGCCACATTTCTAAAGCTTAGCAATTTTTAAGATTATGCGCTCTTGAGCATCTTGTGTTCTTTTAGAATGCTTGCACTTCTTAGTTTATAATGTGCATATGCACAAAATTTTAAAGTAGGTATACATTTTTTATTGTCAAAATAAAATACGTGTTCTAAATGGCGTGTACTGTATGTAGCCTTAACTGTACCTACATCCATACTAATATTATAAATATGAAAGTGTGTTTGTTTGTTTCTCCTTTTTTCACGTCGAAACGGAATGACGGATTGACGTGATTATTTGTGTGGAGATAGTTACGAGGGCTGGAGAGTGACATATGCTTCTTTTTACCGCCGGGAGATTATCTAATTCCCACGGGAAAACACGTTATAATACATAATACTTTCTTAGATTTACGCGAATGTTTGACATTATTAAATAAAACTATCTTTTCGGATTATTTCGCGGATTTATTTTGATTTTAACGTCGGGAACCAAAAATCAAAATAAATCCGCGAAGTAATCCGAAAAGATAGTTTTATTTAATAACGTTATAATACAATCTAAAAAAATATATATGATCAGAATTACTTCAAACTTGGTATTAATGCTCTTGATGCTTAAGCATTTTTCCAAAGTCATCTTATAAGGGGGTAAAATAGGGAATGAAAGTTTGTACGAAACTACCTTTTTAGAGATTTTTTTGTAGTTTTAGCTCGAGCGAAGCCACGGGTCTGCAATTAACATATAAATAACATGATCTATGATATAATATGAACATTATTTTCTTAAAATTATATTAATTATATTGAAATGTCTATCATTATAATTTTAAATAGGTACAATATATGACAGTTTTATAGAGAGGGTTGGTTAGGACATAAACATATATAAATTCCAATTGATGTTTCAAGTTAATTAGGCTGCATAGGTTATATGCTATTGCTATAACCCTTAATAGTTTATAATAATATACTTAAGTGTAACTGGCCACTTTAAATTTTCTAATGAAATTTTAATATTTTTCCTGTCAAATATTAGACAAATATTAGTGCTGATAAAGTAAGGTAACGAAATGAAAAATATAATACAAAATGTTAACAATTTTTCGTAGAAAGTTTTCTTCCATAATCATTAGCATTTCCACGAGTGCTTTTATGTCGCCGCAGTATTTTCTTTTAAAGGTAAAACATGGCATTCTTTAGTTCAATTTGGAAGGCGAGAATAATAGAAAAATGCAGACAAGATTATGAAAATGAAAAAATTAATTCGCTTCTTACGTCCAAAACTGAAATACCACGCAAAACAATGATGCAAAGATGGCGATTTTATGGTCATGACACAAAAAGGCGAGTTAAAGGCCGATTAAAGAAGTTATTTCCAGAAGGGTCATCTGTATCAAATTTATATTTTTATTTGAAATCAGACCACGCACTTCCCAATTTGTTTATCAAAAGCGTAATTGGTTTCGTCGGCGGGATCGCGCTCACATACCTTTGCTTTATATTCTTTGTGTACCAATTGTCGATATCGTTCCTACATGCAACGATTATGAGTTCTATTATTGGAGTGTTACTCACAGTAGGACTGGCGTTTAGTTGGAGAATCAGGTAATAAAAAATTAATATAAAATATCTGATCTTTCTTTAAAAATATATAATAATACATTGGCCTATTCAATAATTTATGTATCTAAGAACGTATGTTCTTCATACTTAAAACACAGATCAAATTTATTAAACACTAGCGACTCGTCCCTTCGTCCCTAAGTTGATCCCCCATACAAACTTTCATCAACATTTTCACCCCCTTAACTGTTGATTTCCGGAATAAAAATCCTATGTCCTTTCCAGGCTCTCAAACTAACTTCTTAGCAAATTTCATCTCAGAAGGCCCAGTAGTTTTTGAGTTTATAAGTTACAAACAAAAATATCTTAACACTATTATTATCTTTCCTCTTTATAATAAAAGTGTAGATAACTGTTACACTTACGCTAGCGATTTCCTTCATGTATATTACCTAATAACCTTATTTACCAATAGAATTCTTTATAGAAGATATAATTATAATCGATAACACTGGTTCCAGTCTCTTGTATCAGTCATGACTTCCATCAAGTACCTACTAGAAATAAAATTGCCGTTCAATTTTATTGCGGTACGACCAGACGCTATTAAAGTGGGAAAAGGTTTTTAGTATAATAAAATATGCGGCTATAAAAAAAGCTTTATATCGGTTAATATGCTGCAATAAGTTCGAAATATAGGAATAGTGTTTAATTGTACTAATGTGCATTGTAAGCTTTACATCGATACGAAAGTTATTTTGTGAGTTTGTATGTAAGGAATTTTCTCTAAACAAAAATAGTTATAAAATTTAAAGATATATGGAGTATTCGAAATATATATATTTGTCTGTTTAAAAATTCCAAACTAGGCCTTTCTGGACTAACCACTAACTCATTTACTTCTTTAATATCCCTAGTGTGTAATATCTGGAATTCTGGATTACTTTCGGAGTTCCGTACCCGAAAAATGCGTCTTTCCGTTTCCGTCCGTTTGTATTATCTTTATAGGTTTCTTTTGAATTGTTCCGTTTAGAATTTACACAAAATGTATGTACTCGTATGTTAAAAGAATATTCCTGTTATTTTATGGCGGAAACCTTAATAAGTAATATCTAATAACTTAACCATACGTGGGTACCTATATAATCTGTGAAAGTATGTAAGTACCTACATTTAATATGCGAGGGGTGCTATGCTTAGTTTTTGTGATGATTTTTTAAATAACTAACCTCTTTTGTTATATTTTACATGATTCATTTGATATTTTTTAAGTTTTACCTTAAAATTGATGAATTATCTATCACATTTAAACTATAAATACTGTAGGTACTACTGTCTGTATCTGGACACAATACTTTTTCGTCCAGTAAATTCAAAAAGGAGCAAGACAATAATGACAAACATACAGAGTTAAACGTGATTAAAAAGGAAGGAAGTCCGCTATCAATATACAAAAACCGACTCACACTTGACCAATATTTATTGTAACGCAACGCCATTATGAGTTATTAAGTTGATAGGTAGGTGTATTAGTGTGTAGGGTTATTAGGCAGTTACCTTATCAACCTATATTTTAATTTTAATGTTTTATATATCGATTGTCAACTTTAACTATGTTGTGCTTTAGCCTTTAGGTATGGGTAATTTATAAAATAAAAAGCAATTTACCCTCGCTTCGCTCTGATAGATCCATGGATGTTTTTTGAATATAATCTATACTAATACTAGCATTGCCCGCGGCTCCGCCCGCGTTCAGATGACCAAAAACTAAATTCTTAGGTGTTACATATTAGTATACTCTTACATTGCAGTTTTTGTATTTTTCCTCAGAAATAAGATATTTTCCCGCGGTAAAAAGTATCCTAGGATCGCGCGCTACATCGCCCGGTTTATATAGCTTGAGCAGGCGGTCGAGCGATGCGGGGCAGAGGGGATGGACTCGCCGTAGGCATCTCAATGCTCGCCAAGCATTAAAAATGTTTCGCTACTAATTACTTCTAACAACGATATCTCAAAAACTATTCATCTGATTGATTTAGTGTAAAGAGCAATTTTAATCTGCATTAAATGACTAAGCTAACTAAAATATTCATTTGGATAAGGATTAATACCGAACTAAAGAAAATAACTTTGAAAATAACGTAATGTTTTTAATTAAAAATGTTAACATAAAAGTGGTTATTGTAAGTCAACCGTAAGAGATAGAGATATGCTATCGCGGACTTTTTTGTAGCATTTTTATAGATTTTGAATTCTCTAGTACATTACTTAACTGTATCTTTGCTAGTTTACGCGGCGTTCGCGTGGAAAGTTCCCATTTGGCGAGATTTTTTGCGACCTCTTCAACATTTGTCGCCGTATTTCAGCTAATTTACATAAAAGCATAATAAATTATATACCTAAACCTTCCTCAAGAATTACTCTTTCTATTGTTGAAAACCGTATAAAAATCCGTTCAGTAGTTTTCGAGTTTATCGCGTACAGACAGACAGGAGGACAGACAGGAGGACAGACAGGAGGACAGACAGGAGGACAGAGAGACGCGGCCGGGGGACTTATTTTTATAATAAGTATAGATTATAAAGAGGAAATTTTTTTGTTTGTTTGTTGGTACCGAATAAGCTCCGAAACTACTGAACCGATTTAGATGAAATTTGTTAAGAAGATAGTTTGAGACCCTGGGAAGGGCATAGGATAGTTTTTACCCTTAAGGGTGTGAAAATGGGGCTGAAAGTTTGTATGGGGAATCAACCTAAGGACGAATCTGAGCGACGCGAGGGTGAGTCGCTAGTATTATATACAGGCGGTGCCACCTATTGGCTAATTAAGAGTAGCCTGTGTCACTACAGGACATCCCTGTTCCTACTAAATTGCTTTCAAATCCGTCCAACCGTTTTAGCGTGAGGTAATGAAATGAATTGTATGTATATAACAAACATACACATTACACACACTTTCGCATTTATAATAGTAGTTGACGATGTTTTAAGTTATAGTTATTAGTTAACAATGCATGAGACTATTATATATTCTATTGATCGTACTTACTTGATGTTTTTTAAAGTATAAAAAATATTCTAATATGAATTAAAAAAATAAACTATTATTAATTAAAAATAAATAAAAGTACGTTACATATCTACTAGGAAAACCTTCATGATTATTGCAAATCTCAAAGTATTATTGCCCTTATTTACTTTAAAGTGAACAGTGAACTTCTTAGTTTTTTACTTTGAATTAAATTGGTGACCTATGCTTTTAAGTTTTAACTCCGGATTTGAATTGCCCAATGAACTTTAACTGAGATCTAACCGTGTAAAATCTGAATAAAGTCGAATCAACGATGTTTTCGAGCGAACAGATACAAAAACTCTAATAGACGTTTTTATATGTATTTCTGAACGTCTGCAGGTATTACATTTTTTTTAAAGAAAATAAATAAAATTATACCCCCAGATGCCTGATGTTTCTTCTTATACCGCAAATGTTCTCTCGCATCGGACGTTACACTCTAACCTGCTATGCCCTAGTTTTGATACTCACAGGCCCCGCCACAAACACTTTGAAGAACTCCGAAGTGTTAACGGAATCAATGGCTTGTAGCCAGGTAAATAGTATATGTATATAGTTCTTATTTTATTATTTATCGAAAATCCGCACTTAAAAAATATCAACCGTATACATAGACTCCTCGTATTTAGAAGTCGGGTAAAGAGCTTGATTGGTATTAGAGATCCTATTAGCAGACTTACACACATCCGGGGTACTTTTTTCCGGGATAAAAAGTAACCTAGATGTGGTATTCCAGACTATTCTTTATCGCTGTGCCAAATTTCATCCAGATCCGTTCAGCCGTTCTGGCGTGAAAGAGTAACAAACTCCATCTGCCCTCACAAACTTTCACATTTATAATATTAAGTGGGATGTCCCACAGGAACCTTGATCTAAGAGTATTACTTGAACTAAGCAGTTTTTTTTATTATCACTGTTTCATTACGTATATGGTAGCGCTCCTACTTAATTATATCCTATCGATTTTGATATAACGTCTGATTTATTACATTTTTTTTATCACCTTTTTTCTACTTATCTCCACTTCATTTAAATACAAAATAAAATCGTCCATAAGTATTTAAAAATTACTTTAAGGTATTGAACCTATAAAGATGGAATTTCTTGAAAAAAAAAACAACAAACCGTAATATACCGAATAACCGTATAGTAATACTATAATATATCCTTAAGATACTACTTATTTATTGAATACTTCATCTTTTTTGAAGTCGGTCAATAAGAGCGAACTGTTGTTGAGCTTTTGAAGAAATCTTTTGGTTTCAGTCAAATCAGCATAAAATTTAAATAAATTATCAAAAAACTTTTTTTTCAATCAAAATTGGCAGATTTTCTTTAAGCCAAAAACATTTTTATCATAGTACACTTTATTCTTCCGTAGTGGAAATTTTAAATATGTTTACTTACTGTGTAATGGCGTCGCGTCGCCGTCTAAAATACCTTGATTCTCGTACATTCTAGATGCAAAAATGTCTCTTCCATTCCATTAAATTTTAAACGGACATTAAGATTGCTTCAGAGTAGATATTACAAACTAGATCTCGTTGGAACACGAATGATGAACTCATGAATAATGTGGTATACAATATATCCATAGTGAATGTCTCTATATCAATATTACAATGCAACGATGATCTCGTGGTTAGTTTATACATACACTTGTGGATCATTAAAATCTTGGGTCGGAGTTCCGGATCCGCCTAAAAAGTTTTTAAAGAAAATGTCAAAAAAACCTGAATATGAGCAGTTAGTAGAGTGACAATGTCTTATCTTGCAGAATACATCGGTTTCGTTGATCGCTTTTGACTTTGAGCTTTTGAAATAAAGAGCTTACAAAGCTCGTGCTATTACACGAAGCCATGATTGTAATAAATTAATGTTACAACCCTGTTGAGCATCTTTGCAGGCAGGCGCAACATATCGCGAAAGTTTTATCAGAATCGGGTGAAAGGGTTAGAAAAGAACACATTGCATTGGTATTTGTTTGAACTTACCTCAGCAAAGGCTTATAACTGCCTCGGTGGTGTAGTGGCTAGCAAGTACGGCTGCACACCCGGAGGTCCTGGGTTTGAGTCCCGGGTCGGGCCAAGTTTAGTTATTGAGTCTTCCTGTATAGTAAGTCTCAGTAACAGCCCGGAGTTGGGAAGTTGGCGGTGTTTCACCCCCGTGCCTCGGAGAGCACGTAAAGCCGTCGGTCCTGCGCCTTAACTCTCACCGGTCGTGTCGAGTGGTCGTCCCACCGGAGCATGAGAGTGATAGGAATAGAGAGTGCACTTGTGATGCGCGTACACTTGAGCACTATAATATCTCCTACGCAGTTGGCTAATATCATTGAGATTGGCCGCCGTGGCCGGAATCGGCTAGGAGAACATTACACATACAGACTTGAGGTTAATGTACGCACTAACACTAACAAGCGTCTGGGAACTTTGCAAATAACAATAAATATAAAACTATACGAATGCATATGCATAGTGTGTATCTAATCTCACAGGAAATAAAATTATTGAAAACCTATTTCAAAGCTTAGGTATAATATCAGTAAATAAAAACTGTTGAACCTGAATATTGATAGAAACGGTAACCTATTGGGATTATGCTCGCATTGGAAATAAGGCGGATTCAAGACCCTGGTCTCGCACGGCCAACCTTTTTTCTGTGTACGAATCTCGTTTTCAACATAGTTATTTGTTATCGCTTAATAATACGGTGAAGGAAAACATAATATTAAAAACCTGTATATGTAAGATGAAACTAATAAAACTTCAAAATATTCCTTGCGTATATTCTTATATTCAGTACTTTTGCAATATCAACTTAATTATTTTATAATAGTCTGTACGTCTGTCAGTGTGGAAGCTACCACCGGCTCGGAAAGCATTTCAGCTGAGAAGAGCCGAGAGCTAACATACTATGATTAGGTCAACTAGGTTTTTACATTATCAAACGTTATCTTTAGGAGCAAATAAAAGCTAGCGTCCGACAAATAAGAGATACCGTGAAGAAGCCATATAACTCAATGAAACAACCCATAAAGTTAATTGTGGATAACATGCATCGAGTCTCAACCGAAATGAATAAAATTGTGACGAAAATAAGTGCTTTTGTTATTAGTATCGGTATGTATAAAGATATCTAGCTATTGATTTCGTCTCACTTTAGCCTGGAAATTATTTCACTTATACACGTAATAGATAATTTCATTTTAATCTGTTCAGTTGCATTGAGGTGAAAAATACAAAAAACCGGCCAAGTACGAGTCGGACTCGCGCATGAAAAGTTTAGTACCATTATCCATAAAAATGGCAAAAAAAATCATGTCTGTTGTATGTGAGCCCTCTTAAATATTTATTTTTATTCTGTTTATTAGTATTTTTTGTTATAGCGGCAACAGAAATACATCATCTGTAAAAATTTCAACTATCACGGTTCAAGAGATACAGCCTGGTGACAGACAGACAGACCAACGGACAGCGGAGTCTTAGTAATAGGGTCCCGTTATACCCTTTGGGTACGGAACCCTAAAAACTACTCAGCATAGGCGTGTCTTATGCATTTAACGTCATATCTTGTCAAAAGTAGGTCTTTTCAGGTTCTAGTTACTATTCTGGACGTGAAAGATCAAAAAAAAATATAAAAAATAATTGAAAACAAAACGTCTATGTATCTAGTAAAAAACTAAACGTAAAGTATTAATATGTTCCATGAAAATACTAATAGTATTTGTACAGTGGCATTTTCGACGTCGAATATCGATTAGCAGTTAATTGCACAACGGTTTATTTGCTCGTTCCAGTGAATTTGACGTCGCATGACTCAATAATATACGTAACCTTGGCGAACATGTTTTATTACTCAACTTTTTCCATTAGATCTATAATCTTAAAATTTGCTGAAAAACTGAAATATACTGAGATCTACATTTGAGTTGAGTTGAGGAAATATTTTCGAATATTTTTGGTCTCTACAGTTAGATAATCTGTATTGTCAGCTTACTCCGGCCTCCGGCTTTGTCTGCTCTTTTATTAATATGACACTCGAAAAATATACGAAATATTTCATCATAAAAACTTACTTACATATATAAACTTTTCCAATTATTATTAAAAGGGTTGAATATTAAACAAGTTCTATAGAAAAGCTCATTCACATTGTGCTGAATTTATTTATTTCCCGACTAACTTTCCCATGTTTGTTAGTTCTCAAAAGTGGTAACCCTTATTCGGACAATTAAGAATATTTTAAAAAAGATTAGCCAAGCCCTTCTCCATTTTCAAGTTTCAACCCTATTTTTAAGTGATGCGCTCACGAACAAGCAATTTATTTCTATCATATATGTAGATTCATATAGACATTAATTTTTATTTTTTTATCATTATATTACGATGAAACTCTTAGGAGCGGAACAATTATAAATTATAGTATACCTATATAAATAAACTACTCGAGCGGAGCTGGAAAATATAGATGGTTATTTAAAATAGAGTCACATGTACCCACATGAAATTTTTTAACTATTTTTTATAAAAGTCGTTATATTTTTATATATTTTTTTACATTAAATATAAAAGAACGGGCTATGAGTTTTTATACCTTATTTCAGACTATTACGATAAAAAAACTTCTCGTCTGGCACGATAATAGAAATTGTAAAATATGAACGCTACAGTATTATTAGTAGTAGGTATAGGTAGTATTATGGCCCGTTGTATTATGTCCATATCTAATTAAAACCTGTAAGACTTAATAAGATGTAATAACTATATCTCAGGTTGATACAATACTTCTAAATTAAAAATTTACGAGGATATTAGGTAATACTAGCTAAATATACTATACTATACTAGAAAAACACAAACAGATCTATCCCACGAGAACCGTTCATTTTTCCGGGATAAAAGTAACTCGTTGTTTAATCGGCAATATACGGTATCAGCATGCCAAGTTTTACTAAATTAGGTGCGTAAGTTGTTGTGTACTAAGCTATATAAGTTACTATAGTTTTTTAACTATCCCACGGAAACTCTTTAATTTTCTGGGACAAAAAGTATCTAAAATGTTGACCGGGGATAAGGTACCACCATGCAAAGTTTCGGAGATTAGCTCGTTCAAACAAACAAACAAACAAACAAACAGAAAACAAAGAAATAGAACAAAATCGGTATTCTGTTTCTCTTCTTACATCCCCTGACTCGGTTTTTAATATTCTTTTTCTATGTACAGACATTCGACCTCTACAGTTTTATTATATGTATAGATACACACAAAAATTACAATTGAATTGAGCATCTTTTTAAGTAGGCCAAACTCTTCATTTACCTTCTGTTCCGGCCTCTTCTCTATTCCAATTGCAACAATGGGTGATGTTGGAATGTTAAAATCCTTCTATATGTAGATAAACATGAACTAATGAATCTAGAAAAGCATGTTTCCATCATTTATCGCGTTAATCGCGATATTGGGTAATAGTTAGTCCATGCCTCTGAATTCTTTTTATTTTTTCAGAAATGGAAGTACACCCGACGTTGAGAAGAGCCTACGAGAAATACATCCTTATTTTAAATTATACATATGTACACACAAACAACCCTATTTTCAGGTGATTTCATCCAGTCATCATACGCATGGTTAAATTCGATAGCCGATATTTGCACCAAAAAGTTTGGCATTCCATATGACCATTGCCTATCAGCTGTTTTTAGAGGAATATCAAATTGCAAAAAAAGATTAGGAAATATACCTCAACTACATAATAATATGTCAGATAAAGCAGAGATCGTATGTAATTCGGTTGGGTTTGAATCTGTGTGTGTTGTTGCCGATTACGCGACTGCTTCGTTCTCTGCAACATTGAAGAGGAGTAAGTGTTTTATTATAATCTGAATAATTTATAAATAAATAAAATTGTAGTTTCTGTTTGTAGTGTCGAAAGAACAGCTTTTTACTAAATACATATGAAAATATATACCGTATTTATAAGAAAAAAAAATATTTGTCTGTCTGTCTGTTTGTTTCGACTAATTTTCCGTAACTGCTGGACCGAAGCTGGCAGATAGTTGATATTATAAGAAATAACTTAGCCTACTTTGATTTTTCCCAATGACGAAATGTATATATTGAGCTAATAAAGTGCGCCTACGCGCGTTTCATAAATGTTCGTCTATAGATGGCGTTGACAGCGCTTTCAAAAGTCATCGTGGGCCTAAACTCTAACAAAAATTAATATTGTTTTCTATACGTTCCTAAACCATTGATCCGATTGTGATGAAACTCTGGTGGGTCATTCTATATACGCCAGAAGGTTTCCGACGCAAAAACAAGATTTTTTCTTTTATGCGTTCCTACATCATTCACGCAGAGGGACGCACCCAAAAGAAGCGAGGGTAAATCGCTAGTGTGAAATATAAAAATGTAGTCTAATGTCTAATACCTTATGATTCATTCAGTATTAATTTTTTCAGAACTCCGTAATTTTATAACTCGGATCGATACGATGCTGTTTGTAAATATCGAATTCCATCACGCTCGTGTATTTAGTAGCGATGATACTGGCTCTGTCAACCAAATAGCCGGTGGTCTGGTCACTGAGATCAGGAAGAGGGCTGATCCGTTACTCACCTGGTTGTCTTGGAGCTCTTGTGTTACAAGCTTGTTTTTACTCCTTATTTTATTTAGGTAAAACAATATTACCCTTCATATCGAAGGCCCGTGCTCAGTAGCGAGACGGACAAAAAGGATGAATAGATCGATCAAAAAAGTAGACAATCAGCGTCAAAAATGTCCTCACCGAATGAGCGCTCATTTGAACATTTGAGCGCGTTCTTATTTTTTTGTTTTTTTTTTTGTAATAACTTTAAGCATTGCATTTAAGGTTCAATTTACATTGTTGTATATTTATTTCGAGTAGAATAATTACCTAAACACAATTGGTGACAGTTTTAAGAGAACTTTTATATGGGATTGTGTATCTAGTACTTTTTTGATCGATGGCTGAATACAATATATGTTCTAAGTGATTAGCTTTTAAGGTTTTATAAAGATATAAATATTGATAAGAGTGTTAAGAGTCGGTTTATAACCGATTACAAAAAAGAAGAGGTCCTAAATTATAGTTTGTAATTTTTTTGGGTTATCTAATAAAAAGGTCATATCTACATAAATATACATACCTACATATATTAAGGTTTTTCAAGATAAAATTCACTTGTAATGAATTTTTACGTTATTTTAAGCTCAATATGGCTTTTAGTTAGTATTACTATTTTTAATAAAGCTTGCTATTAATACAAGAAAGTTCAGGCTTCTGTTATAATGTATATAAGTGTTGTATTTTTCAGAGCTAAATATTATCAACACATGTTCGAAACTAGGTCCCGTTTCGATAATCGCTACGTAACTAAGGAGTTGCGTGAATTAGATTTCAAAAGATATCAAGAGAGACGGGAAACAGTTTTGCCGTTGAATAAAAGGGAACAAGCAAAATATATTTATGTTAGTTTTACTTTACTATTTAATCTATATATATAATAAAATCCTGAGTCGAATCTGTACATTAATTATTTTTTGGAAAAAGAATGATGTATGTCTGTCTGTCTGTTTGTCCGGTACCGCATCACTAGAAAACCATTGGACAGATTTTGATGTGGTGTGATGATAGATGGCTATTCGGGTCAACATATAGGATACTTTTTACTGCGTATCTCATACATTTGATTTTCAAAACAAAGAAAATGGCGAAGGGCGGCGGAAAGGGCTGAAATACTCAAGTTGCGTAAATACACCTCCCTTAGTCAAAATTGTGTCTTAATACCATTTGCTTTAGAAACCCTTGGTCCATGGAGTAAAAGTATCTACTAAATACTTCTTAAAAGACGTAACACTTCGTTTTATCACCTCTGCTGGTGACAGGAGAGGTGGCGCATTTTTCGCCCAAAGAATCGGCATTGCCAGTCAGTGACGAAATGCGGCTAGCATTTTTGCCACTTCCACGCGGACATGACTTGTACAGTAATAATTAAGTGTACATTTGTTTTGTGTATATAATTAAGTATATTTGTAATTTCCTTTACTGTAAATAAAAAAAGTTTTTGGGTATACATTTTTTAACCAAATTATAAATTTATCCTAAAAATATTGACTATATCTTACTTGAACTTACAACAATGTTTATGTATATCTATACCTATAGGTATTTGAAATGTTATAGCAAAAAGTTCGTATTTAGGGCATAGGTAGGTATAAAAGCTCAGCTTTGTTCTACCCATGCACAAAGTTAGAAGCCCCGTTACAAGCTTTCAACAATGAAATTGAATACATTCATTTATATTTTATACTGTCGCCCTCGACTTTGTTTTACAATAAAAATTAAGAATACATGCACGTAATATTAAATACCGTCCGATATTATAGTCCAATATTGCACAAGATGGATAAAAATCTGTGTAGTATTTTTTGTGTGAAAAATGAACAAACTAACACGCAGACAAACATACCTGTTTATCTGTGTGTTAGTTGGTTCATGGCATATAGCAGATATATTTTAAAAAAATGCTAAAAATGTTTTGTGGTCTACATCCATACTAATATTATAAACGGGAAAGTTTGTGAGGATGGATGGATGTTTGTTACTCTTTCACACCAGAACGGCTGAACGGATCTGGATGAAATTTGGCACAGAGATAGATTATGGTCTGAAGTAGCACACAGGTTACTTTTATTCCGAAAAAATGGACAGTTCCTGTGGGATTTGTTTTTGTCTAGGGATGGACCCGAAACGAAGCGAGTGTGAGTCGCTAACCGATAAATTAATCATATTTCAACCCAATATTTTAAGTATTTTAATTTTTAGACAACTTCATTCACTTTGGTTACATCGGAAAAAGTTAATTTAACTCGCTCTATGGTTTTCATGGCTATAACTACCTTTAAGCTGCTAATACACATGGTGGCTGATTACAGTCTATACTGGGTTCTCATAACGATAAGATATCATGGTAGCATGCAAACACCATTGCACCGTTAGTAGTTTTAAATTTTTTATTTTAATAACACTAAAGCATGTTAATTATTATAGATACAGATGTAGATTTCATAATATGTATAGATATAGAATTCAAAATATATGAAATCAAAATTACTTCTATATATCACTATCATATCACTATCATCACTATTTGATCAAATAAGAGTTTTAGATTTTTTCCTAAAATTGGCATTCTTTTCAGTGCGAAAGAAGGTCTAACAAACTTACTTCGCAATTTTTAATATTAGTATAGTCAGGAATTTTAGTATAGATACCCAAAACAAAACCAAATATATAAATTAATAGTATTTATGTTCTTTTCATAACTTATTTGCAGACGGTCCTTCGAACGGTGGTATTCATATAACTGGTGTGGGCTTAGTCGCGGATTTTATTAGATCTTTAATGGATTCAATAATTTCACCTTTGTTGCCCAAATCACCCTCACCCGGAACTTGTCTCCCGAAACCTCATCCCCCTGATCTACAGCGGTACATGCAAATTGGTAATGAAATTAATAGAATTTTGTCACTACCTACTAGCGGACCTGACAGACGTTGTTCTGTCCAAATACATATATAATTTAATCTTCTGTGCGTGTGTATTTATAATAAAAAAAAAAACTAGACCCGACTAGGCCCGACAGCGCCGGGTCTAGTTGTAATCTAAACCATCCAGAAATCCACTCATACCCAACTTTTTTTTTTAATTTGGTCCCGCCATTTAGGAGGAGTTTAGTGACATGCCTACAGAAGAATTATATAATAAGATATTTTGATAGCTTGGTTTTCTTTGCTAGAAGAGTAAAGAATACCGTGATTAGTTTTCATGTTTTTGAGTTTATAAATAAAAAAAAATGTAGAGTAGGTATTTAAAACAGATTTTAATATGACAACTAATAGTGACCTCATAAATTTAATTTTTGATGTTTTAGGGATATTAATAATACTATTGTGGTTTTTTGCCCTATTCGAACCATATGGTCTTCGACTGCGCCATATCATCATGGGGCATTACCAACCGGAGAGGGCCAACGCTAGGGCTTTATGGCTGTTTAATCACATATTGAGGACTAGAGGTATCCTTTACCTTAATGCTACTTCCCAGACACTGCTTGTTCGAAATTAAACTAAAACCAAGCTAAAGGGTTTTACACTGTCGAAGATGCCAAGATTTATTTTGGGTTGAAATAAGAATTTACTTATAAATTTAACTTATGTAAATAATATAAGAAAGAACAATCGTTAAAAATCAATTGTGCTTTTATTAGCTATCGTACATATTAGCAAACAGTACAATAAATATACATAAAACAATTGTTTGTATGTAATATCTTCATTTAATAATTTGGAAATATGCAAGTCTACAATAACTTTAAAAAAGAAATTTCTCTTATTTTGCATGTATGGTCTTTTAAATATCAAGAAAAATATCATCTACATATCAACATTTTTCTAAGTCAGTGTAAATTAAAAAAAAACCTTATTTAATTTTCAGGTAGCTTCATGAAGTTAGCGCGGAGAAAACTACACCGTGAATACAAATATTCAGACAAAGAACATCTCACTTTTCGCTATTGGATAAACTCTGTTATGCCGTAAGCCTTTATTTCTCAATACTTAGATCTACTCGAATATTTGACATTTTAAAGAAAACTATTTTTCGGATTTTTTCGTTGATTTAGTTTTTGATATTTGGTCTCCGACGTTTTATGGTTTAACACAAATCGTCTTTATCATTGTGTTATTTTTAATAAACTCAGTCACTAAACTGACTAAATAATAAATACATATCTAAAGTAAGAGAACTCAAGAAGATTTCTATTTTTAAACATATCTTTTTTAGATGTTGGTGTTTCCAGTACATGTTCAACACTTTACCAAAAGCTTTGCACTGTCTTTTGTGCAACACTGTAGAAGAATTAAAAGACCCTGATAGTAAACTGACAAGGTTATAATAAATAATAGCATTTACATATATACATTATCATATAGAACAGTTCACATTGGATTCAAATATGTGTAATATTTCTTTTTGGCTGAGTTTCTTTCGCCAGTTCTTCTCAGGTCTGAGGCTTCTTTTTTTCGAACTGGTAGTAGATGTAACGTTTATTAAAAAATATTTAATACTGAATAAAATATTTTGAATTTTTATTTTCAAAAAGTGACGCATTTATTTACTCTATATTTAGAAAAATTTAAAATCATGTTTTTAGACTTTGCGGTCTATAGCGGATCCAAATAACCTGTCTGATATTGTCCTTACTGGAGATAGACATTTAACGTAAGGTCCATAAATAATGTCAAATTTCTATCTTTACGAAGAATATCAGATATATGACACTGACACGCTTTGAAACCATTAACAAGAGAACTGAACTGAGTTGAAGTACCGATAGATTCACCGTTAGGGCGTAAACTATCTGTCGATGTCGACGTAGTGTTATTATTTTTTAGTAGATTATCCAATAAAGTTATTTATCTATCCCATGGGAACTGTAATTTTTTCTGGAATAAAAATGTGCTCATTCCAGACTACAATCTATCTCTGTGCCCACGCAGATTCGTTCAGACGTTCTGGGGTGATTAAGTAACAAACATCCATCAAACATCCAAATATTTAAACTATCACATTAATAATATTAGTATAGATATGAATTTGTTTTTTTAATTTTGATATTTTTTTAGCTGTGAAACACTAAATTGCCCAGGTGTTTACTGTGTGCGCTGTTTCTCGGACATAGGCCGTTTGTGCACGATTTGTTTATCACCCTCTCAATATGGTGATATTAGCGACGTCAGTTTAGAGAAGTGCGTTGAATTATCGATAAATGCTAGGAACATTATTGTAACTCGTTATCGTGGTGAATTTATAAAATAAATTACTTTTTATATCAAAATTGTAACTCTACTGCATTACAAAGTTGTTCCTTTTTGGTTATGTTATGTTATTGTAAAATTAATTGCCTTTAAAAACTATTTTTATACGCTTATTCAATTTTAGAGGATCATCTGATGAGAGCACTGATGAAGATGAAGAACCTGACTGCCATAATAAAGGCGTATGAGCTAATAACGTTATTATATAATAATAAAACACATAAAATAATTATAATCTATAAGCACTAATTAATTCTTTGTTCCTAATTATAGCTTAAATTGAAAAAAAATGAAGGCAGTGAAAGAGAAAGTCTGATTGGAGAATCGAAAAGAAAGAAAAATAAAAGGCCATCATTTAACACCAACAGATGTGGAAATGATGAAGAGTCTTTTTTACTGAAGTCTTATGAAACTAAAGATAATACTGATCAAATGCACAAAAACGCATCGTATGATTCGCTTAAAAACACTAACAAACATAGAAATATAAATAGTAGTGTAGATTTACTAAAAGAGACCCAAATAAATACTATACAAGAAAATTTACCGAATGAATCTCAAAAGCAATTTAATGAGCCAATGATAATTAAAGAAATTATTGATAACAATGTAAGTGTGATAAACCACCATAAGAAAGCTCATAAGAAAATGTCAACGGTACTTAAGCTTTTAGCCCGAAGAAAAGTACGAATAAAACATAAAAAAATATATAAGAAAAAATTGCTAAGTAAAGCAGGACTTGGTTTTAATGTAATATTGTTTTTAAAACGTATGTTTTTATTAGAATATGTTAATACAAAGCCGAAATGTCGATATATTAAAATTTCTACAATAAATGTAAAAAAGATCCGAAGACTTAAAAGAGGAAGACTTAAAGTAAAATTGGTTTCAAAGAAAAGCAAAGGCTATCCTTGTAATGAGAAAACAAATAAATTTGTCAATAACATTAAAAATAATACTATAGATACATCACATTTTAATTATGTAGAAGCAGAAAATAGCCAAGAACATACTCAAAATGTACAGAAAAAAATACAGAAAAACCAGAACAGTCATAGAAACGCTGTAACTCTTAAAAGTCACAGTCATAAATTTGAAAATTTTTACAAACTATGTTGTTATTTTAATGAAAATAAATTTGGTAGTTCCAAACAAAAAAAGAAAGCTTTGGAAAATTCAAATTCATCCATTCTAAATAATAAAGCTAACTTTAAGCGAAGAAAAAAGATTGAGAGTAACCCAAATCATAAAACTGAAAAAGGAAATATAAGCACACGTAATTACTGTTTATCTACATATTTATTTGATCAAAATTGGATTAAAGAAAAAAAATCCGCGATAGATATGAATAAAGGGCAGATTGCTAAGAGCGATTTAGCAAAGTTACGAAATAAAAAACCAGCAGCAGTTGAAAAGAATGAAAACATTGAGGTATTGTAACGGAATTATTGTGTTTTTTTACAGGTTATTAGTGGTAGTACTTAGGATAGTATAGATTAGCTATTTTGAAGTTGCCATCACAGACTTCTTATGTTAATAATACTCTGTGTTCCTAAATCATTCATGTGACTGGTGATGAATCTTCACCGAGTTTCTTCTGCGTACGGCCACGGTTCCTGGTCACAAAAAAAATAGATATTTGTCTTAGTAGGCTTTTTCTGTCTAGTCCTACGCTTAGTCTGTGGTAGCCTAGTGGTAACACACACGCTCGGGAAACCGATTCAAATGGGTTCAAATCCTGGTTCTCGCACGTGTGAGAATCTTTTCCAACATGGTTACCAATTTTTTCTCTATGGGCTCCCAAACCATTCTACCCAAGGGATTCACCCGAGCGAAGCGACGATAAGGCGTAAGTTAAATATAATTCTTCAATTGCTTGAAATCTATTTTATTGTTACAGGATTTTAAGAAACCAGTTCCTCTTACCACCAATAAATGTAGCTGTTCTTTGAAAATATGCATTTGTAATCAGAAACGACACAGTATAAAAAACCGTAAGTTTGTTTATTTAATGGAATATCAACAGTATACATTTAAGTTAAAGACTATATACAAAATTATTATATCTTCTAAAGAAGATACTACACATATGTATCTTTATAGATATTTGTTTGTTTTAATGTTTTTATAAACATTGATTACACTGTAATACGAGGAAAATGTTAATAAGGTAGAAATGTGCCCATATATTTTTTTTTATTGCTTGTTATACACGTTTGTATAAAAAATCGAAACATTCTTTCTTATTCATAAATTTGAATGTTTTAAAATAGCCAAAAGGACACTTGGATTATTCCGCAAAAAAGTCTGTTGTAATATGAAAACGGATTCAAATAGCGATCCAGATTCTGTGATTCAGGGGCATTGTAAGTTCAATCCATTTAATAAAAATATTGGATATACTATTTATAATACATACTATTTATGTATAAATAATATGTTTAACTACTAGCTTTATTACAAAAAAAAAGTAAAAACTCTACGACTCTCTTGCAGTTATATAGAAAAATTAAAACCGAAAGCTTTTTTCATAGAAGTAACAATTAAAGAAACTAAAATTACCTATAGTTTGAAAACATTGATATACAAAAATACTTATTGAAGAGATATTTGTTAGGAATTGCGCTGTGTGCACCTTATATATCAACAAGCGACTCACCCTCGCTTTCCTTCGGGTTCGTCCCTAGACAAAAACAAATCAATCCTACGGGAACCGTACATTTTTCTGGGATAAAAAGTAATTGTATTCCGGGATGAAAATAATGTGCTATTCCAGACTATAATCTATCTCTGTGCCAAATTTCATCCAGATCTATTCAGCCGTAAGTAATAAGCATCCAATTGATACATCCCATCTTCACAAACTTTCATATTTATAATATTACTATGATCTTAATGTGAAATGTTTTAATTTCAAATAAATAAAGCTAATCATCTATAAGGAATAAAAAACGAAACTAAAACTATGAAAATCCATTTTGGACAATAGCTTCGAACGGACAATTTTTAATGATTTTTATAGTTAGATGATAACATTCTTAAGGTTTTGATACGTTTTAGCATCTTCAGAAATACCTGAAACGGTCAATATAAATAGAAGGATAGATTATTTTCGTTCTTTGGGCAATAAAGACTTTGATCAAATGCAGGAAAGGTAAATATGTCATTTAGAACGTTTGGTAAATCATAGTTATCCCTTCTTCCCCATTAATATGTTATCTTACAATTAGACCAGTATAAAGGGTTAAGTATTGTACTTTTCAGTGATGCGTACATTTCAATAAAGGAAAAATGTGAACCGGACATGGTAAAAATAGTTTTTCAATTGTTTTATAATATTAAAATAACTTAATCTGTTATAAAAACCAATTTTTAAATAATAATTTTCCAGAACAATCCAGACGTAAATTCACATAATGAAAAGAACAATGAAATTTATAACAATGCGAAGGAAAAACGAGCTACCCCGAAATATGTCAAAATTAAAGACATTCAATTGTGCGTATTATATTATTATAGTTAAGTATGCGCATAGACAAATAGACCGCATTCGGTTAGATCTGCTGTCAGATTTTTTAACTGGTAGAGTTAAAACTTATTACACACATTACACACTAGTGACTTTCCCTCGCTCCGCTCGGGTTCGTCCCTAGTTACGTTTTCGGTTTTGATGCTTAGTATAGATTTCTGAGAGATGAGATATTTTCGCGCAGTAAAAAGTATCCCATATATTAACCCAGATAACCAGCTGTCATCATACCACATCAAAATCAGTCCAGTGGTTTTCTCGTGATGCGGTCACAGCCAGACAGACAGAAAAATTCTAAAAACTATAGATTCGCCCTCTGTATCGATAATAATGTCTATTTCAATAAGATTTTCCAAAAAATATTTAATGTACAAATTCGGCTTAATTAGAATTTAAGAAAGAGAGTTTTAAGTATGTTTGACTAAAATATTTTTTCAGAGCCATCTCCGAACGATTTTTACATCTACGGTAAGTTTGTTAAATAAAATGTGAACAAAAGCGTATTACTATATATGTATGTACATTTAAGCCATTATACACTTTAAAAACAGATTAGGCGATGCACTTAGGTAGTTTAAATTTCAGAAAAGGGGGAAATGCTCAATTTGGGTGTTAGTTTTTAATTTGTGTTTATGTTACGATATCTTCACCAAGAATCGATTTTATCGGCTTCCATCCTTAAGGGTTTGAGATTCCAAGGTTGTTTAGTAATAAATTTATTCCTACTAAATAAATAAATATGTATTTTAATTTATATTTTCATTAGCGTGCGAAATCCATTGCCATTGGTAAAGGAAATGTATTCATCATTTTTAAAAACATCAACAGTGAACAGAAATGAAAGAATTTTTTCCAAAAAACAACAAAATAAGAGTGAGTCAACCAAAATGTCTAATATTCCTATACAGTCTAAGTAGATTGAAATATGAGCATCGATCAAAAAAGTACTAGATACACAATCCTATGCAAAAGTTCTCTTAAAACTGTCAACAATTGTGTTTAGGTAATTGTTCTAGTTGAAATAAATATACAACAATGTATATTGAACCTTAAATGCAATGCTTGAAGTTGTTTTCGCAATATAATATTATTTAAATTAAAAGCGCGCTCCAATGTTCGAATGAGCGCTCATTCGGTAAAGATATTTTTTATCGTTGATTGTGTATCTAGTACTTCTTTGAAAAATGGACACAATATTATTATTTGTATGTGTGATGTTCTGACCCGACCGATTACGGCCACGGCGACCAATCTCATTGAGACTAGCCAACTGCGCAGAAGATATAATAGTGCACAAGTGTACGCGCAGACACAACGTGCACTCTCTATTCCTGTCACTTTCACACTCCGGTGGGACGACACGAGACACGACCGGTGAGAGTTAAGGCGCAGGACCGACGGCTTTATGTGCTCTCCGAGGCACGGGGGTAAAACACCGCCAACTTCCCAACTCTGGGCTGTTACTCTGAGGCTTACTCTACAGAAAGACTCAATAACTAAACTTGGCCCAACCCGGGACTCGAACCCAGGATCTCCGGGTGTGCAGCCGTATATGCTAGCCACTACACCACCGAGGTAGTTAGTATAAATAATAATTTGTATATAGAATACATAAAATAAAAAGAAAAGGGGTTCTATGGTAAAGTGGATAGAGGAAGAAAAGCTAGATTGGTTTTCAAAATTTTCACTAACGAAAAATTACCTAAATTTAATCTATACAGAATGGTCATGATTATAATAAATTCATGTATTTTCAAATCACAAAAAATAAATCTTAAGTAATTACTTAGATACTAACTACTTTATTAATGTCAACACGCTATGTTACAGCGGAAAAGGGTGTGACGGTGTTGCCGCTCGTTAAGTCTAGGTAAGCACGATAATGGCGAAAATATGTAACTCAATTAATTATATGAAAGTACGTGTGTGTATGTATAAATATCATAATTAATTATTATATGTATAAATATTCTCCATTGAACACGACATTGGCGATGTAAACTATGCCCAAGTGGCACGCCTGCAATCCACAGAACGAAGATTTGAATTGAATCATAAGTGTATACGCTGACAGATAAATAAAATTGAAGTATTTGTTTGTAATGTCAAAATAACGGAAATTTACTAAAAACATATGAAATTATATACGGTACTTATAAGAAAAATACAATTTTTAAAATAATAGAGACAAATGTCTCTCTGTCTGTTTGTTCTGGCTAATCTACGAAACGGCTAAACTCATTTTGACGATACGTTTATTTTTTTAAAAAAGTATTAGAGTTCCGCTTAAAAAAAATTTACTTCAAGCGAAGGGAGGTTAAGTTGGTAGTTTAATATATAAACATTGCATTTTTGATAGCTCATGTCAATACTCAAGTGAATCTCCAACTCTTGCACACGCAAATCAGATTGATGAACTGAATGATATATATACAACGGATTCACTTTCTAAGCCGTATAAGGGTAAGAATTTAACTTATGGTATTTGTCTTTGTATTAAAATATTTTGTAATTAAAACGACGCAACGAGAGGAGTCAATCAGTCAAACGAAGAAAAGACATCGCTTTGTGTTTCTTTGTTGAAACGACCAATAATACTTGTTGTATTTACAGTGGAGAATTTTGGCTCTATATTTAAAACAAAGGTTTTTTTCCTAGATTTATATACAATATGTATACATATACAGATAAAATTCATTTGTTCGCCTTATTAAAGTGAAATGTATACTTTCTAAATACCAATGGAATTGAAATATTTAGAAATAAATAATTCTGTATAAAAAAACTACATATTTCGGTAAATTGGTCGTTTGAACATAATACATGTTAGTACTGAGGAGGCAATGGTGATGGCAAAATTTAAATCGCAAATATTGCTTTTCTTTTATTTAAGGCGAAACTGATAGACGATATAAGAGACGTAAAAGGAAATTCAAAATAATATAATATGTAGGTATTCAAAAAATAACAAGTCGTATGTTTGAACTAGTTATCGAATGAATCCGTTAAAACAGTTAGGTACTTTGTTAGTCGTAATTGTAATAATTTTGTTACATATCCCTAAACCTTAAAAGCCTTTAACACCTCCAGGTATATTTCTAAGAAATTAATTAAAATTCTAAGAAATCTATTGTTAACTGTAACGCCGGCGTGTCCGCAGTCGTGGAGGGATTAAAAATCGTACTAGACTATATGATTTTTTCCAGTGTGTTTTATCTTTAATATACAAAAACCTTTCACATGACAAAATACAAACGCACGTTGTTTCGTTTAAAAAGTTACGTGATAATATATGGTGCGCGTTAGTTCGAATTTGTGTTTAAACGAATAGATCTTTCGATTTTTTAATTTTATTCTTTGGTTTGACTTAACGTCTCATATCGACACCACTTTTCGTAGAGGTATTTGTTAGGAAATGTGTATCTACGAGTATGTTTTTATATAAAAATGAGTTCTATTTACACTTACCAGTCATAAATATTACAATTTGCTTCTCGTTTAATACAGATGCTGCAATCAATATAAAGACGCAAACATCTACTTGTGCCACCCAGTGCAGGAGTCTGAATAAATATAAAAGTTGCAGTTGTATCGAGATAAACAATCGGAGCAAGGGTACGTAACTAGTAATCAAAGTTGGAAAATTTAAGGAAATACATAATTATTAATTAGACTAGCGACTCACCCTCGCTTCGCTCGGGTTCATCCCTGGGTAAGTTTCAATTTTTTGAGTGGCTTAATAATTTTTCTAAAATAAAAGTAGCCTATGTTACTGCCTATAACATCAGCTATCTTCCAGTGAAAGTCCCGTCAAAATCAGTCCAGCCGTTTCAGGGATTATACGGAACAAGCAGACAGACAGCCAAAAATTAAAAAAAAATGTGTTTTTCTTTTATGTGCCGTATATAATTTTCTCTGTCTGTCTGTTATTTTGACATTACAAACAGTCACTTCAATTTTATTTATCTGTATAGATAATGTGTAAAAAAGAGAGTAAATCTATAAAAATAATAAAATTGTTACTGAGCTGAATCTGGACGTTACATATTTTTTTGGAAAATCTTATTAAAAAAAGTCATTATTATCGATACAGAGGCCGAATTTATAGAGTTTAGAATTTTTATCTGTCTGCGTGTGACCGTATCACGAGAAAGCCACTGGACGAATTTTGAATAAATTTTGTATGGTGATAGCTGGTCCTTTATAAAACTTTCGCATATAACAAAAGACAGCACAATATTAGCATTTAACAATGATGTTACTTCAATTATCAATATTTTAGAATTTGGTGATACAATAAATTATGAAACATGGTCCGATATAAAGTCCACAGTAACGCTTAGTGAATACTCGTTTAACGAAGATACTAAAACAGATCTTACCATATGCAGTCGAGTTACAATTGATGATTCCGATCAAACAGAACCTTATAAAAGAAGAAATGAGAGTAGCACTAAAAGAAAATATATAGTAACAAAAAGCAATAAAGCTATTATTACTGATAGAACAAAGTTATGTGATGTCAGTACTTTCACAAGTGACTGGTGGAGTCCGATTTTTGAAAGGAAAGATGTGAAGGATAGTTTCAAAAGAAATGATAGACGGAAACAAAAAGACAAATCAGTATCGACTGATGGTAGAGTTGTCACATTTATGAGTCGACCGCAAATTATACCTCAGGGTATGTGAGAATTTGTTGATTAAATGAGATATGTATGTTACTTAATGTTTTGAATTAGGTTCTATTAAATACTAGTAGTACCCGCGGCTTCGTCCGCGTTCAAACTTCCAATCGCTATGTTTCACGGGATCACCCGCTGGGCTAATCAAAGATTGCCTGAAAGTTTTATCAAAATCGCTCCAACGGCTCGAGGAAACGAAAATGCCACCCTAGAAAGAGACAAACACATAAATATATAGGATTAAGCCGGCGAGAGAAAGGGATAGAATACATTGCCATTTTGCATGGAACCGTTGTTATTGTCTGACAAATATATAATATTATATTCTTTACGTATATGATATTCTATAAATATATGATTGTAATATGCCTTATTAAATTATTGATTTGTTTTAACTTAATTGCGATATTTGCCAAAGAAGTTTTACTTCAACCGCGCGCGTAAAGTTTACATGCACTCATTTTTTTTTAATATTGCTTTTTAATTATAGTACTTCAGCATAATATTATAATTAAAAACGACTTTCAAAGGATTCATTATTATTTTTTCACAGATACATACGATATATTATCACCATCAAGGTATCTTTTGGAGGTAAAAATATTTTTTTATCATACACTAAGTATGTAATTAATTACTTGTCGAAAACCAACTTCTTCATTAATTAAATGTTATATCTTGTTCTAGTCGCAGAAATATTATAATGAGCTGTTTTTGTCAAAATTTTATCCTCACCTCTTTCCAGTTATTCCTTTAAAGGTTTGATGAAGTTTTATATTACTCATTTGCTAATTATACCTATTATTGTTATTATAATCTGTTAAAATTTAGATTTTTTAAATTGACGGGGTTTTCAAATACATACAAATCTATGGGCCGATTTTTGAAGTGATACTTCTTTTGGTATGTTTGGAAAAAATTATAAGAGTAAAACTTTTACTATACGCGCGCACACTGACAGCCAAAAAGCGACATGATGAAGTTGCATTTCTTTTACAAACAGAGAGTTGTGACATACGGGATGAAATCTTTAACTATTTTTGTTCTCTTACGCCAAAGAAGTATAACTTCTTACGTGCGTACACAAATACATACATACGTTTTTTTTATAGGTTCGGGGTATTTTTTGTTCCGATACATCTTGTTTATCCCGTGGTACATTTATATAGCAGTATTGAAAAATGCCTATCTGTTACTTATAATTGTTTTAATGTTGACGTTAACATATTATAATATTATTTTAGGTTCCCAAATTAAATAAAAAATCAAATAAGACAAGCGACAATTAATAAATCATTTTATGAATTTTTTAAGCGACAGAAACAGATATTTTTATGTATCATCACTATATTATAGTGATATTTGAAAGATAATAAAAATGGTCACTGTCTCTTACCGAGGAAATATGGACATTTCATTTCCTGAGACTCAATCAAAAAGTTTCGATTTTTATCCAAAAGAAACAATTACTCGAAATATTTTATTCGTTTTTGTTTACTTTCAGTAGAGGCCTTTGATAATTATTAGCGAAACGATCATAATGTAATGCTTCAGTAAATTGTATTTATTATAATTATTTTGATTTTTTCTGAAATAATACTTTTTTTTGAAAGAATTGTTTTATTATTTTTGAATTTAATGTAATATATAATCTATACATAAATTTTTTGGAAAATCTTATTGAAATAGACATTATTATCGATACAGGGGCCGAATCTATAGTTTTTAGAATTTTTCTGTCTGTCTGTCTCGTCTGTCTGTCTGTTACCGCATCACGGAAAAATCACTGGAGGGATTTTCATGAAATTTGGTATGGTGATAGCTGGTTGTCTGGGTCAACATATAGGATACTTTTTACCGCAGGAAAATATCTCATTTCTGAGAAAAAATACAAAAACTGCAGTGTAAGAGTATACTAATATATAAAACCTAAAAATTATGTTTTTGTTAATCTGAACGCGGGCGGAGCCGCGGGCAATTCCAGTTCGATATATAACCATAATATGGGCAATGTAGTAACGATGTCATGAATAACTCTCTCCCTGAATTGTATTTGTTACAAAGACATTAGTCACCCACAGACAATAATAATCAACCGACTTCAAAAAGGAGGAGGTTCTCAATTCGACTGTATTTTTTTTATGTTTGTTACCTCAGAGCTCCGTCATTTATTAACCGATTTGGACAATTTTTGTGTTGTTTGAAAGTGTATACTTCCAGATTGGTCCTATTTAAATTTCAAAAAAAAAATTATCACCCCTAAGGGTGGAAAAATAGCTAATGATGAATTTAACCTACTTCTAATTGTCATATTCACTTGAAACTTTGCAAGTGTTTCTATTTCCGTTGATAGTACAGTGGTTTGGTATTGTTGACCTGATCTGATGGTAAGGCCAGAAGGTGGATAGGTGGAACTCTTCAACGGCTAATAGTAGATACTTTGAGTTTGGGCTTATTTGGTTTGATTTGACAAGCCTAACACGTTAGAATTCTTACTTTGCTACTACTGTCTAAACTAAAAATTGAAAAATAAAAACTTTTTAACAAAAAAATAAAAACCGACTTCAAACAAAAGCACTAAAAAGTAAAAAATAACTGATTGGTAGTTTTCATTTACTATACATACCTAATCAAATATTTTCGAAGTCGGTGTGCTGTGTGTTTAATTCGAGGGGGATTACGTGATAGTCTACTACGTTGGGCAAGTGCAGGTTAATGGACTCCATATGTCTTCGAAAACTTTCTAGGCTCTCTCGGACATGTAGGTTTCTTCACGATGTTTTCCTTCTCCTTAAGGAGAAGGTTAGGATCTAAGAAGAGATGTATACGGTAAGTAAACTAAAAAAAAATGTCTGAAAATAAATAAATATTCAGTTAGCAAAGATTTAAGATACCAGACAAAAAAATATAACCTATAAGTGCAAATGTATATATATATATATACATATGTATGGAAGAGAGAAGCAGTTAATTTTTTCGCACTTTGGCCTCAAAAGTAGTACAAAAAAGAAACCAAAAAGGATTACGAAACTTACTACTAAGAAGGCTGAAAAACTTTCCCAAGTACTAAAAAAGACACCCAAAAAAATGTGGAAATGCCCACCATGTGGTGAAGTATGAGTGGACCCCCCAAATGAAGATTGGATATGATGTTCCAAATTTCATGAGTGGTGACATAAAGCCTGTACGAACTACATAACACGAATTATGAGATATTTTGTCCTGCGTTCTCTTATCAACTCACATGCGTAGGTATTCATATCCAATAACTCTTGTAAGAGTACGCAATTATCACTTCTGTTAATTTTTTATTTTTGTAAAGATTTTGTATATTTTTGTTACATTTCATGTTGCTTTATGAAAGATGTGATTATTAAGTACAAAACAAAAGTTAAGCTGATTATCGAGAGAATTTAATTTTAGAACTTTTTGAACCTTAGGTGGGTACTCCTAGACCAGACTACCTAAAATTCTGTTGCTATATCTTCAAAAATTATAGATACTATTTTTACTAATTTGTTTTCAAATATGCAAAATATTTTTAACTAGCGGCTAACACTCGCTTCGCTCGAGCTCGTCCCTAAAGAGTATATGGTTAGGTTAGTATGAAGGGATAAGCGATAGATGTAAGAATCCAGCTAGATAGAAAGAGATAAAATATTATTCTCTCCTCTTTATGTGATATTCGTTTGAATCATATTTTTGTCTGAGTTTAAAAGTTTAATCAGAGATAAACAGTTTTTATTAATTTATTAATCATGAATAACCAATGAAGTTCACTTCTAACACATTTCCATAGAAATCGATTTTTAATCAAGTTTTGAATTGTTTATCTCGACTTTGAATTGCCCGGACGAGTTCTTGTTTATGAGATACTGGAAACATAGTGATAGTAATATCGCCGTTGCGATGACACGAATTGTTTTAAGCAGGTAACATAACTTTTGTTTATTTATTTTTTTTAAAACCCTTGTATGTTTTTTTTGTAAGTGTATTTTATTATATTCTGGATTTGAAATATATATGGCTTTCGACTTTTCATGCAGTTTTTAAATTACCCGTGTGATAAGTAGATAGGTACGAGTTTTCACAAATTTTTCGAAAGACTGCGCGTTTGCGTTAATCGAGTAAAGGTCAATTTCACCACACTTTGGTAGATTTTAGTGATTCATCAATCAGAATCATTAGATTATAAAATAAAAGTTTTAACGGACTGTTAAACCTTAAAAGGAATAGTTAATTCCTCAATTTGCTAACGCGTCGTTACTTCTCTTGATAATAATTTGTAAGATTAAAAACAAAATTATGCTCACATCACGTCGTAGCCATAAACGTATTTTTAAAGTGGATTACATTTTAGAATATGGATAAATATTTTAAAAGACTTTCGCTCTCAGCTAAATTTTTATTATGTAATTATTATAATTACTTACTATTTTGACTGTTTTGGTTTTTATGAACATTTATTAGTTAACTACTGATTTATTTATAGGAATTGGGTGAAAGGGATGTCTCTCTCTATCACTAGACTAGATGACGTGGCTTTATTTCCATAAATTAATTTAAATTAACGCGATCGAGTAGGTTAAGACTCGCACTAGGCACATTGTAATATAGAAGTAGCAACTCACCCTGACTTCGCTCGGGTCCGTCCTTAGATACATTTTAACGGTTAGTGATTCCCATACATAATAAAACAGATCCGAACTTTTCGATTTTCCAGCTGTTTTTCGGTTTTCTCTATTTTTTACACTTAAACCACCCCTGACACATCCTCAACAAAACAAACAAAGAATTAATCAAATCGATCCCGGCTGGATTTTTTGTTTGAGTTTTAGATTATTATTAAGATTTTTATATATAGATATAGATTGTTAAGATTTTCAACCTGGAAAAAGACAAGCGTAAATTCATGTTGCAAAAACTTTATTTTTATTTAAAATACTATTATCCTTATTTAATCATAATATATAAGTAAAATTAATTATATTATACATATTTGTTAGGGAAAGGAAAAAACTCTATCTTCGCTACTACTGCACGATTCTAATATAATAATTATTATACTAAGACCATGACAAGATTTGTATTCATTTTACTTTCAAATGTAAACCTAAATGTCACAAATACAGGTTTTGGACATCATGGAATATCCTCATCCTCATGGAAAAGGTACCCAAAAACAATATACAAAACATTTTAAGTTACGTTTTCTACACAACTCGTGCACAAACTCAAGATAATAAACCATTCTTACTGAATAATATCTGTCGGGTCAGGGATTCGATGATATAATATTATTTTCTTTTCTCTTATTTTAAGCGATTGAAGTAAACAATATACGTATAAAGTATAGTGAAACCGATTACTACCTGTCATTGCTGATCGATGGAGTTATCTGGATTTTATTATATTATCGTCTTTGTGAAAAATGTTATTATCTAACCACCATCTGTTTATGAGTGCATACACGTTTAGGTAAAAAAGTTACGTAAAACGTTAGTTTTTTCTTACTTCACGCAAGGACATTCAATTTATTTATTTTTTTCAATAGCAATAGATAAATATGAACCGGAAATTCACTTCAACTGTTACAAAAAAATATATTATACATAGATAAAATTTTCTTCTAAAACCACCAATGGTAATTTATAATAGACTAAAAAATTAAAGGACAAAAAAATATCTAGAAATAAGTCGTCGAAGTAATGGGCTTAAAATATATTATGCATCTAAAATGTCTAAATTATTTATAGTAACCTGTTTTGTATGTTTTTTTTATGTTTCAGTGTCTTATTTATTTTAGTTTGCTATGAGGTGAATGGTAAAAGCGCTGTGAGAAATTTTCCTAAAGGCTTCCAATTTGGCGCTTCTACGGCATCTTATCAAATTGAGGGAGGCTGGAACGAGGACGGTAGGATTATGTACCGCATAAATTATTTTATATTTATTATTTAGCTCTTTTTAACGTAACACTGCTGGGGGTGGGCCTCCCTTCAATACGAGGGAGATCAGGCCATAGTCCAGCATGCTGGCCAAGTGCGGGGCGGACTTCACATGTCTTGCTAGGATCTCTCAGACATGCAGGACATGTTGGAAATCATGTTTTATATTATAAAATTATTTATTTTAATTGCCAATAAAATAGATAGTAATTATAAAAGTATAATAACAAAGATTAGGGTACATCGTAAATTAGCTTTACATTTCAAAAAATATTATAATTTATTCAATTATTTACTACTACTACCGCAGATGATAATAATTATAATACTAGACTTGCTTCATCTCGTACACATATTGAACGGATCTAATTCGGGCTGTTTTCTGTCTTTTGTTTTTTCTATCAGCTAGAATGTTACTTTCTTCCTGTAAAACTCTAACATAATAATAGGTAATTGTTTTAGGCAAGGGTCCATCAATATGGGATGTCGCAACCCATAAAGTACCATCTCCTGTATTAGACGGCAGTAACGGAGACATTGCAGCGAACTCCTATCATCTATACAAGCGTGATGTAGACATTATGAAAGAACTTGGCTTAGACTTCTACCGATTTTCTATATCTTGGTCCAGAATATTGCCCAATGGCTTTTCTTATGACATAAACCAAGCCGGCATAGATTATTACAATAACTTAATAAATGAAATGATTAAGAATGGTATTGTGCCATACGTTACAATTTATCACTGGGATTTACCGGAGGAATTGCAAAAAATGGGAGGCTGGGCGAATTCCGCGATCGTAGACTGGTTTGCAGATTACGCTAAAATTTTATTCGATCATTTTGGAGATAGAGTTAAATATTGGGTCACTATTAATGAGCCGAAACAAATCTGCTATGAAGGTTATGGTTCAGACCAGAAAGCTCCTTTGTTAAACATATCCGGTATAGCTGAATACTTATGTGCTAAAAACGTCCTGCTAGCTCACGCTGAGGCATATCATTTGTATAATAAAGAGTATAGAAAGAAGCAGGGGGGTCGGATAGGGATTTCTATAAGCTGTTCATGGTTCGAGCCAGCGTCTGATTCTATACAGGACCATCAAGCAGCTCAGGACGCTAGACAATTTGATGTAAGTTCTGGTTAGTTTCTAATATAAAAGTTTTGTGTATTTATATGGTTTCTGGCGTATCGCTTTCAACTACTTATAAGTAGACGCTCTTATTTCTGACAAGTTATAAGTTCTTCTACTCATTTTAGTTCAATAATGTTACTTTAGAAAGCATTAGTTTAATTGAATAATTAGTTACATAGGCCAATTGGTAAGCACAATATTTGTCTTATATTTAATTACTTTACTTTAATATTTTTTTTCTAGTGGGGCCAGTATGCGAACCCAATATTTTCTACTGATGGCGATTTTCCAATTGAGTTAAAAAACAATATTGCTGCTAAAAGTCATGAACAAGGTTTTCCTCGGTCGCGATTACCGCTACTTACATCGTCCGAAGTGAAATTCATACGGGGGACCTCTGATTTCTTTGGTTTGAACACTTATACAACAAAATTGGCATACAGGAATGCCTCTCTAGAAGGAATGTTTGCGATCCCGTCGTACAGAGATGACATGGGAGCTGATCTTATCAAGGACGACTCTTGGCCTCAGGGACAGTCGACTTGGCTACAGGTTTATAAAAATTTTGATTTAGTTTTGTGCGTTAAAAATTAAGATTTTAGGTAAATAGCTGACTTCAAAGAAAAGAAATTCTACTCAAATATATGTTTTTAAATCAAGTATATGTGTTTATCGCACAATATCTTTTCATTCTGAACGGATTTTTATAATTATATATCAATAAATAAATATATAAATAAATAATGAATAGTTAATATTTTTTTAAATCGTATGTATGTATTGTACGTTTGTGTGTATTCAGTCCTTTTTAACGTCCCATTGCTGGGCACCCTTCAATACGAGGGTGGTCAGGTCATAGTCCACCACGCTTGCCACGTGCGGGTTGGCGGACTTCACATGTCTTTTGAAAACTTGCTAGATTCTCTCAGACATGCATGTTTCCTCACGATGTTTTCCTTCACCGTTAAGACACGTGGTAATCATGTTCGAAATGATTTGCACGTGAAAATATCAGAGGTGCATGACCCGGGATTTGAACCCGTTTCACTCGGTTTCCCAAGCGAACGCTATACCACTGGGCTACCACTGCCTTTTTTAAAATTATTATCATTAATTATTTTACTTTTACTCTTTGAAATATAGGAAGTACCATGGGGTTTCCACAAACTGTTACTAGAAATAAAAAACCTCTACAATAATCCTCCTGTGTATATAACTGAGAATGGCTGGGCCACAGCTGGTGGATTGATTGACGATGATAGGATACGATATTTGAGAAACTACCTCAGTGCAATGTTAGATGCTATGGATGAAGGCTGCAATGTCAAAGGTTATACAGTATGGAGTATGCTGGATAATTTTGAATGGCTTCAAGGATATAGGTAATGGTTTTCATCCATAAATCTCTTTATATACTTTATCTTAATTCTTTTGAGTATTTAATACAAAGCATAATGACAACTAATCTTATAATATTAAACAAGCAATTCCTGTAGGTATGTATGTCTACATTTATTTCGTGTATCTCGGAAACGGCTCTAACGATTTGGATCAAATTATGTATTTAGATAACGTTTTGCTTTATAAGCTTATCTATACCCATATCTTTTATTGATAATATCTTTTCCAAAAACGCCGAGCGAAGCTCTGTCATACAGGTACTTATCATATTCTTTATTGCACTTAACATGGGATACAGAAAAAATGACAACAATAAACATAGTTTACAAAGGTGGACTTATCTCTAAAAGAGATCTCTTCCAGTCAACCACTGGATGCGGAAGAAGATGTCAGCGGGCAATATAGTGCAAAAAATATACTAAATATATACTAGAAATAAATAATACATGTATATACTTAAAGAGTAATGATATTAAATTAGCTAAAACAAGCGAATATTTTATATGAACAGTATTAGCGTTTAATGTTTGTAGGTCTAGATAAATGAGCAAAGTGATGTGTATATTACAAAAGGGACAATTTGAAAAATAGATTATATTTAGAAAATGTTTTTTTTTTTGTTCGCGGTAATACTGACCGTACAAAATATTTACATAAGAAGTAAATTATTTAAATAGGTACATATAAATAATATTGAAATGTCTGTAATTTTAAAATAGCCACCCCATATCAAGTTTATCAGGTTAATTGCACGAGCTTCAATAATCGTACAGTTTGGTGTTCAGTAGTGATATTCCGTAAAAACTTTTATGTAAATAAACAGCTGAATCCGCGAACAAATTTTGAATAGTTGTATGGAGTATAATCGCAGATTCAGCTATCGTATTACATATTTTTTTACAGAATAGCACTACTGCTCAATGTTTATCACTTTAAAAGCTTTAACAAATAACACTAGATGACTATTAAGTTTATCAATATAAAGTCGGAACTGACGTATTCGACATTAACATGCGCTTTACATTTAAAAACATCACTGTTAGCAAATCCTACAAATCCCCCATAAGCTAGATAATACATTCGACACAAATACTAAAATTTATTGCATTTTATTTTAAAACATGTCGGTGTCTAAATGACTAGGTACTCTTAATTCATTTTAAAATATCTATATACATATATTAAAAATCTGAGTAGAATCTGTACATTAAATATTTTTCGGAAAATCATAGTGAAATTGTCATTATTATCGATACAGAAGCCGAATCTATAGTTTTTAGATTTTTTGTGTCTGTCTGTCTGGGAACGCATCACGAGAAACCCACTGGACAGATTTTGATAATTTCGCATGATAATAGCTGGCTATCTGGGTCAACATATAGGATACTTTTTGCTGCAGGAAAATATCTCTGTATCCTCAATTATCATAATCAATCAATCATCAATATCCAACATTCTTAGTTGGGACTAGCGGCTTGTAACGGGTACGGAACGAAGCGAGGGCGGGATTCTAATTTTTTGATACTAAGTATAATAATATTATATTCTTTTTATAGTGAAAAATTCGGCCTGTACGAAGTGGACTTCTCGAACCCTGATCGTCCAAGAATTCCTAGAAAATCGGCGTTTGTTTACAAAGAGATTATCAAGTCTAAACGCTTAGATTTTGATTATGAACCGGAAAAATACTACGAAGAGGTTCTGGAATTTGAATAAAAAATTAAAAATTATTCCGACGATTATAAAAAAATATGAAATATTATTGTATTTTATTTATGAATTAACTCGAAAATAAGTTTTATAGGAACTCTCAAATCTGGTTATCGTGCGGGTATTCACATTATGCTGTATGACATCCTCACACATATGCACGACGTTTATGCCCGATTTCACCAACAACCCATAAGCTACCACTACGTATGGGGTCCCTCTCCATCCACTCCATCCACTCCATCCACTATAGAAATACAGGCTCTGACGATGGTAAAACAAAATTTAATTTAGGGGCTAGTACCTATATTTAGGTGGTATTTTAACATTTAGGTGACCCCTGTCGGAGAAACAGAAACTGCCCCCTAACAGCCCCCTATAAACTATGCTTAGGGGATCCCTTAAACTTAGGTGACGTTGGTGAAATCGGCCATTAGTTCTTACTGTAGGTACTGTACTCTACAATCGTACACATTACGTGCGCACACTTAGTACCTTTTAATCTACTTTATAATTATTTGAATTAATATATTTTTATATATTATTATACACAAATAGATACATCATATGTTATGTTTTAACTGTTATCGAATAAAATTTGGTCAAAATCCACAGTAATTTATGAAATTAACCTAACTAAAATCACTGCCACAAGTCGGGTCACTCACTGCCCCCCCAACGTGCGTTCACCTTGTCGTGGTGGGGGGGCTCAGTAGTGCCCGGCAATCCACCGGGCGTGAAGCCAAGAAATGCAAAGGGAGGTGGCCCTCTTCGGTGGGCGGTGTACCATGCGGGTTGCTCCTGGTACTTCTCTGATAGCAGAGTGGACTTTGGAGCAACCCCATGGTTGTTGTGGTCTGCTTCGGTAGACCTGCCGTCGGGGCGTCGTAGTTGAATGCGTAAGCGATCCTGCGATGCCCCATTCAGACGGGGGAAGGTTTTGTTGGGTTTTAGTGGGTAGTACTGGCTTTGCCGGTGAGTCCCACACCTCGTGCGTAAATGCATTTCCCAACGTCACCTGACTCCTCACTGGTCACCTGATGTTTGCCCTTCCAAAAAATAAGCACTAGAACATTCTAGTCACCGTCATTAAATAAAATTTGAAATTTCACTTCACAATAGATTCGTAATTAAATACTTTCTTTAATCTATAAGCACCAACCTCACAATAAACACAGAGAAACCAGAAGAACCGAGTGATAGATAAACATCAATAAATGATGTCTCACTTTTAAATATATTTAACGATTTATTTTATTTACAAATAATAAAACCGACTTTAATATCTGGGACATCACTACAATATAGGTATTTGAGTTTTGTAAGCGCATCTGTAATGTAATGTCAAAATTAGTTTGTTTATGTGTCACATGCCACTTCAATAACTTCACGTTTTCTTTCTTTGATTTAATGAAAAATGTGTGATATAAACGATAATCCTATTAAATTAAGTGTTAAGTGGAATGGAAAGGAATATGAAATACCTGAATTATCGCCTTCGGACTCAGTAGCGATGTTGAAAATCGCGATCGAAAATGCCACTGGAGTTCGACCGGAAAGACAAAAACTTCTCAATGTTAAGTTTCAGGGTAAATAGTTACAGTTTTTATAAATATTTATATTGTATTCCTAATTGATAATTATTGTGGGAAATTATTTGTCATGTAATCTTTACTGGTAGAAAGATAAATACAAAGATACTTTAAATTTTAAAGCTACATGGGTATTAATTTTTACCTTTATAAAATATTATAATCAAAAAGTGCAAAAAAAAAGTTAATCTACAAAATATACTTTTTTTACTTAAAGCTTTTCAATAATCAATTCAATTCAATCAAAACAATGACATTGACTTTCACATTTGCATTGTGTATTTGTGAAATTACCTGAGTTGTATTTACTAAAACATGTTTTATTCTAATATTTTTATCTGAAATGTAAATGTTATTTTATTATTATTATGTTAAAGTTTTAATAAAATTATTACTAATAATACTTTTTTATTTTTAAAATATATAAATTTTGCTTCAAGTATTATGAATTCTTATATTGTAATATTATTAACACAATGATAAATATACCTATTAAACTTTTACTGAAAATATTTTCTGAGCAATAACTTGATTATTATTTGGCATGACTTATAATGAATTTTAAAATTAAAAAGATACTTAGGAAACCTTAAATTCCATCAAAATACAAAGTTCACAAGTCATAAAACTTTTACAAACAAATTTGTAACAAATTGTAGTACAAAATTAACAATTTATAGGCAAAGTGGCGACAGATAACTGCACCTTATTTGATTTGAACCTCAAGCCAAATCTTAAGATCATGATGATGGGCTCTTTAGAAGAAGCAATAGAAGGTGCTAGAACAAAACCAGATGTAGGTGATGAAGTAATTAATGATTTAGATATAGAGGAAGAAGAAGTAGATGTTGAAAACCAAGAGGTAGTTTATTTTTGTATTTTACCTTATTTTCATACAGGTCTCTTTCAGCAGAGCTCTGTTTTTTATCTCGTAATACACATAAAGTACTGCACATATCTTACACAACAATTTATTTGCAATAGCTATGGATTTATAAGTTAAATAGAAGAGATTCAGTACTTTCAAAAATTATACTATAACTACAAAACTTCTTTACAATTTAATTTTTTTGTTAATGGCTTTTACCTGTGCCAGATGAGCAAAGATTACTTCATATGATTGTCACATAGAATAGAGAAGAAACTAGCGAAATATTAAAAATCCAATTCAATTTTCTTGTAAATGGCTTAAGAGCGTCAGTTGAACACACATTACTTCACCAATGTCACATAGATTGTTAAAAATAAACTTTGTTTTTATAGTGGTGTAATATAAATGAAAATGAAAACTTTTACAGATATACTTAACAAAAATAAACAAAAGAGTGAAAGATTATAAAATAAATATTCTAAATGAGCCCCGACCGGGCAAGAAACTTCTTGTATTAGATATAGACTATACACTCTTCGACCATAGATCTGTGGCAGAAACTGGTATGTACAAATTGCCTATCTTTAAACAAACTAAAAAATAATTAATTATTTATATCTGTTTTTGTAATTGCTATCAATAACTGTATTTAATTTTAAAATATAATGGTAAAATTATTATTAATTTTCTCTAATTTTTTTTTGTTTAAATTTTATTAAAAATGTCCTAACTTATCAAATATTTCCACCATTTTTAGGTTATGAACTGATGCGTCCATTTCTCCATGAATTTTTAACATCAGCATATGAAGACTATGACATAGTTATTTGGTCGGCCACTGGAATGAAGTGGATAGAGGAAAAAATGAGATTGCTTGGTGTATCAACTCACCCAGATTATAAAATCATGTTTTATTTGGATTATCTGGCTATGATCACTGTTCATACAGCCAAATACGGAACTATTGATGTAAGTTTTTTTTTAATTGACACATGCGATTCTTTTTTTTTAAGTTGTACTTCTTTTGACACGTTTGGAAAAAATTATGAGAGCAAAATTTTTACGATGCGCGCGCACACCGACAGCCAAAAACCGACATGATAAAGTTAGCTGAAAGCGACATGATGCAGTTAACTGCATTCCTTTTACAAATACAGAGTTGTGACATACGGGATGAAATCTTAAGCTATTTTTGTTCTGTTACGCCAAAGAAGTATAACTTCTTACGTGCGTACATAAGTACACACACCCATTTTTTTTTAATAAGACTTACTATTTGTAAGACAATTTAAAACTTATCACTTTCAGGTAAAACCACTTGGTGTAATTTGGGGTAAGTACCCACAATACAGTTCCAAAAATACAATAATGTTTGATGACATCCGACGCAATTTTATAATGAACCCTAAAAGTGGTCTAAAAATAAGACCATTCAGACAGGCTCACTTGAATAGAGATAGGGATAGGGAACTATTACACCTTTCCACTTATCTCAAAGACATTGCAAATTACTGTGACGATTTTGATACTCTTAACCATAAAAGATGGGAAAAGTTTAAGCCCGACAAAAGAACTCAGCAAGTCGGTAGTAAAAGAAAGGCAGAAGACAGTCCGTCTCAACCGAAGGAATAACACTAGAAAAGTTTGTTTTTATATCTGTTCATTAAGAAGAGCTCTTATAGGTTAATATCGAAATTTTTATTTAAGAAAAATATTATTTTTTTTTATTATAAAATAATCGATTCATATATTTGTCATTTTATTTGCTTTTAAAATATGCTATGGTGATGTACTAATAATATTTAGATAACAAATAGCGTATAAAGTTCTGAGATGAATTAAAAACCATGAAATTAATTTCTTTATACTCATGGTTTCTTTTGGTTTTCCTTATGACATTTTATCTATGTATTTTTGTAAAGTTCAGTTTTTATCTTGTTCCAGTAAGAATTAATAAAAAGTTTCAAATAATTAATTTAGCCAAAAATATATTTTTAATCTTTTTTAATATTTTTAATCTATGGAGATATATATATTATTAAAATGTTATTAGTGCATTGACACATAGTATTTTCAATACCATTTCATAAATGTATTATAATTTATAATTTAATATAAAAAGTTATTGAGATTTTTGTTTTTTTTTTTGCCAACACAAAAATAAACCATTAGAGCTCTCGATATAAAACCAGATTATAAAGCAATAAAGCTTATCGCTTAAAGACTGGATAGAAGACTTGTGTTCAGTATCATGGAAAAAATGTAGTTTCAATATATACAATTTTCCTAAAAAAAAATATTAGTAAAAAAACAACGTGTTTTACCCGAACATAATATTATGCTTAATGTTATTACATGTCAAAGAATATTATATAAACAAAGTTATAATATTAGTCAAAAAGTTTTTGTATGTTTTTTTTAATGTCATTTTCTGACATTATTTGAGTCTAACTTTAACAAACTGTCAAACACTCCTAATACTGTATGATATATGTATTATTATTTGGCATGATATTACTAAACCATATTATTTTGTTTAATATATAATCAATAAACAATAATTATAATACGTCAGTAAAAAAAACTAGCTTAAATATGCAGTATTTTGTATTATTATTAATTTATATGGTATCTTAGAGTATACATATGCTATGTATACTCTTAAGTATGGTATTCATTAGATAAAATGTCTTGACGTTAATGTTTACATCATAAAAATACAAATAAGGAATAAAATTTATTTTATTATAATTAAAATTGCATTTTGCGATATTTATAAATTTATGCTGCAATAATATGTTAAAATATGCGTGAACAATTCACACAGGCGGCAGGAAATCATATTTCGGAGTTGGTAACTTAAACAAAATATGTAGTTTTTTTATAAAATATGAAAAAAGCAATCATTTATATAGCAGAATGTTTTTATTCGGTTTGTAAATTGGTAGTAATAAATGATCTTCCAAGTCCTTTACTTTGTATAAAAATCAAAGAATAAGATGGACTAAATCTTCCAGAGTGGTACGTGATTTAATTCCATAAATCACAAAATTATAGATTATTGAGTACTAAAAATACGTGTATTTTTTTTATTTTCGCAGTTTTATATTTAATATTATAAAGATTTCTTACTGAAACTACTAAAAATAAATTTTCCTATATTGCATTTAATTTTGAACCTAATATTTTATCAAAAATAATAACTTCCGGAGACAAATACAAGTGATAATAAACGAACAGACTGTTTCATATTCGTAAAAAAAAAATAGGTACCACAAATATATTATATATATTAATAATGTAATACTGATAGCACCAATATTAGTAGGTATAGTGCCTTGTTAGTGTTTTGTAGAATTTGTACTGGTAACCGATAAAAGTAAAATAAATGATACATAGAAGCCTTCATTAGTTTATCATTCATGTCAAAAAGAAGTTTTTTATTGTATTTGTTACTTAGAACCTGTGCTAGATATAAATTATCATTTTGAACAGTTAGCGTTACATGTGTATTATTTATTCGAATAAATTTTTAATACGACACATATTTTCATTTTCCTTATTCACTTGTTGTTTTCATTTTAAGCAGACTTTTGTATATATGGTGTTTAAATGCGAGAGAAAAAGATAATTCGATGCATATAATATATCGCCATTATTACCGATACAGAGGCCGGATCTATAGTTTTTAGAACTTTTGTCTGTCTGTCTACTAACGCATCACGAGAAAACCACTGGACAGATTTTGATGAACTTTGGTATGATATCTGGTTATTCGGGTCAACATATAGGTTACTTTTTCTGCGGCAAAATATGTTAGCTCTGAGAAATCTATACTAAGTTACGTTAAACGTAAGTAGGGACGAACCCGAATCGAGCGAGGGTGAGTCGCTAGTTACGAGTAGGTATGTATAAATTTATTTCGTGTATCTCTGAGACAGATCTAACGATTTGGATCAAATTTTGTATTTAGTTAAGGTTTTGCTTTTTATTTTATATAGGTGCCTTTTCTGCAAAAACGTTAAAATGTTACTAGTGTCGAACCCGAGTGAAGCAAGGGTGAGTAGCTGGTTCATATTAAAAATACTCAGATCAATTAAAATCAGCTCAATTCAAAACATAAATTAATAAAAAATATATTGATGTATGTGTCAAAAGAAAGTATTTGTTTATGACCAAAATACATATTATGTAGAATACATTATAAAAGAAAACTATTGATAAATTGTAAGATTAGACTTCCCTAGTAGCAATTATCAGAACTGACGAAAGCGCTTTATATTATAAAAGTTTTTATAACCCTTTCAGAACCTAAATTGCTAATCGAGTGTTAGCGTTTAAAAAATTCTAACAGGTGCAATACTTTATTTTATTGAACGAAAACAGCTTTGATCGCTTCTACGCAGGTTAATTCCGTAACGTAACGGTTAATTTATTTTGTTCATTAACCGGTTAATAAAAAAGAACGTTTTAGTAGAACGGAAATAATAATGGTAAGCTGTTATTCTTAGAGAAATGTTATATTTAGGTTTTGATACCGAAATAAACCGGTTAAATCCCAAAACGGGCGTCGTAACGGTAACGCTCTTTCGTTTAATTCGTGTTTGTAAATATATAATAAAATCGTAAATAAGCCGAATCTGTACATTAAATATTTTTTGGAAAATCTAATTGAAATAAACATTATTATCGATACAGAGTCCGAATCTATAGTTTTCAGAATTTTTGTCTGTCTGTCTGTCTGTTACCGCATCACGGAAAATCCACTGGAGGGATTTTCATGAAATTTAGTATGGTGATAGCTGGTATTCCGGGTCAACGTATAGGATACTTTTTACCGCGGGAAAATGTCTAATTACTGAGAAAAAATGCAAAACCTGCAATGTAAGAGTGTATGAATATGTAAAACTTAAGAATTTGGTTTTTGTTAAACTGAACGCGGGCGGAGCCGCGGGCAATGCTAGTTAATAATATTTGAGAGCTCGACGACTGACATGACAAGTTATAGTGATGCCCTAAAGGACGTAATAATCGATGGCGCTTATTTATTTTTTGTAAAAAATATTATAATCGTGAAAATTATATATACGTCAACTGGCAACATCTACCGAAATAAAATAAAAGCAAATACAAGCCCCCCATTCATAGCGAATAAAATGTTGCAGTTATTCAAAAACGCTTGCACCCTTCTTAAAGGCCGGTAACGCGTCTGCAAGCCCTGCAGTGTTGCAGATGTCCATGGGCGGCGGTGATCACTTTTCATCAGGTGAGCCTCCTGCCCGTTTGCCCCCTTAGTCCCATAAAAAAAAAAAAACCCACGTGACGACCGAGAACTGGGCAAGTGTGGTGGAGAGAACTAAGAGAGTCATAATGTCTGATTGGGACCGTGACATTGCATTTGATAATTTATGCATACAAGGGCTAATCATTAACATTACTGACGTCTCCTCGTCGGACGAATCTAGTATAAATGATAATTCTGACGAATCATGTTGATAAAAGGAATTAAACTACTTTAGATATTTTATTTGTATGCCTTATACTAAGAAGAAAGTAAAGCTTTATATAATGTTAATATTTTAATTTATATGTTTCAACCTTAAAATTTTGTTGTCTTCCTTATTAAATAACATATTACACCTTATTTACATATTAGCAATTATTTTTACCGATTATTTGTAATCTGTGACACAATCGTAGTAATCGTTGTGTGGCACTTCACTAAGGGGGCGGTACCCGTCCATGAAGTACAATAATATTTTTACGAAATTATAATTTTTAACATAACAATACTAAACTTCATGGGCGTGAGCTGTCAAAATACTATTAATATAATGGACAAACTATATTAGACCTGACCGGAGTCAAAGTGGATTTTTGTAATGAAGATTTAATTACAATTTAAATGATTTCTATTTAATGACTTATACTTTAAGAGAATCATCAGAGAACAAATGGATGTTGATTTAGTGGGTATTAGTGAACGAAACAATGTCCATCATAACTTCGCAACCACGACTATCAGGAAATTATACTTTAGCTTCAAACGAAGATGTCATCAATGAAGAGAACAATGATATAATCCCAATAGAAAATGAGGGTGCATCTGATGAACAAAAAAAGAAAAAGGAAAATAGGAGAATAACTGAAGAAGATACAGAAATATGTTGTTGCCCTGGATTATACTGGATTGCAGAATGTTCTGAGTGTTGTTGTGAAAATATTGCTGATTGTTTACACCACTGTTGCGAGGACTCGTCTTGTTGTGATGGTGGTGGTGGTGAGGTTTCTAACGACACAAGTGCTGTAGGTTGTTGTGATCTAGGATGTGGGGATGAAGGTTGCGGTGATGGTTGCTGTGATTCTTGCAATGATTAGGTTTTTAAAGCCAATATGTATTTAAATATCGCATTTTTTTCATTACCAACATTTGGAATTAAAATAACATCTATTTGTAATGATTTCCTTAAAGAGAAGCAACAGTATGTATTTATAATTGTAAACATACATATTGTCCTTATTATGCTACATGTTGTTTATTACTAAATCAATTCTTATTTCTTTTAAAAACAAAAGAATTAATTTCAATTTTTTCATGCTTTTATATGTATGTATATGTTAATTTTGTAATGCTTTTTAAATTTTATAGATCTTTTAATATTTGTACTTTGTAGAATAGAATTTTTTTCTTAAAAATGAAGACTGAATAGAAAAAAACAATTAAGAAATACTAAATTAAGGCAGCAAGGTACTAAAAAGTACATTGTGGCACACTTACACATGTGGGTACTGCTTCAAGTTAACTACCAATAATAAGTAAAAATTTACTTTCACTAATCACTAAGTTTCAATGACACTATAGTAAATTGGACTCGTTTTCCATACTCCATTTGGTCCTTTATACATCACAATGATACTAGAATACATCTAAGTTTTTCCAATGACACAATTTTCACAATGTTCAACATGAAACAGGTTAGATATCCAGCCACTGTATATCTGTCAAAGGCCAGCCTTTTAACCATATCACCAGACATCAAACAGGTGTCCGTTCGTAAAAGATATTTATTGTACAGAAATGTTTTTTCAAGATATTAAATCTTAATGATTATTTTTGCTATTTTTATTGATATATATTTTTTAATTATTTAGGTATAAGCCTCATGTTATTTATTAGTTGTAAAATAAGTTGATATTAACAAATTATACTATTTGGAATGCTTTTTAAATTTTATGATTTAATACAGTAATTAGTATGTAAAATGTTGATTGTATTGAAAATATGTTGTATAGAAAAGTTTCTTCCGAGATGTTATATTAATTGTTAACTTTGTTATTGTACTTATGTATGCTCAAATGGTATGATAATTTGTAGGGATTATATTTCATATATGGAGTGCTTAAAGTGACTTATTCAAGAACTTTACATGTAAGTTTTGTAGTTTCCATATAAAATGATGTACTTTGATATTATATATTGTCTTTCATATACAATGTTTTATTAATATTTAGAAAAGAATATTAAGAATGACTTCCTAATCGATTTCGGTAATGGCGAACAATCTCATTTCTCTTTGAGATTAACCATCTGTACAGGAGATAAAATGGGCAAACAACATGCACTCTTTAATCTCTATCACTGATTCTTAACTCCGGTGGGCCCACATATGGCCCGACTCGGGACTCGAATCCAAGACCTCTGAATCTACAGACGTACATGCTAGCCTCGCTAGCTACTAGACCACCGACTCACCGAGGTAATTTAGAATATGTATGTATGAATCATGGTGTCTCACCAGGAACAAAGAAAAATTAGGTGTCAATACATGGCAATAATTGTATCAATTTGTTAAAAAAGCAGCGAAACTGAAAGCGCCATCTGTGAATGTACACTGTCACCCCATTACTTGCTAAATGCCATCTATTGACCTTTATTTCAAGTAAATTTTCTCTATTCCTGACCCCATGGACCATGGTTTTTTTATACCAGTCTATTTATCCACTATCTCATTCCATCTGTGTACTAAATTTCATTTATATACATTTAGGCGTTTCAGCGTAGTGTAACAAACACACACACAAAAGTTTCGCAATTATAATGCTACTGGCGGCTCAGCATCGCTTCGCTTGGGTTTGTCCCTAGGTACGTTTTAACGGTTAGTATGGAATAGATAGGCTATATATTCGTATTATAAGGTGTTTTCCTGTGGGAATGAGATAATCTTTCACGGTGAAAGTAGCCATGTCTCTCCAGCCCTCCAGCTATCTCCACACAAAAATCACGCCAATCCCTCACTACGTTTCGACTTGAAAGAAGGACAAACAAACCAACACACTTTCATATTTATCGTATTAAGTATGGACTCACGACAGCTATAGACATTTCTATATGTTAATTTTATAGGTAGAATTTAAAAAATATGCGAATGCGAAATTACAGGTAAAAAACTATTAAAAGTTGTAAAATAAAACAAACATTTGTAACACATTTGAATTTTACTCACATCAAATACAATAAAATGACTAGACACCGACAAGTGATAACAATTTTTAAAAGAAAAAAATTTAAAGTCGTGCTAATGAGTATTATAATTTATAGTTATTTAAAACTATAGAAACTATTCACGTTGCCTTACTACTAAATATTTTGAAATTAATAAGAATATTTAAACTATTTTTTTGATTTTTTAAATTTAAATGACTTAAATAATATCTTTTAATATGCGACATTGCGTAGATACATTGTTTATAAGTAGATGTTTCCCTCATGAGATTTAAGTTGTTTAGCGCAAGAATGGGTCTATTTTTTCAATTTAAATAAACAGGTAAATATTTCATAAAAATATTTAGATTAAATCAGTACTTAGATAGATAAATAGGTCTTAAGTTAGGCCAGTAAAAATAGAATTTAACTTTGCACTAAATTTCTGATCCAATATTTTTATTTTATAAGGTTTAGGATCATTTACCGAGTATAAAATTACAAAATGCTGACAGATTCCGGTGGAGCTTCAGGCGCCATCTTGAAAAAACTTTTTTGGCCGATATCTTGGAAACCATGCACTTTAGGGCAAAAGTCATTGAAATCATTTTTGTAGAAAATAAAGTTTCGCATTTATTGTTTCTTGTTATTTATTTTTTATTGTAAAACTTGCCGTTTACGATTTATGGCCCATTTAATGACCCGGTTTTTCTATCTCGGCCGATAACTGTAAGTGATCCTAAACCTTATAAAACAAAAAAAAAAAATGGATTGAAAATTTAGTGCAAAGTTGACCACAAAGAGCGTCTATTTTTACTGGCCTAAGTGTTGCGCTGACAATTTAGTTGACAATTTTTGTATGTGATGTAATTTAACGCTCGTCGAAAGTAACGTTGTTATAGGTCGCACTATTTTCATGTATTCGGTAGGATGAAAAGCTAGATTTTATATCTTAAACTTTAAAATACTCTTTACGAAAGCTAACAAACGTCGTTGTTGAATTGGGTGAACGATATAGGTATTATGGGGACATGAAATCCTTTTTTGTCAAGATGCAATTTTTTTGGAGCGGCTAATAAATATAGCATCGCTAATAAAACGACCATTCTACGCGGCATTGGCGAAGTGAACTGCCCAAATGGCACGCCTAAAAGCTACAAGACAAAGAATATTATCGATAAGATAAAATGACAAAAACATTTTTATTTTTTTTATATAAACTATATATTTATTATGCCAATAATAATTATTTTTATAGAAGTACCTATTATAATATTTTTATATAATAGATTATAGAAGCAAAAACGTAGGCAACGATTAGATTTAATATCGTATTATTATTATAGGAACCACAAATACATATAATTGTAAAACATTAGTCTAGATTATGTAATTTAACTACAAGTTAAGTTTAATTATTTTATAAAGTCATAACACGTCTTGCCTAAAATATTAAAAAACGAAACATGTTTAAAGTTGAGTCTTGAAGAACGACTAATATGTAATAAAGACACATCACTAATTAATATATATTGCATGGAAAACGGGCCAGCATTTAATAATAAAATTTCTAATATACTTAAAATAGAATAATAACAACAAAAATGTTCTCATAGAATTTAAAAAAACACAATCGTATAGGTAGTTAAAGTTTAATATTCCACAGGAAGCACTTGTCTTGTTGTAGATACCGGAATAAAATGACATTTTATTTTTAAACTATATCTATGTAAATAATCATGTCGATCTATTATTACCTCATGTCTACGTGAAAGATGGCAAAGCGACCTAACAAAAACACATTACATATTTTATGATATTAGGTAGTTTAAAATATGGACTTGTATACAATTATTGCATGACGTTCAAAGTTGGGCAAACTTTGGAACTTTAATAACAGTGTGTATCTTACTTTACACACATATTGTATATTATATATTGATATTAATTAATTAATTTGATACTTAATAACTATTTTTATTTTAAGTTGGAATGAACAATTATCGTGATACAATTTTACCTGTTTAAAACATACACACGGAATCCACTTCAATTAAATAGCAGAAAAATATATTAAATTTATTAATTATAACTTTATATTCTAGAAGCTATTCATTGAACTACATTTAAAACTAGTTTTGACTATATACGTAATATTTCTAATTAAGTTATTAATAACCGCTTTGCAAAGCTTGAAAACCTTTTTAAGAGCCATTTACACAGAGATTTAGATGAAAAGTAATGTTTTCACTTACGTTTTTGTCTCACGAAACTTACAAATGCATTATGTAGTAATACGATTTCTTACATTGGAAAATATTTCGTATGAGGTTACGCTTCCAATTTCTCGACTTAATAAACATGATCTCGTATGTAATTTCATTAAGTTCATACGAGTTTCGTACAAATCTATTTAAACCGATTTAATGCGATATTTAAAATTTGACCTTAGCAATTACTATAGAATCCAAAGTCTGAAAAAGAAGAGACTGTCAATATCCAAGGACATGACGATTACTATGATCACACGAGAACAGTTTATATTTCATAACTTTCATAATCGTTCGATATTTGCATGTTTCAAGAAATCTACATGTTAATGACCCTTAAATGTATATAATACACAAATAAGAAAACTAACTTCAAATCTTCAAAATTAAATACTAATGTAGCACAACATTTACTAATGATAACCTTATATTTTATTTTGAGTATTGGATATTATATTATACTATGGAATAGTGAACAGAAAGTAGATCATCTAGCCTATACTGTAATACGTGTATATTCATATTATTATGTAATTTTAATTCATAAATTATTTTTTATTTAATAACACCAAACCTTTTTTAATTATTTTCAAATCGAAAATTACCATCAAACGATTAAAATACACATATTTATAATATTTACTTATATAAACGTATTATTTTTTATATTTTTAGAATCTTTGAAAATATACAAGTGAACATGGATAGCTAAAAAGTATTCAGGCGTATTGTAGGAACCAGATCAACTATTCAAAGTTACCCAAAAAGGCAAAATTAAATGTTTTATTCAAAATACATATTTTTCGGTATCTATGGCACTATTTTTTTATAAAGTTGCTATAATTTTAACAAAAATATGAGCTCTAAATCTAATATTCAACTAATATTAATAATAGGTTTTACACATTATATAAACACATATCTACCCTGTGTTATTTACGTTGGCTAACATTTCCATAAGAATCAAATTACTCTAAATTCGATTTTTTAATGTGAAGTTATTTTTAAATTATCAAGCTAAACATTAACATATACGGAATAGATAAATAATCTTTGATAAACAAAACAGATAAAAAAGTTTTAAAGATTTGACAGCCCAATACTATTTTTAAGCTGTATTCGTAAGTCATAGTAGATATGTAGGTTTTATAACAGAAAAATGTTATTAATTAGACTAAAATATGTGACTATATAATATTAAATAGACATAATAATTTTTATAGACACCAATAGTAAAAATTCTAATTTTCTTGAACAATAATATATTACAAACTAGCATTGCCCGCGGCTCCGCCCGCGTTCAGATGACCAAAAACCAAATTCTTAGGTTTTACATATTAGTATACTCTTACAATGCAGTTTTTGTTTTTTTTTCTCAGAAATGAGATATTTTCCCGCGGTCAAAAGTATCCTATATGTTGACCCGGATAACTAACTATCATCATACCAAATTTCATCAAAATCTGTCCAGTGGTTTTTCTCGTCATGCGGTAACAGACAGACAGACAAAAATTCTAAAAACTATAGATTCGGACTCTGTATTGATAATAATGTCTATTTCAATTAGATTTTCTAAAAAATATTTAATGTACAGATTCGACTTAGTTACAATTTTATTATATGTATGTATAGGTGAAATAATTTCTTAATTGACAGCTACATAGTGATAGCTAAAAGGTAAAAAGAAGAAATAGCTCATATTAATACTATAAAGTTAAAATTTATAACACGATATTATAAATATATTAAATTTAGTAAAATATGATAATTTTAAATTATGCTAGGTACTAGGACTAGAAGCGATTAAGTTGTTTAGTTAAGTATTAGCATTGACTAGGAGTTAAGTATGAAAATGACTCAAATATAACATTATGATTTATTAGGGGAAGTACCACCCCCCCCTCTCCCCCCATCTCCCATGTGTGTTCACTTTGTGTTTGACGACGACGACCATGCTCATTAGCTTCTGGCAATCCATCCGGGCGTGAAACCAAGACATATACTAGGAGGGGGCCCATTTCGGTGGGCGGTGTACCATGCGGGTTACTCCTGGTGCTTCTCTGACAGCAGACTGGACCGTTGGAGCAACCCTGGTAGTGTGGTCAACGACAACAGACCTGCCGTCGGGGTGTCGTATTTGATTGCTTAAGCGATCCTGCGACGCCCCATTAAGACGGGGGTGGTTTTGTTGGGTTTTAGTGGATAGTACTGGCTTCTCTTAAGCCGGTGAGTCCCACATAACCACCTGTATGTTTGTTTACAGGTGGTATGCGTAAATGCATTTCCTAACATTAAAAAAAATACACATAACTACGTTTGAATTATAAATAGAGCTAAGGAACAATACAAGTCATCCTCTAAAACTATTAAATAGCTACAATAATAAAAAAACTGACGACTTCAAATCTCTGTCAACAGAATGTGGATCTTTCTAGAACCTTCAAACTTAACAAGAATATAACATAACTTACATCAAGTTTCCTTTTTTTTAAAGAATAGCAACAATTATTTAACAAAATATACCCGCACTTAATATAGTAGGGGAGCCCAAGAGGTGATTTTGGGATTTACTCAAACGCGGCAGATTAACATGGGGGGGGGGGGTGTCCAACCTTGCACTCTGTTGAGTCCCTCCAATGCTGTTTTGCACAAGCCGAAGAGGCAAAAATCGACTATGAAGTTTATGTATTATTTTTGCTTCTTCGGCTTGTGGAAATCGGCAGATTATTGAATTGCACACTTTTCAGGAAGTAATTAGCACACCATACCTTAATCTGACGGTTTCAAGTATTTCTACCTTATCAAAATATTTTTTAAATATTTTAATCGGTTGCCCTAGACGCGCGGCCTTATTCACAGAGTATTGGTGGAGATAATCTACGGAGTGCAAGGTTTGCCCCCCTTATGTTAATCTTCTGTGCTAAGTAAATCCCAATATCCCCCTTGGGCTTCCCTACTAATAGAAATTATTGTTAAAAATCACAAACTTTGGCTCGTAAAAAAACCCAGTTTAACCAAAAAATTAAGTCTTTAGTTTCTTTTTTAGTGTCTTATTTTAATTTAAGATAACATGCAGTGTTGCTGTATACGTTATTTTTTCAAATAATATATTTGGTAGATTTTTTAGAACGAGTAGGATTAAAAATAATAAATCATTTAGAATTAAGACAATTCTGAGAGACAGTAGCAGCAGTAAAATACAGCCAAACCTGAGTGAGTGAGAATTGGGTAAGCGCGAAAATTCTGTAAGTAATTGCCAGATCCCGTCATTTTATCCCTCTAAAACCTCTATACAGGAGAAACGGGAACATCTATAACAGAATCGTTTTTATTCGTGGACCTGTACAACTGAGATTGCCACTGCCTATCAAATTTCGTGGAACTCACATTGTTTTTGTTTCCTTAAACTTTTGAGGAACTAATCATAGTTCCGAGTCATCGCTTGAACCCTCGCTTATCCAGGTTCGACTTTATATAAATATAAAAGAAATATTGTTCTAAATATCCGTTTCTTTGAAAATGTTGTATGGAGTAGCATTAAAATGTATATAGCGTGTATTCGGGGATTCACCTTCTGGTTCAGATTCATCTGTGGTCACGTGTTTAGGAGAAGATTCTGAATGAAATTCATGACGAAAATTACCTGTAATATTATAATTGTAACTGAAATTATCAATAATTTACTATTTTTATTAGCAACGCTGTAAATCTCGGAGAGACCTTCAAAAAATCTGTTCAATAATCTTATACATAAAATTTGACAAACACGAATATTCAAACATAAATAAGTAATAAATAATAGCTGTATGCTGAAATTGGCTATTTTAAAAATTATTTATAATATAAATCGCTTTTTTTCTTAAATCGATATTTAATAGATTTATTTTATCTAAATTTACGTTGGCAACAAATAATATATTTTTTAATTATAAAAGCACATAAGCACACAAAAGCTTATAACTAAAACAAAAACATACTTACAAGCAAAGCTTCAATGGTACTTTTGGCATCAAAAACTATGGACTGAACTCTACAGAGTAAGTCAAACTATTCTATTGGAAAAAGCGTTTGGTTATTACATAAGTAAAAAAAAATCTTGTATAAATTTACCGTCAATAAGCAAAATGAGTTTCATAAAAAAAATCAAATAACAAATTAAAACGATTTTCAATCAAATTTCTACGTTTTTAAATAAAAAATTAAGGCAATTTAAAGTAAACTTGTATATGGGGATTTCTCTAAAAATTATTATAATTAAAAAAAGAACTTTAGTAACTAATAAGCAATACTATTGTACTGTGATCGATATCATTTTAATAACAGACTATGAAAATTAAATTAAAAACGTTCAGTGAGGAATGTTTATTATTGAGTGTAAGTCTCCATGACAAGATCCATTACAAAAATATTTAGTGCTTTAAGAATATGAACTAAGAAATAAAAAAAAAACAATAAAAAAATCGAAAATGGTTTTAGCACTGATTTAAACAGAATAAAATAAAAAATATATATTGTAATTTTTTATTTTGATTGTACAGATGAAAAATATGAAAAATATTAAGTTATTTTTTTCATTTCTAAGTCCATAACCTGTAATAAATGACAATAAAATACCAGTCTTAAATATAATAAGGAAGCTTCATACCACAAACAATGTGACGAAAAACCTATTATTATTCGTTTTCTATTTATTGTATTTTTATATCATTTTTTTATTATTATTTTAAAGTCATTTAATTTTTAAAGTATTTAGCGCCATTTGAACAGTCCTTGTTCCAAAAAAATTAAGTATGTATGTTTTAAGCAAAACACTTTGTCACTTTACATATTTCAACATAACCTATGTTGGAAAAGGACAACTATATATTCAAGATCAACTTGAGCAGACGCAGACTAGATTAAAAGACCATTTGGTACAATTTCACTTTTAAAAAGTTACATCATAAATAGCACAGCTTAACTACGCTAGCGTCTTACAACTATTATGTAAGTCGATTGCATTACTAAAAATGTTTAAGTATATAACAGCCGTGCTGCAGACTAGTTAAAGTCAAAATATTCTAGCAAAAAAACTATATACAATATTAAGAATACCCTACTTTATTCAAATCTAATTAAAATACGTAAAATGCATGCTTAAATTAAATTAATACTATAAGTAAACACTCATGCGTCATACATCGGAGTAAGCGTCAAAAAAAAAAAAACAATTTGTTCGAACCATTTGGTTGGCTAATTAAGTGCCACAATTCAAGCATTTGCTTTGGAATTGGAAACAAATAAAAAAAAATTAGTACGTTCGAAATTCAAGTTTGAACATATTGAAATATAGGTATGTGCGATGTGCATACAAGGGCGTGTGGTAAAAAAATCTAAGCTACACACAAAGCGTGTGTCAAATTCAAATTTCGAGTGTCAATTTTTTTTTCCAGCGAAAGCCACGGCATGTTTGAGTAATTCCAAACGTCATGAAGTGCAACATTTTAAGCCACTACAATCACAGTTCACTTTGCGAGCCCTCCGCCTACAGAACCCGTAGCATTTCAACGCGAAACAACACAAACCACTTTTACTACGATCCGATTTGCAAGACTCTCTACTGTTCAATCTCTGCAATTCCGGTATATTTTTATCTTTTACTCTATCTTTCCCACTCAACAGCATGTCTAATCGAGATTTTAGTTGAGATGGCGATACACTTCTATCTCGGGTCAATTTGTTCGATTTAGTATCGATATTTGGGGTATCGATTATTTCTGTGAATTCGTCAGAATCTATTGATATTTCAGCATTAGGCGAGTGAGATTCAACACTTTCAGGTGTATATGGATCAAGGCATTGCGTAGGACTAAGTAGTGATGTATCGATATCGTTAACGAATATGTCGTCACAACTTGAATAATCAGCACTAGTTATTTCTACGAAAGGTATACCGGAAAATTTCTCGTTTAAAGAACCCGTTCTAGTCCGTTTTAGTCTTTGGTCATCGGATAGTAATTTATCGGGATGGCTGGATGTGTAATCTGAGTGTTTTAATTTCTTTGTAAATAAATCTGGGTCTGTAGGTAGGCGGGGTAACTTTTGTGGGGTAAATCTAGTTACAGTCGAACATAAGGAACTAGTAACATTCTCACAACACTGTACGATACCTCGGTCACTTTGCAGCATCACTCGCAGATAAATCGGCTGTGAAGAGAAATTTATCCACGATTGGTAGGAGATTGTGAGATTTTAAATAAAACTATCTTTTTGGATTATTTCGCGGATTTGTTTTGATTTTTGGTTCCCGAGGCGACGTTTCGAATGCAAAAATCAAAATGAATCCGCCAAATAGATCGAAAAGATAGTTTTATTTAAAATGTCAAATATTCGCGTAAATCTAAAAGTATTAGGAGATTGTGAGTTTAAAATTATGATATCGAAATAATCAACTAAGCGTATACAGCGTAATTTCATACACTACATTATCGTAGCTAAAGTTTATCTACTGTACAAATTACTTTAAAAATTAAATCTTGTTGATGGTAGTTTTTAATAGAAAATGGTAGAAATTGTATAAATATATTTTGACATGCAGTGGTAGATTTTAATTTTATTCAATTGACAAAATATTAAAATTATTTGGTATAAAATGGTAGTTTTTTGTAGCGTACCTTATGATCACCCATGCACGCTGCGTCACCTATAACTCCATATTCACTTCGGCGTCGAGTAGGAACATCGACCAGTCTGCGAAGTTCGGCCGAAGCCTCACCACTTTTGGGCGATCCTTCTGATTGATTTCTAACCAATTTACGACGACCCGGAGATACCTCGGAATCTGATACCCTGAAAAAGTGTATTTTAATAATGAAAATATATTTTATAAAACGATTAATTTTTCGTTAACGTTTAACTAACGTTAAACGTATATATATCAAACGTTAAGGATACTCGAAAATCAGGATATTTGGCCACCGATTAAAAATAGGATATTTTTAACTTTTTTTATACATAACAGATAAAAATGGGTAGTACTTAAACGAGTGACAGCAAATTTAAATTTAAGGAATTCTTGAATTAAACGAGTTAAAAGAAAACGAGTTAAAAGAACCGAACGCCTACGAAGTACGAAAATAGTGACCTTAATATAAATTATAATAAAGTTACTTTTTAAACAACGACCGGAGGGCGATTTTTTTCCATATTTAAAATATTTTGGACGTTCAGAAAAAAAATTTGGACTTTTGAATTAACAATACATGAATCTCAATCATCATAAATGTTTCTTTGTAACGTTTGCATTCCTAAACCACACATTCGTGAGCAAACCTGGTGAGATCCATAAAGAAATAGCTTACGAAAAAATCTATTTTCTATAGATATTATACAAAACTCACAAGCGTTGTTCAAAAAAAACTTGAAATATTCGAAACGCATTTGTCACCAAACTTTTTCACCGTATACAATTTTTTTCCACAAAACTCAATAAAAGCTTCTCAAGTCATTTTTATTAACATTAAAAAAATAACGCCATGATTATTTAACAGCAAATTTTCGAGTCACTCGTTTAATAACAACAATACACTTGTAATATACAATACATATTACATACACTTACAAAAAAAAATGGTGAATATATTACATTTCATGTGTGACGTTTAGGAAAAGAAAATTAAATATTATGAAAAAAAAAACAATATATTTTTTTAAAAGCTTAATTAAAAAATAATTTATTTGATATGTTATGTTTGCAAATGTTATGATTCATAATCAATAAAATTTAAGGTTCGATTTAAGCTAAACAACATCCACATTCCGAACAAAATAAAACCTTTTTTTAAGTTTTATAATGAAAATATTATATTTTTATTTATAATCTGTTTATAATATTGAATTTAAATTAAAGGTGTATACATATGTGGGCATGTCAAGGGTCACTTACAACAACCGTACCACAAACTTACTGTTTTTTGCATCCGAAAAATTTTCCTTTCAACCTGTAAAATGTATGTCATTCTTTATACTACGATTAATTGGATATTTAAATCCGAATAAAAAATCGATTCGATTCTCAAAAATCATGAATGCAAATGCAAATATGTTGGTACATTAACACACAGCACCAGCTAGTTGATACACTACACACGTATATAACTTTAAATACATACATATTATAAATATAAACACCCACGACTGGAATACTTTTGTATTCCAGTCATGGAGTATACACATTCGTGCTCATCACACAAGTGAATGCCCCCAGCTGGACTCGAACCCGTGACCGCTGGCACAGCAAGTAGGGTCACTACAAACTGAGTCAAACGTATCGTGTGTTGAATGGAAACTAACATAAAAATATATATATGAACGTTATCTAATTGCTGACATACAATAAAGAATATTGCACGTCGCTTATCTTTGGTTAAAGTTTTTCCCTGAATCTTTACAATCTGTACATTATAATTATTATATATCTTTTGTATTAATATAAAAAATAAACTAGAAAAATTAAAAAACGATATTAGTTAGAGCTAAATCACAATGTGTAATAGGGTGAAGCGAAAGTTTTTTTTTCTAATCTTGTAGGTAGAATTTGTAGTTTATAGGAAACAAAATTTTTGAAAAAAATTATTTTTACTCAAAATTTTGAGGTCTACTAATTTTTTAAATAATTAATTTAATTTTTTGGTTTGAGTAGCATTTTTTTTGAGTGATCATCTTTGAAAACATTCAATAACTTTCTACTCAACAAACAAAATGCCGACAAGAATTTTTTTTTTCAAAATTTTGTTTTTTATAAGCTACAAATTTTACACATAAGCTAAGAAAAAAAAATTTGCTCCAGCCTCATGTGTAAGATATGCCTTGTCAAGACATTTGTAATATTTAATAAGACAAAAAACTTATTTTTATGACGTCATTCCACAAGAGCGATACATGCGTTACCAGCTCAAAATTATTCAATTTAAATAACTTTTAATCAATTATTTCATATATGTATGTATGCCTCCCTTCAATACGAGGGGGATCAGGCCATAGTCCACCACGCTGGCCAAGCGGGCGGACTGAGCATGTCTTTCGAAAACTTGCTAGGTTCTCTCAGACATGTAGGTTTCCTCACGATGTTTTCCTTCACCATTAAGACAAGTGGTAATCTTGTTGGAAATGATTCGCAGGTGAAAATATCAGAGGTGCGATACCCGGGATTTGAGCCCGCTTCACTAGGTTTCCCAAGCGAGCGTGTTACCACTTCTTCACCTTTATTATATTATAATAATATATTCTCTTTTAATGAATGAATATATTCTCACCGTGCATTAATGGCGTGTTGCAGACTGGTCGGGTCCGCTATACTTTTCCTGCTGACGTGAATGCCGGGAACACTTAGTGCATCTAACTCCGCCATACTGCTTTTCTTTTCGAGAATTTTATTTGGACTCATCTGTAAACCAATCGGGCTGTTATTATAATACCGAAAATTAAGTGTGCGTGTGTGTGTGTGTGTGTTTTTGTTACATCTCCATAATATATACTAATATTATAAAGAGGTCAAGTTTGTGAGTTTGTGACGTTGTAGGGGGTAATCTCTGGATCTACAGAACCGATTTAGATAAAATTTGGTAAGAAAATAGTTGAGACCCTGGGAAGGACATGGGATAACTTTTATTCCAGGAAATCATCCCTTATGGGGGTGAAAATGGGGATGAAAGTTTGTATGGGGAATCAAGCTAGGGACTAACCCGAGCGAAGCGAGGGTGAGTCGCTAGTATAAACATAAAAACCTATTTTTATAGGCTTTACCATACCTGAGCAGTATTCGCAGAGCGAGCGGGCGACGCGGAGCGCGCCGGGCTGCTGTCCGAGGACGACACCCGCCCACTACCGCTGTCTGAATCCGCTATAGACTTTCTGTTAAATGTTCATTTACATACTTATAAATAATAAAAATCGTGTGGAATAGAAAATAATTGAAAATATTTCAAATGAAACTAACTTTTCCGATTATTTCGCGGATTAATTTTGATTTTTGGTTCCCGACGTTTCAAATTCTTTATAGCAATCACGGTCACGGGAGAGACTACAGGGAAAATAATATTTTTGAATCATATCAGTATTAATAATGATAGGAATATTATACATTAGAGAATTGGTAGGTTAGCTGCACATTAGGACGTCCTGGGTTCGAATCCCTGGTCGGGTGAAGTCTAGTTGTTGAATTTTATCGTCAAGCTATTCTCAGTAACAGCCCGGGGTTGGAAGTAGGCGGTGTACACTCCTCCACCCCCGGGGGATTGGAGTAAATAATAAATAAATAAATACGTTGGGACAATAACACACAGCACCATCTAGTTCCATGGTAAGCTACGAGGCTTGTGTTATGGATACTAGATAGTTGATACACTACACATATATAACTTTAAATACATACATATTATAAATATAAACATCCATGACTGGAGTACAAACCTTTGTCATTACACAAATGAATGACCCAAGCGGGACTCGAACCCGCGACCGCCGGCACAGAAAGTAGGGCCACTACAAACTGAGCCAAACGTGTCGTCAAAGTAACATTCCTCATTTTCATTTTTCACAATTTCATTTTATTAAAGGTCATTTTCTACTTTACAACGTCTTAAAACATAGCTACTTTTGGCATACGTAAGGGACTTACCGGTCTTGCTTTACTAAATTATAAATATCCATCGAGACATTGCGATTGATGTTGGTGATACGTACATATATTATCACGTTATTAAGAAAAAAAGAAAAACAGAAGATTACAATTTATCATTTAACATAATATAAAGTTTTTAATAATTAATATATGTATATTATTTTTTCATTTCTAAGCTATCTTAATTTTCTTTTTATAATTTTTTAATTATGCGTGATTTATTATTTTTTTAACTATGCATGAACGCGTGAGGCTTATTTTGTCTGACACCTGATCCCTCAATTGTATCCTATATGTCTATAGTATTGAAGTATCCCACCGGAGTTAGACAATGAAAGGGCAAAGAAAATGGTGAAATTGGTTAGGAAATTATTATAATACCAAACCAAACTTACTTAGAGCTATGCAAATGCCTATTCTCCCCACTTCTGGTATCTTGCTGTATGAGGAGTCTTGCAGACTGAGAGAGCAGCACCCGATCACACCAGGCGGGGCATCTAATAATCATATTGCATGCTATAAATTCCATTAATATTATAAATGCGAAAGTTTTAATTGATGTTTGTTACTCGGCTGAACGCATCTCGATGAAATTTGACACAGAGATAGATTACAGTCTGAAATAGTCCACAGGTTACTTTTTATTACGATCCTTTTTAAACGACTTTCAAAAAGGAGGAGGTTATCAATTCGTCGGAATCTTTTTTTTTGTTTCAAAGGGTATACTACCCAGGTGGTCCCATATAAATTTTAGAGGTTTTTATAAAAATCAACAATAAATATATTTTTTAAATAAATTGCTTAGTCGAATATGTAATTAAAAAACTTTCTTCTTAGGAATTACCTGCTTATTACGTCTACACTAAAAATGGAAAAATAAAAACTTTTTAACAAAAAATACAAACTGACTTCCAGGCACTAAAATGTAAAAAATAACTAAACGGAGGTTTTCATTTAGAATAGATACCTAATCAGATATTTTCGAAGTCGGGGCCAGCCTACAATATTTTAAAGATATGAATATCTAATAGGTAACTATGTATTTTACGTATCGAAATATATTAGATTTGCTAAGCATCAGCTTTTTGTTAAAAAGTGTTTATTAAACAAAATATTTATAATTACCTGGTCTTCATGTAATGCGTGGGGAGATGCACGTCCTCTTCAAAGGGGTAGGAGGGAGGAAATTTCACTGGAAACTCGTAGAGATGCGATCTAAGGGCTTCCAATTCACGATCGAATTTTTGGAGCTAAAAATAAATTTATTATTATTATTTTATATCAATTATAAAAGTATAATTTTTTTTTTGTTACAGATTTTTGGTTTTATTTAACAACTACGTTTTAACGCTTGGCATAGATTTCTCAGAGGTGAGATATACAGTAAAAAGTATCCTAAATATTGACCTGGATAAAAAGCTATCATCGTGCCAAATTTCATCAAAATCTGCCCAGTGGTTTTCTCGTGATACGGTCACAGACAGACAGACAGGCAATAATTCTAAAAACTATAGATTCGGCCTCTGTATCGATAATAATGACTATTTCAATAACTTTTTCCAAAAAATATTTAATGTACAGATACGATTTAGTTAGAATTTTATTATATGTATAGATTTCTTACACTAAATTATACTTTGAACAAACAAAGACTAAGGCGACGATTTGTTGAGTGAATGCATGTTTGTCTGTGTGTGATAAGAGTACAAGAAATCTTAATTGTAAATATGAGTAGATTGTTTTTTTTAATAATAAGTAATAACATACCCAAGGCTCTCTAAAAATCTTCTGATGGTCCATATGAGAGAACTCCTTCTTGCCAATAGTAAGTACTATGCGGTCGTCAGACTTCGATCGGTATTGAAGTTTGGACGTGTCAACATTTGTGCCGTTTTGTAGGCGACATGCTGTTAGTTCTTCTGTCACTTTCTGGAATAAAATATTTTTAAAGTTATACTTCTTTTGGCACGTTTGGAAAAAAAATGTGAGAGTAAAATTTTTAAGATTCGCGCGCACACCGACAGCCAAAAAGCGACCTGACGAAGTTAATTGATAACTGTTGCCTATATAAATGTAACGCATGTATAATAGAATTCCACAATCAATATTGAGCTTGCCATTTAAACAAAAATGCCATTTAATCTAAAATTAAAAATTTATTAGTGAATAAGGCTTATTATACTGTCACGGAATACATCGTAGATATCAATGCGTGGAACTAATGGTTGGGTCACACGTGAGATAAACATTATTGTATTACAATATTGTACACAATTATTATTTTAAAAGAGCAACTGTTGAGTTTCTCGCCGGTGCTTTCCGAGACGGTGGTAGATTCCTCACGGACTGACATTAAATTTAAAATGTAAAATTGAAGATTCAAAAGTGCTTGTAAAAATCTATTTGAATAAAGTATATTTTCATTTGATTTGCCATGGTAACCGTTGCTATTGTCTAACAATTGACAAATGATATATAATATTATATTCTTTCCATATGATAATAAAAATAATAATTACACATAACCCTGTTTAAGGCTTCGCCGCAGTCGGGTAAATACAAAAGGCACGTAATATTTAATAATTAATTACCTTAACTACACCACCTGTGTCGGTTCTAAAGTTAAAATCTCCGAATATAAAGTACGGGGCCGCGTTCACGTCTGAGTGGAGGTGACGTAGAGTGTGTCTTAACGCACGTCTCCTACTTCGACAGTAAACCTAAAATGATAAAACAATATACAATAGATAGCACAATGTTTAGGAATTAACTTGAACAAAAATTTCAACCTTATTTTTTCTTTTGTATTTTTACTACAGAATCACATGAGACACCTACAAAATATCAGCAACGAAGCTTCAATAGTCTTCGAGATAAAATGGCTACGAAATACGGACAGACAGACAAGACGAAATTATAAAGATTTTATTTTAACTATTTAACTACGGAATACTAATAAATATAAAACATAATTTTAGTCCCGCTATTTTTCGCCAGTTCTTACAACTGAAGGCTTTTCATCACTATTAAACTAATATTACAAACGCGAAAATTTGTGGGGATGGATGTATATAGGCTTCGAGACTACTGAACCGATTTAGATAAAATTTGTTAGAAAGATAGTTTGAGAGCCTGGGAAGGATAGTTTTTATCCTGAAAATCATCCCTTAAGGGGGCGAAAATACTATATAATTCAATTGTCTTATTATGTACTTCAATTATTGAAAAACACGTGCGTAGTGGAAAAACGTCAGTTCTTCTAGCCTTTTTTTTGCATTTAAATTAGGTACCCGCATCATTATACGGCAAATGAATACTGCGCAGTAGTCAATTATCGAAAAGGTGGTTTGAGTACGAGTATTGAACACTTTAGACTCGATTCGCAAATGCTTGACAAGCGTAGATTTTAATGGCAAAATAGTAAATAACGGCAAATCCATACTAATATTATAAATGTGAACGTGTGTTTGTTTGTTTGTCCTTCTTTCACGTCGAAACGGATCGACGGATTGGCATGATTTTTTTTGTGGAGGAAGTTGGAGGACTGGAGAGTGACATATGCTACTTTTTACCGCGGGAGATTACCTAATTCCCACGGGAAAGCACGTTATAATACAATCCAAAAAATATATCAGAATTACTAGTTTTATTAAAATCGCGTAAATCTAAGAAATCATTAAATAAAATATTTACTATACTTACAGAAGGAAAGGGTTCCAAAGCCAATAGATTTGATGCATCATGGAAGAGATGTATGTTGATGAACTCTACCGAAGTACCGCGTATGGTCCAGCGAGTACGTAAGAACCCTTTGCGCGACCATTTACACTGGAAATTTACTGATTTAGTTAAAAAATAACTTTATTACCTACATTTTTATTATAAAATATAATGATATTTGGGACATTAACTTCTTCTGGAACAGTTATTTAGATTAATTTAGTTTTAAAGTTAAATATTAATTATGACATTTTTTTTAATTTACATTAAAAACGTATGTATATCTTCAAAAAAAATCATATACATAAAGCTAGGTACATGCAACCGCTATTGACGTCTATGTGAATTTATTTTCCTCAAAAGTTTCTCTCATTAGAAACTTTATTGTTTAAAATAATATTAACTGATGTCTGACCGATTTCGCCCACGTCGGCCAATCTCGCTGTGATTACCTAGATTACGCAGAACATAAATAAATAATTATTATAGTGCACAAGTGTGGACCCAAACACAAGTGTATCTGTTTCTTAGGTGCAGTCCGGACGGAAGGACCTCCGAAAGGACGATATTTAGACACGACCAGTGTTAGTCTTAACTTTAGGTAGGATCGACGACTTCTCGTCGTTGTATAATCTCCCAGGTATGGGGGCGTAACTTTGCCAATTTCCCAATTTCGAGCTACTACTGAAAATCTCTTGACAGAAAAATTCAGTAATTAAACATAGGTGGACCCGGGACTCGAACCCGAGACCTCTGAATCTTCAGCCGTACATGCTAGCCACTAGACCATTGAGGTTGAACAATAATTACGGATGTACTAACTTACCTCAGGAAAAAAATGTTGTGGAAACTTCGCCTTTTCCTTCGTAGTGACTTTTTCAATGTTCCCACTATTGATCTCCTTCCCCACTACTTCTACGTATGACTTTAATTCGAAGTCCCATATTTTGAGATCCGTTAGAGTGGAATGCGCGAAGTACATGTTGCCTAAAGCCTAGAACAGATGGAAACGTTAAGAGTAATATTGTAATATTATTACTGTAGTGTACTGACGGATTTTCATGATTTTTTGTGTGGAAATAGTTGGATGGCTGGAGAGTCACATAGGCTTTTTACCGCAAGAGATGATGCCACATTCCCATGGGAAAAACGTTGTAATATAACCCATAAAATTATTTATGATCATAATTACTTGAAACTTGGTATTAATGCTATTCAAAATAATTAAATAAATACGTGTTTTAACATTTTTCGAAATTCCTCCCATAAGGGAGTAAAATAGGGCATGAGTTTTAGCGCGAGCAAAGCCGTGGGTTCTGCTAGTATATGTATAAATAATAAAATGGTATATGGTTAATATATGACAATACATAAATAGCAGTTTCTAACGTCACGATTTAACTTTATACTAACTAAAACAAATATTTGTATTTCCAAGGTACGTAGACTGTTAAATAGAATAAACGGTTCAAACTGGAATTAGATTTTATGTCTTTCTCTGTATCTTCAGCAAAATCGCATAAATTATTATATTTTAGCCGTATTTTCGTGTTGCGTGCCCAAAACAACAAATAAAAGCTTGCCAAGAGCAAATCGGGTTCTTGCTAGATTTAAACAGCTATCTATACATATAATAAAATTGTAACTAAGCCGAATCTGTACATTAAATATTTTTTTGAAAATCTTATTAAAATAAACATTATTATCGATACAGAAGCCGAAACTATAGTTTTTAGATTTTTTTCTGTCTGTCTGTCTATTACCGCATCACAGAAAAACCACTGGAGGGATTTTGATGAAATTTGGTATGGTCATAGTTGGTTATCCGTTATGCTTTTTACCACGGGAAAATATCTCATTTTTGAGAAAAATACAAAAACTGCAATGTAAGATTATACTAATATGTAAAACCTAAGAATTTGGTTTTTGGTCATCTGAACGCGGGCGGAGCCGAGGGCAATGCTAGTTAAATATAAAGGTCATGTTTCATGGATTTATACCTAACAAATATTTGGTAATGTGTAGTAGTACGGAACCCACGTTGTACGAGATTGAATGGTCAATGACAAATAGATTTATTTTTAGTTACAATGCAGTGGTAGCTCAGTGGTGAGGCGCTCGCTTGGGAAAACGAGTTAAGCGGGTTCAAATCACATGTCTCACAACTTTGATAATATTTTCATGTGCGAATCCTTTCCAACATGATTACCACCTGTCTTACGGTGAAGGAAAACATCGTGAGGAAACCTGCATGTCTGAGAGAACCTAGCAAGTTTTCAAAAGACATGTGAAATCCGCCAAACCGCACTTGGCCAGCGTGGTGGACTATGGCCTGATCCCAGGTCCACCCCCAGCAGTGGGACGTTAAACAAAAATCTGAATAGATTTTAATGATTTTTTTCACTAATGATAACTACATTAAATATATAGGCTATAAATTATATTTGTATGATGTGTTATAGTCAAGCTGCCACACACGGTTTTTGTCTAGGAAGTGAGAAAAATACAGTGTTTTTTGGTTCCTTGTCTTCGTTGCTTAAAAGTAAAAAAAAATGTAGTGCAAATATGTAGATATTTAATAGTTCAACAAAAATTAATACATATTTTTTATTAAAAATATATTTTAGCGTATATCATCAGTAGCGTATATGATTAAAAAAAATTTTTTTACTGCGTTATATTTAGCATAGGAATTAAACTATAAAATATAATTTTTATGAAAGTTAATAATTTCATAACCACATATACATATAGAGATAAAATTTGTCCTTTCCCATTGTACTTTGGTTACCATATTAATATAGTTTAGGAGTAAGATAATAATAACATATAATCTATACAGATAAATAAAATTTAAGTGTCTGTTTGTAATGTCAAAATAACAGCTTTTTACTAAATGCATATGAAAGTATATAGGTACGTACGGTACTTATAATTTAAAACAATTTTTCGTATGTTTGTTTGTTCCGGCTAATCTCTGAAACATCTAGACCGATTTTGACGGGACTTTCATTGGCAGATAGCTGATTTTGTAAGGAGTAACTTAGGCTACTTTTATTTAAAAAAAATAATCAGGGTTTCGCGCAAAAAATTAAAACGCATGAAATTTTGAACGAAATCGTACTGGAGACGCACCCGAGCGACTAGTAAAAATGAAAATAAATCACAACTTGCGTATTAAAATATGTAGCTAAGAGAAGCATGGTCACATCGCTAGTGTAGATACAAATTTTTGTACATGTAATGAGACTGATACAAAAAGCTAATTATCTCGTAACGAGCTTAATACAAAGCTAATATCGTTATATTGATATGTGATATCATATCGCTAAGTACCTACCATCTAATCGATTGCCAATACTACTAGGAGGATCAACATATCTAAAGAAGTATCTTTAGATATGTTGGTTCGTATAGTATGTATGTATTCAGCCCTTTTTAGTGTCCCACTGCTGGGGGTGGGCCTCCCTTCAATACGAGGGGGATCAGGCCATAGACCACCACGCTGGCCAAGTGCGGGTTGGCGGACTTCACATGTCTTTTGAAAACTTGTTAGGTTCCCTCAGACATGCAGGTTTCCTCATGATATTTTCCTTCACCGTTAAGACAAATGGTAATCATTTTGGAAATGATTCGCACGTTATGAAAATATCAAAGGTGCGAGACCCGGGCTTTGAACCCACTTCACTCGGTTTCCCAAGCAAGCGCGTTACCATTGGGCTACCACTCTACCTATGGTGCTTCTGGTAAGTATGTTAGTACATTATAAAAATGCTTGCATGCTTTATGGCAGTCTTTAATTGAACAAAATTTAAAATATTTAGGCTTGAAAGTAAATAAACGGACAAGTATTTTCGAATTTAAAATATAAATAAGTTGTTTTAAGAAATATGAGAGAAGCTTCTAGATTAAAATAGTTAAAATGTCAACAAGTGTCGCAGCTACAATATAAAATTACAAACGATGGCAACTGGCTTTGAAATATAAGACTCGAAATTACTATAGCGAGCCATAAATAGACGCCCTTTAATTAAAGAGAATATTTTTTTACAGCAATGTTTATAAACACTTTCAAAATATACTGGAAACGGTTAATGCCATTCATTTTATTAAGGTTAATAAAGCATTTTCTACAAATTTCTCAGTCGTGAGATAAATGTGTTGTAGAAAGTGACGGTTGTATGTAATAATAATAGTTTAATTATAGCTGTGTCGTTCATATAGCCGTAATTTATAATTTTATTATACTGTATTTAAACTTAATTTATTATATTGTATAGGTACTTTTAATTTTTTTTTAACGAAACCCTATTTCTTTTTCTAAAATAATAGTTGCAAAGTTACTCCTTGTTATAAGCTCTGCTAGTGAAAGTCCCGTCAAAATCGGGAAAAAACAGGCAGACAGACAAAATTTTTAATAATTGTGTTTTTTTATGTGCATTTAGTAAAAAGCTGTTATTTTGACATTACACACAGATACTTCAATTTTGTTTAGGTACCTATTTGTATAGATGACAAATCACACTACTATTACCAGTGGAGTGTTTGTGTGTGCGTCCGTGCGTGTGTATAGGTAGATATATAATAATAATAATAATAATAAATTTTATTTCAAGTAACCTAAGACTCATATTTTGTTAGTATACAAGGTGCTTATATTCTATGTTAGTATTTACACTCTAGATACATTTTAAATAGATATACTTTTACATTCACATACATTTATACATTACTAACAAGAAATAGCACAGCAGTGGTTAACATACCTACAATCCAGCCTACTGGCAATTACCCTCATGATGCTGTTGGTACTACCCCGTAATCTATCCACCAGGGACCCACATCTTTTGCGCATCGTGGCATAGAAACAATTTAAATATATCTATGTACTCGTATAAATATTAAATAGACAAAGACAAAAAGTTCAGAATTTTTTCTTGTCTGTTTGTCAATATTTTTTTAATACCTAATAAATTAAATTTAAGGTAAGGTAAATTCTATTTAAATATGTATGGTTTTTTTAAACTTTAAATAATGATTATAGTCGAATTTATATTAATATTTCGATTTTCGATATATATATCTAATAATAATCTATAAAACGAACATAAATCTATATAAAAGTAAAGACCTAAGTATCTATTGATCATAACAATAAAGTAAATAGAACCGTTAGGTACTGTTAACTAATGTAACGATCGTCATTATTTTTTAATATTGTACTGAATTTACAATTCATTATACATTAAAATAGGGAATATGCGTATTTTTTGTATGTTTTATACAATAGCTTACATCGTTATATAATTGTGAAAAAAGACGGCTTTAGTATGTAGCGACGAAATCCCTAATCGCTCTGTTATGATAATAGTTTGACGTCATACATGGTGTGACCAATGGCGTGCGTGTCAACTATGTTGAATTTCCCACCTATATTTACACTTTTTAATAATTATTTTCTTAATCAAAAAGAAATTACATTTAAAAATATTTATATAAGCTGACAGAGCGCTTCTGCGCGTGTGTGCGCGCTTCAAATGCTTATTTCGCTCGTTTTGATTCCGTATACGGCCTCTTTAATTCAAAAGCAATAAAGACTACAAAAAAATACTTCACCTTTATTTAAATCACACGCATATTCCCCTATTATACCCATGACGCTCAATTTCACTAAGACTAACTAACCACTGTTACTGAGTTTTTTTTTCAAACAAATCCAAAAACTACACTACGCCAACTCGAACCCAGGACCTCCGTATATGTCATATATACTAGCCACTAGACGAGGCAGTTTTCATGACATATATCTACATATATTGGATAGCCAGATAGAACTATTTCTGAGCGGTATAAAACTGTATAAGAGATTCTTAGATAATTATCCCACTCTTAAGCTTTAATGCTTGAAAACTTGAGGTTTTACATTTTTAGAGCTTAAAGCTTTTCCGACCACGAAACCTTGACATTCATTTTAATATTTATAGCAAGAGAATA